CCTCTCTCAGTGACAATACTAAAGGTCATCATAGTCATTCGTTGGTAAATGCTCTATTGGACAGTCCAATCTTAAACTCAGAGATCTTTCTCAGTCAAAAGAACCCACATCTTGATTAGTTTGTGTCCCATCTACACATACAACAAATAAACATATAAGTACAAACAAGTGTACCAAATAGATAAAGAGTGAGTCTGTGCAATCAATAAAATCAATCAAGTTGTGTACTAAATAAAAGAGTCACCCACTAACAATCTCATAATATCCATGAACAATTGAGTCCACACATTACAACATCAATTATCCACATCGCTGGTCCAATCATATAATCATAAAAGACAAATGTCAATGATGCATGATATAATTCACCTATGGAGTTTATTTTTGTTTAACCATATGAGTGCAATGCATGAGGATTGCAAAATCATCTGATCAATCACATCAGTTTCATGTCAAAGGCGTTCCTATTCTCTAATATAAATCATATCTCAACACATTTTCAATTCAAAAGTAGTTTATTAATACAATGACCTACCATGATTTCAGTAATTGGTGTCTACATTAGAATTTGCAAGAGTTTGTTAGCAATGTGACCTAACCACATTGCGCTACTCTCCACTATTGAATCATCTCCTCCTTTGCCACCCTCAAGGTTTTCCTAGAACCTGAACACTAGCATCCCATAACTGTGCCAATTGTAGTATTGACCAAATTTTTATTTTTCTTTTTGATTATGATGCATGTTTATATTTTCCTATTATTAATTCTCCCAATTTAATCACCAAACTACTCTAACCAGCACGTTCTATAGATGCTATGCTCTATCATAAAATAACAAGCATGTTTCTCACAATGCACTTTTCATCAAGATTAGATACATGTACTCCATCTTGTTAAATTTTGCCATTTCACTTCATTTCATCCCTAACCCATTGTAGGTTTCCTTTAATGAAGTTCTTCATTACTCTATCTAAGTTAATATTGGGGGTTATTAAAATTATTCTCTAAAGTGTCTTACATTGCTATGGATTCATTTTAGGTTAGGTAGAATTTTTTATTCTTTTGTGCTCACGATTCTCGCTCATTGATGTGTGTTATCTTCTAGCCCCGTACTCCATTTTTTAATTTGTATCTCTTTATTACCACCCCTTGATCTTTAGCTTCAGAGTTATGTTACTACACTTTTTTTATGTCATTGTCTAGTTAACGCTAATCATAGGTGTAAGTAATTACTCATCCCTCTTTTACTAGTCTTTTATCATGGATAAAAATCATGTAGTTTTCGAATATTTTGTTCTCCCCTTTTCTCACATTGTTACATTATATTATTGTGAATAAGGTTAGAATAATACCTTGAAGAGTAGATCTAGGATTCAATCTGAACCATTATAATTCATGTGTTTTTTTAATTTTTTGTTTCAAAAATTATTTGCACTATTATTTTTTCATTCCAATAGAACTGAATTTAATTGATTTATTATTCCCCAAAATAAAGTAAAACACAAGTAGATATTTAAGGGCGTTACATGTCACATTTTAAAATAGCTATGAATAGAAAATATACTTTATAAATACTCTATTTAATAAATTTGATTCTAAATTAATCTTGAAATAAATAATAATGATAGCATTTTAATTACAAATAATTGTTTTAAAAATAAAATTTTTAATTTTTAATTTAAAATTTTTTATCGTCTCATTTTTTTATTTAATTTACTAAATGAAAGATAATAATTTATTTCAATGTGAGAGGAAAAAATTAAAATAAAAAATAAAAAAATGTTTTTATATTTTAAATAAAAAAAATTAACAATGAAATATAAGTCTGAATTTATTTTATTTTAATATCGTTTTAAAATTAATTAAATTGGAACTAAATACTTAATTTTAATATCATCTCAAATTTCACCTTTCTCAATCCAAAACATGTTTATTACTTCAAAAATAGTTTAACTTTTTTAGTATATAGCAAACAAATTTTAAGAGCAGTAATTAAATATTAAAATAAAGAAAAACATGTTTTGGATTGACTTTTAAAGTATTCATATTATTTGATATTTAATTTATATTATAATATATATAGTATGACGATATTTTAATATTTAATATTCAGACAGTTATGAATTTAATATTCATACTATTTAATTTTAATATTCAAACAGTAATATTATTAAAAGTTAAATATAATTTTTAGAACAGTAATTAAATATTTAAAATATAATATTCAGTATTATGAACACATTTTAATATTTGTATACTAAATTTTAATTAATATTATAAAATCTTCATTAAATTTATAATTTTGAAGAGAGCAATATTAACATAAGTGTTTAAAATAATTACAAAGATTTAATTTCATTAGGAAAAGAAAGGAAGTATGCAATTTAATATGCAGAAAAATGTTGAACTTTTGTTGTTATAATCATTAAATAAACCTTAATTATTTTAAATATAATAAATATTAAAATATAATATTTTTAAAAATTTATTAAAATATGATTGTAAGGGTGCCGGTGCAGAGATTTATAGATGTAAAGATAAAAAGTTATAAAGTATAAAAAATTGCGGATGGTGATTTTTTTTAAAATTATTAAAAACGGTAAAAAGTCAAAATTCATTGATGACAAATTTTAAAAAATAATAAAATTTTACTTATAATTTTTTAAAATAATTAAAATTTCTAAAAGTATAAAAAAATGTCAGTGATGATTTTGGTTATTTTTGTTTAAATTCTTATTTTTTTTGTAATTTTTTTGAAAACAATATATTTTAATTTTTCTATATATAAAAAAGTCTTAATAAAAATTAAGTGAATTTAATTTTATGATACTAAGTTGAAAATTAATATGAAGTTGTTGTACAACATAACCGTATGACGGTATTCTAATTGAAACTTCTATCTTATTGTACGAAGAATTACAAGAGAACAAATTCGTTTGTAAAAGACAAAAAAAAAAAAGTATAAGGAAATAACATAGATTCATTAAGTGTAACATAAGATAAAAGAATCATAATATTCTCGTAACAAATTTTAAAATTTACATTTTTTTTTATCTCTCCTTGTTATATCACTCAAATTATTATTATTATTTTATTTCTTTAAATGAAAATAAAAATAATATTTTTTTAAAATAAATACTACGACCCTGTTGTCTATCTTCCAATTAAAATCTTTAAAAAATTAGTTAATTTTTTAAATTTTTTTTAAAATTTTATGTTATATATATATATATATATATATTCATAATTCATCATATATTTTATCATATTTTTTAATAAAAATAATCTCTATTTATTTAATCAGTATCATTAATTCATAGATTTGTAAAGTTCTAATTTTTTAATCAGTGACATTAAAAAAATCCTTCTATTAAGAATAATAATTATTTTTAAAATATTTTATTATTTTATACAATTTTTATGTAAATAATATATTACTTTTGTTTCTTCATATTAATTACTTTCTAAAAATTATTTTTTATTTATATATTGTTTTAAAATTTAATCTAAATTGATAGTTATTTTCTCAATTATATTCTTAGAAAAAAAAAAGAGGGAAAAATAATGATACACAAAATATTAAAATATAATATATACTATTTAATAGTATAAAGTTTTATGCAATAAAAAATAGTAAAAAGATTGAAAATTGGGATCTAGAAAGGTGACTCCTCATCAAATCCATGCATTAAATGCTGGCATCTATTTACGTAATCATTACCGCCGATTGAATAATTCAACTTTCTTTCCCTTCTTGTCAATTTAGATATGGATCCAATAGTTCCCTACCCACTGCTCTCTACTCTCTACTCTCAGCACATTTTCTATGTTTCTTAATTCCAATTTTTAATCCTTAATTATTAAATATATTTTAAAAAATTTGAAATATATTAGGCAATTCCTTAGATATTGGGATTTTTTTATTGCGTCAATATATTAATCAGAAAAACTGTTTTATAATATGAAATAATATATGTAATTTAAAAATTTCCCAATATACTACTAGTATTCATGAAAAATTGACAAGCAAAAGTTCCAAAAGTTTGTATACAAAAATACATTAAAATATTATAAGTTTAAAATTTTTGGTTGTTCATACTATATTCAGCATGTGACCATGATTTCCTTAATTTTATATATATTTATTCAATTTTATTATTTTTTAAAATTTCAATTATGATTTTGTTGAGATTAATTTCTAGAGTTAAAATTAAACACTTAAAAATGATAAAAATTTATTAAATAATAACATTTATTACATTAAAGTTACAAAATATGTAATGCATTTTAATAAAAAAATATATTTTTAAGTGCTTAAATTCAATTTTAAAAGTTAAAGATATATTTCAAAATATAAAGTATTCAATAAAATTTGTAATATAATAAAAGTTATTTTTTAATTTTACATAAAATTTATACATTTTTTATAATATATAAATAATTAATATGTTATATTTTATATATTACAAAAATTAATATATAATAAAAAGTTTAAATAATTAATAAATAAAACAATTTACTTTAAACGATTAAAATGAATAAATTTAAAATTGTACATAAAATAGAAATATTAAAAATAAAAATACAATTAAGTAAAAATGAAAATAATAAAGAAATAAGGCTACTAATCAATTATCTACTCGTGATTCTTAATAATTAATTTTCATATTAAAATATAAAGTTGTTTAATATATTATAAAAAAATTAGAAATGATGATAAAAATACATTTCAAAAATTTAATGACATAAAAATTTATTTATTTTTCATTAACATTTTAAAATTGTTATTAATTATGCTTATTATGACGATGATAATAAGCATAAAACAAATAAAAATTATATAGGAAGCAGTAATAAAAAAAAGAGAGGAGCAGTAATGTGATTGATATTCCGCGTCTCTCATTGGGAAAGTGATATAATCATCACCACCGATCAGTGCACAAGTAAACTTGGTTCATTCTTCTCTCTCTTTCACCACACGCACTCTTCCATCTCCAACAATGGTGAATCTCAACCCAGAAGCTCCTGAATTCTGTCCCACCCAACAAAACAAGCTGCAGCTAGTGCAAGTGCAATCACTTTCCTCTCCTAACTTTCCCACTTCCATATTCACCCCTCAACACTATTACTTCATGGTCTCTTCACTTCCCTCCCGAGAACTTCACCCTTTCTATTATCCCTCCTTATCATTTCCTTTACCTTCTTTCATTCACTTTCACGATGCCACCGTTACCCCCCAACAGGAAACACCCGACGCTGAACCAACTCGTTTTCATAGCACAACAGATGAACCTAACCCTCTTGATGCCCATGCAGTGCACCAACATGAGGAGGAAATTGTGGCTGATGCTGAAGCATGTGGTTCAAAAGGGCTTGTACAGAAGCAAGTGTTTAAGGCGTTTATAACTTGTGGAAGAATGGATAGTCACCGTTCAGATGGGTTTAAGCTGAAGGCTTACGCTAGTAGGAGAAGAAAGGTCGAAGAGGCTGGTCAAGTAAAGAAAAGCAGTGGTCATTTAAGGAACAGACATGTTATGAGGCACCCACATGAACAATACTTCAGGGCTTTTCCCAGGAAGAAACGTTGCTGTCCTGTGGTGCCTGTGCGAGTCGATGGAGATGAAACCACTGTTATGATAAAAAACATCCCTAGCAAATACACGTATGTGTCATAGCTTCTAATGCCCCTTCGTTTTCACAGTCCCTCGTTTAGTGGTTTTTTTTTTTTTTCTCTTTTGGGAAATGGGGTTGGAATTTAAAGTTGTGACTGCTTGAAAATATTGAGACTTGGGCATATTAATTACTCTTTTTTGTCAACTTGTTCTATTTTTGGTTACAATCACATATTTATCTGTTACTAGTTAGTTGCACAACAATATTTTAAACTTTTTTTTCCTTATTTGCAGGCGAGATATGCTGGTAGAGTTCTTGGACGACCATTGCATGGTGGTGAATAGAAGAGAGAAAGAAGCTGTCAAAGTGAATGGAGAGGAGCACAATATTTTAGCTTTTGATTTCGTTTATTTACCTATAGATTTCAAGTACCCTACTAATTCCTCATGTTTAGTGTTTTTTTTTTACTTTTTTTTTTTTTGGTTTTCATTGTTGATTATAATGATCGTTTGCAGAAGCGGGTTGAACAAAGGCTACGCTTTTGTAAACTTCACTAAGCCCAAGGCAGCTTGGAAGTTTCTTTTGACAGCCTCCAATATGAAATGGAGCTTGTTCCAGTCCCACAAGATACGTGAAGTGGTTGCCGCACGTCTCCAGGTATGGTCTCGATCTCCTAGAGATAAGATAGACCTAATCATCACTACTTCTACTACTACTATTATTATTATTCATTCTTTGTAGCACTGGTTAAGCAACTGATAATGAAGAAAATATTTATTATACTTTTTGAGCTTCTAATATAATAAATACTTTTTTATTGAAATTAAGCTTCGGTTACAAAATCTGTATTATTATGGCTGTGGTTCTTGTTTGATAGAACTATAGTGGCTGATTTTCTTGTGTTCAATTTTAACATGATATATAGGGGAAGGAGAAACTAGAAAGGCACTTTGAAACTATGAGCTTTCCCTGTGAATCCGAGGATGTTCTGCCTGTGTGCTTTAGCCCACCTCGGGATGGGGTTATCAAGGGAAAGCAAAGGACTATGGGGAAGCTTATCAAGTGCCCAGAAGTTTGAAATGGAAGAGACATGCAAGAGGGTGTGTCATGAGTCACGACAAAGCTTATCCTTAGTCAATTAGAGTTTCATTCCTTTGTATTTGTTATCATCTTTGATATTACATTGGTCTTCTGTCCTAGTGGTAGCAGTAGTGATAGGGTTTTCTACCATTTCATGATATGGTGACTCTCTGTGTACTTTTGAAGAGTTACCATTGTTGTTGTCAAGTTGTGAACTCGGTTACGTACTTTGTGTTATACCATTCCACTAATAGGTTGGGTGGAGCCTGGCCACTTGATCCCATGATCCAGATTGTGTGGTGGGGTCCACCCTTCTTGTGGACACAGGCTCAACTCTCAAGCCTCAATCCAAGTCCCCTTTGGGGATGGTTCAGTTCAGTCTATATATTACTCTCTTTGTGTTTTCTGATACTGATATTTGGAAGTGTAGGCTTGTGGCTTGTACGTTACGAAAGCTTAACTCGGTTTTTAAGTTCTGGGAATAACTTTACATAATATGCTGTGTCGTTTTTATTTCTATTTCAAGTTATGTTCCTATTTGTCCTTGCAAAATATCAAATCCTTGATACTAGTTTGTGATATTTGACATCGTACGTGGAGCCTTGGTCAGCGCCTGAAGACGTTGCATATGCTCCCAAGTCAATGGTCACAATTTCTGGGTGGCTGCTATATATGCTGAATCCTTGTGTTCTTTTAAAGATTGTGCATGTTGGGTCAAAAGATTTTTGCCCTTTTGAAGCATTCGGAAATAGTTGTCAGTCAAAAGGGTGTTTTGTTGTTTCGAAGCTGGACTAAAATGGTGCAAAATTGGTCGGATTCAATCTCTGAACCATGGCCGTTTGAAAAGGGGAGCTTGTTTGTCCTTAATTCTTGGACATGGGAGGGAGGACCCTTCTATGTTTGTGTTAATCTCTAGACTAGGGCGCGTGGGGATGGAACGATCTTGTTACTGGGAATTTCTGTTGGTACGTGAATATTTATTTTATTTGCAACTATAGCAACACGCAACGGTATTTATGGTGGAAATTAAGCTGTTCTTCCTTTTAAGCAGAGAAGGGATGCGCTTTAAATTTTTAGTTTCCAAAATATGGTATGTCGGTCATAAAGTGAAGCTTTTATTAAAAATAATAGACAGCTAAGAAGAGATTATACAGCCGCATCTTACGTTGGTTTGTCACGTTTGAAGATTTGGGGGATTCTAACATCTTTTTGTCTTTTAGTTGAAAACTTGCAAGTGATTGAAAATTCATTTAATTGAATGGTAATGCAGCAGAAATAATTGGTGATATGGGTTGAATTTATCAAATGATACACTGATAGAAATGTTACTCTCATGTCTATTATATATGATAAATTTATCAAAGGAAATGTTAATAAAAATGTTTCACTCCTCTCCTCTAACCCAAATCTTCAAGAACCTTCCAATTAAGAAGAAACCCAACTTAACCCCAATCCTCTTCCTTCATTTTCTCCATAGTTACACTCAAGAGAGACTATCTTCAATGAAAAGTACTAAAATTAAAAGTCTCTTGTCATGCTTGACTTGCTCGTGACTTAACCTTAGCCAATCCGTTCATCACAAAACTTCATCTTGCTTTCGACAATAATAACAAATCTAATTATTACTTGACTCAAATGAAGCTCCAATACAAAGACCTCTCCACACCGGTTTCCTCTGGCACCGGCCAAGGCAACGGTGAGTACTTTTCCTGGGTCAGAGTGGGTTAACCTGCAAAACCCTTCTACATGGTTCTCGACATCGAAAGGGCTCCAATGCAAGTCTTGCTCCGATTGTAATGGAAGGTGCCTTAACCAAGTTTCTTTCAGTGACGTTTCGTTTACCATTGGAGAATATGCAATTGAAACGATGTCATTTCGGTGAATCTGAGTCGAGTCGCAATGGGATGTGGGCATGGCAATGAGTGTTTCTTTGTTGGGGCTTCAGAGCGACATAGAGGTTGGGAGAAAAGAGATGAACAAGATGTTGATAGAAATATTTATTAATTTGCCCTTCATTATTCACTGTTCATTATTCACACTACAACCTCTTATCACTGAAAAATTTTACTGAAAAAATATTAAATTTTAATTATTTATTTACCCAAAATTATATCAATAGTTCCTAATCATCTTCTACACTTTGCTTTAAGCATTACTTTTCTTAATTCTCTTATAAAAATAAAAGGAAGGATACTAGAATCAGTTGTAAGATATAACGAGTTGTTACTGTTTCCGATTTTGGTAAACGTAAATTTATACTACTTCAATAAAAAGTTGAATAAGCTTTAAAGGATTCTTCGAAAGTGGACGTAGAAACCTATATACATGTTTTATATTTTTATTTAATTATGAGGGCTGCTATTTAACACAAAAAGACAAGATATAAACTGTACAAATTTATGAGTTTTTTTTTGTTCTTTAAGGGTTAATTTTAAAACAAAATACTAAAATAGGGTTTCATGTAAACATATTTCCGGTTTAGGGTGGGTGAGTGACGTGGCAAGAGAGTCGTTCATAACAGGGACGACACATATGATGACGTGGCAAATCATGAGAGTGTCGTCCCACCGGTAGCCGACACTCATGACAGTGTCGTCCCATTATTAGACGATATTCATGAGATGTTGACACGTGTCACTTAATAAAGTTGTGGCGTCTATTTTTTTACGATTTTAGTAGTGTCTATAACAGAGACGACTCCAATGCCAGCCCACGATACCCGCTTTTAATGTGACCAGTGGATTAAAAATTTTGATACATTCTTTTACCCAACTTCAAATGTGTATAAATATGGAACTTTCACATTGTAATCGTGTAGGTGAAGAACGAATAGGCTGCTGGAAAAGACATTAACTAGATAGGCTGGAGAAGAAGTTGCAAGAAGAGCAATAATAAGGTTAGATTTTTTTAAGCATTATAAATATATAATTTTGTTTATTGGCTATTAAGAATTTATATTTCGAATAATAATATTTATTTTTATATTTGGATAATATTTAAAGTGTTAATGTTGTAATATAATTTTTTTAAGTGTTAACAAAAATTTAAATATTTGTAATTACAAATAAATTTTTAAATATAATTATATTATATTATAAATTTAGCTTATTTGTAATGCAGGATGAATGAAATTGTTGTTATATTATATTCAAATGGTAGAATATATGAAGGAAATGAGGGTATAATTTTTGAAGGAGAGAAAAAGATTATTAAGATAGAACGTGTCATCACACTTAAGATGTTTAAAAGGAAGATTCACACAAAATTGAAATTGTCTAGTTGTCACGTAATTTCTAGATTAATTTCACGAATTTTAGTTGGGACAAATGATCGATACCATACAACTTTGGATGTATGTGACGATAAAGACATAGATTGCATGATAAGTACGTATCAACAACCACATTATAGGAATGTAGTTGAGATATATGTGGATATTGCGGTCGGTGAAACATCTTCTGCTGTGGCACGTCCGTTAGAAATGAATTTACCACTCTCACTCAATCATGGAAGTGATGATGATTATGATCATTATGCAACAAGAGAAGGTAATATGAAGTTGATGATTTTAAATTTTCAAAATTGATACTGCAAATACTATTAATAATATAAGTTTACAATGTATGATCTACAGATAAAGATAATGAATATGAAGATGAAGAAGATATTTCATTAAATAATTTTTCTGATACTGAGACAGATGATAATTGTGATTCAATGATCATTATGGAGAGTATTGTAAGAGTTAGTTTACTGCAACAACAACATGGAGGTATGATTTTTTTAGAACTTATATTTGTAGTAATGTATAAATTGTTATTCATGATATAAATTTTACGAATGAATTGTTGTAATACAGAAACTACATTGCCCTTTTGGAATATAACCCCACATTACAGTCATATTAATTGGGAACACCCTGATCAAGAATTAGATTTTCTTGGTATGAATGACGCACAATCATGGAAAGAAGGAGATGCATTATATGTAGGACAACTATTTGACACTAAAGAAAATGTAAGAATGGCTATAAAACATTATGCCATGAGGAAACATCAAACTTTTTTGGTGGTCGAGTCAAAAGCAACAACATATGTGGTGAAGTGTGTCAATCACAATAGTGGATGTTCCTAGAGAGTTCAAGCATCTTTGCCAAAAAATGCAGACAAGTGAAAAATTATAAAGTGGGGTGGTGCCCATAAGTGCGTACATGCTACAATATCTCAATACCACCAAAAGTTGGATTCCAAATTTATTTGCTCATGCATTCTTGGTATGTCTAATCTTATATTAATTTTTTTAAAATAGAAAAAATATACTAAATTTCATCCTATTACATGCCAACAAATGTTAAAACTCCCTCATTATATGAGATACATGTATGATGAAAGAAGAACCATCAGTGCCTATTTCGTTAATTCAAGAGAGAATTAGTGATCAATTTGGATATTCAATTTCGTACAAGAAGGCATGGAAAGCAAAACAAAAAGTAATAGTTACTGCATTTGGTGATTGGAACGAATCTTATGCTGCATTACCAAGGTGGCTAGAGTACATGCAATTACATGCTCCTGGATCTGTATACCAAATTGAAACAAATGATTATGTTGAAGGACGTACCGTGGATAATAGATTTCGAGTTTTTTATCTGTTGTATTGGTCGTTCAAACAATGCCATGAAGCTTTCAACTTTTGTAAGCCTATAATACAGGTAGATGAAACATTTTTGTACGGTAAGTACCGACAAACTTTGATAATTGCTATGACTCAAGATGGAAACAATTGTGTGCTTCCGATTTCGTTTGCCATTGTGGAAGGAGAAACCTTATCTAGTCGTGTGTGGACAGGATTATTAGGCTGTAAAAATGGAAACCTATCCCATGCCCACATCATAAGTAGTGAGGTTAATCCTCCAATACCAGAATGCTCAATATTGGTCGACATGCATAACTCTCGATACAGAAATGCCAATGTTGCAGCTCCCCAACTGTACTCTCCTGTGATAGTAAAATCCTCAAGCAATGGAAGGTACCTAACCGGGACCCTACTAGAGGAATGATCAACCAACATGAAGCCACCTATTAACCTCAGAATATAAGTTCTAGCAAAGCGAGTAAGATGAAGTTCACTATGATTATGTATTGCAACATGTGTAAAATGTTAGTCGAACCAACTCAACTTCAAACGGCTCCCCATAAATGCATCATTAGGTGGCCTAATACCAAGCAAATACTCCACAATTTGTGCCTTATTACCTCCTACAGCTGCAATGACGGCCTTTCCATCTATACGAAGCCATATTTGAATAACAATGTCCTGAAGAGTTACAGTACACTCTCCAGGAGGCATCTGAAATGTATGAGTCTCTGGCTTCCATCTTTCTACCAAGGCTGTAATAAAATGTCGGTCAATAGGAAAGCATGCCAACTGAGCTACTCCAGCAAATCCAGCTAAGGTAAGATGAGGAAGTATTTCCATTGAAACCCCTTCCATGCCAGCCAGTATGAAATGACTCCTTCTCACCTTCAGAATTGGGTGGTCACGTCCATCCCAAATATGCTTCGATACATGAACAAACTGATATCTCAATAATGAACCATCCTTCGAATCAGGATTTAAAACCTTACTCTGCGATGAAGATGATGTCATCTGAAATTAAATTTATCAACTTAAACTTAAATTATGTACGTTCAAATTAATAAATACCAAATTCTATTCATTTTATCATTTTATTATTCATTATTAGTACATCAATTTTATTACAATTATTTAACTCTAACAAATTGTACCTATTTTTTAATTAACGTTAAAAATTATTTCATTTACTTATTATAGTATTTATTTTTATTAACAATTTAACAACTAATATATATTATTTTACAATTATATTATGTAGCAATAAATATTATTACATGCACTTAATTAAATATTATATATAATTTTTTTTACTTTAAATTATAAACAAAGTGTACTTTCATGCACTAACTTCACTTCGTATATCAAATTTTACAATTACAAAAAATAAACAAATACATAATTTTATAACAGCTACATTTTTTTTCTGTAATTCTTCATATTAAATCATAAAATCATTATTCTTTTAATTTCATTAAAGTGTTCCCTCACAATAGTTAAAGTTTACTCCTATTTAAAGTTTAATAATTACAATGGATATATATGTAAAAAAAAATATTTATTTTATCTTCTAAAAATTCTTATGTTAAAGGTTGGCAAAAAAATAACATTCAAAAATGTTTTATTTATAAAATCCTTTCAGCTAAATAAGATAAATTATATAACATTTGTAAAAGATAATAATTACTTATTTTTTAGCAAATTAATTACTATATTCTTACTTAAAGTAAAACTTTTACTTATGTTATGTTAATTTTTATAATATCATTATTTTTTAATTTATTATATTTATTCAATAATTATTTTGTTTCTTAAATCATAATTTTTTTAAATATGTAATGTTTTAAATAAATTTGATGACATAATTATTTTATTTTATTGCTAACTTTTTTATGAATATAATATTTAAATTATATTTATAATTATTTTCTTTTCATATTTTATCTATTCTATAATATAATTGTATATGTTCTTTTAATAAAAATATTGTATTTACTATATTTAATATTTTTTATTTCACTCATATTTTTATATATCAATCTACTATCAAAATATGAAAATTTATTATCTCTTCTACATTAATTATTTAATATTTTTACTGCATTCTATACATAATTTTTCATTATCATGTTTTTTATTTTTTTTAAACTATATATTTATATATATTATTCTTTCCTCTTAATTTGTCAAATTATTACAATATAATTTTTTTAAATAATTAATACATATTATGGATTACTATAATTTTTATTGATTACATTTTTAAACAACTAATTATAAATTAAATTATATCTATTATATAATTTCTAATACAATTTATCTAAAATTTTATTTGTTACAAAATAAATTAATTATTTTATCAAATATTTAAAAATTAAAATTAATTTGTGCACCTCCGCAGCTTTGATTACTTGCACCACAATCTCAATATTACATACATGTAATTTCATATTTAAAAAGTTAAATATATTCAAAATATTTATCTCATTACCTTTTAATAATTTTCGGTTCGAAAATCTTAATACAACAAGCCAACAAAATACTATTCAAATGCTGTATTTTTTTCCTGCAATACAAACCTCTCTGCAACCAAAATGCAAATCGCGAAACGGAGAAGATAAAGGGGAAAGGGAAGAAGTCTGCACCCAAATGGTCAAACTTTGCTGCCACGTGGCCCAATGAACGGAGTGTCGTCCCTAATGCAAACAACTCTCTTAAATCGTCCCTGACCCCATCGACACTGAAGTTGGCTCTAACATAGATGACTCTCTACGATTTATACACGTAGCTTCATTCTTTACCCCGTCGATTCATTTTTAATTTTTTTAATTTTTTTTCTGTGTATTTGGTACAATACGTGTATCGGCTGTTAGTTAGACAATTTTACTTTTTGATGTCGTCCCTGGTCTGGACGATTCTCTTGCCATGTCACTCCCAATCATAGACTAGGAATATATTTACATGAAACTCTATTTTAATAATTTTTTTAAAAATTAACCCTAAAAGGACAAAAAAAAAAAGCCCAAATTTATGCTTATTGATTTAATTGGTTAAATATTAAGTTAAAGTTAAACTATAATTTGAGAAATTGACAAAAAATTTTGCCAACGTCCACGAATAAGGTTTTTTGTACTATTAAATAATTTTCTTATAAACTCCTAAATTAAACATAAAGTAACTAAGTGCATTAAATAACACTCCAATAAACATTTACAGTGATTATTAGATGATAGGACTCAAGGTGAAAAATTGTTAGAATTAAGGACTAGGTGTTAGGGGGTGTTGCGAGAATCGAACTCGCGACCTCTCGCACCCGAAGCGAGAATCATACCACTAGACCAAACACCCTCACCATTCCTGGTCCTTGAGAGTTTTAATTAACAACAACTTGTGATCTTTGTGCTATGCCCAATCTAAATTATCTAATAATAGACACTACGCCCGAGAGTTAATCCAAACAGAAATGGCGGCAGTAGCGGCAGCATCCTATCACTTAATGCATCTTCTTCGTTCACAACCACTGTCAACATCACCATCTTCTTTCATTTCTTTTCTCAAACCCCTCCTTGTTTCCTCTCCCAATGCCCTATCCACGCGCCTTCAACACATCAATCTTCCACCACTCAGAAAAACCCTCGTTCCCTCTCTCTTCTCTACCTCCTCTTCTTCCCTGTCTGTTTCTCAAGATGTGGAAGAAACAGAGACTGAAGACGAGGAATTGGAAACGGAAAGAGGTGATTTTGAAGATACCCAATTGGGTTCATCTTCGTCGCCGTTGGAGAGGAAGAGGGAGGAGAGACTCAACTTAAAGCTGCCGAGTCTCACTGTGAAAGAAAGGAAAGAGCTTGCATCTTATGCTCACAGTTTGGGGAAAAAGCTCAAGACCCAGTTGGTGGGAAAATCTGGCGTTACCTCCAATCTTGCCACCTCTTTCATCGAAACCCTAGAAGCCAACGAGCTTCTCAAGGTATCAATCAATTCCCTGAATTTATTGTGTTTGATAAATTATGCTAATACATGCACAAAGGAAATCGTTTCCCAGTTTTTTCTTGCGAGTTGTAACCCTTTTTTGGCTATTGTTTTCATAGTTTGCTATTGTTCCAATTCATACAGTTTATTTCTCTTGGATTGCTTGTTTAATTTCGTACGCTGCTTCTAAATGTAGTTTTCTCGTGTTTAACTGCCACTTTACGTGCTTTTAAGTTGCTGTTTTGGACGGTTGGACTTTTGGGCCAGGTGATGGTAGTAGTTGTTGTGTTGTTCTTGCTATAAGTTGTTTATTACACCTTTGGTAATTTTGAACAGCTTTCCTTTAGGCTCTGAATATTATTTGAATGGTTTTTCATAAACTTCGCAGTGTTGTACTAAATTGGTCCATAGATACTCCGGGTGTCTTTTAGCTAGAGTATTCACTTAAGTGGGCTGGTGTAGATTGCGGATGATAATTCTTAGCGCTCACTAACTTGCAGTATGAATGGTATCTACAGATTAAAATACATCGCAGCTGTCCGGGTGTGTTAGATGATGTGGTGAAGCAGTTGGAAGAAGCAACAGGATCTGTGGCTGTTGGTCAGATTGGTCGAACTCTGATTATATACAGGCCTAGTATCTCCAAATTGAAGGCAGAAGAAAAGAAGAAACAAGTTCGTAAACTTATTCTGAGAAAAGAACTCCTGAGAAAACAATTAAAACCAAGACCGGTAAAAAAGGTAAAGGTTGTGGCTTTATTTTGTTGTGCATAAACTACTGTTTTCTCTTGCTCTGTTTCCCTAATATCCTCGTGGAACTGCAGAGTGAGGAACAAGTACCCAAATTGTCACGGCGCGGTTCATCATGGAAAGCGAGAAACAGTAGGTCATAAACACGATATATTTTTGTCGAGGTTTGACCATGTGCTTGGCCTGAACTAGCTTGAGGTTTTGCATGCATCAATACCAGCGCTCAAGGTAGTGGACATTTTATTGGCAGGGGAAAACTCAGTTTAAGCACGTTTGTATCAAAGAGTGCTTGCACACGTGAAAGAATCTGCATGTAATTGGAGCTGGAGAAAATTGCAAATCTTGAACTGAGTTTAGTTAGGCTTGATGAAGGACCAAAGCAGCCGGTTCTATTGCTATTAACGCATTGTATTTGCAGTGACTAAAATCTGAAATCTTAATTTATTACATTTTTTTCAGCTTAATTGTGCTAGCCTCTTCGATTAGCGAAGAATTATGATTTTAGAGCTTTTAATTTTCATCATGGAAAAATCTTGGTTAGAAACGGACTGAGGTCTTTCTGTGTCTAGGCACATGAGATATCTCGTACAATAAGGAAAAGATAAAATAATTCTTGATTGGCATGCTGCAACTAATGTAATTGCATTTTTGTGTAGTTCACAAGCATTCAATAGTAAAACAAAGGAGGAATGTTGTGGCAGTAACTTGCACTGTGTCGCATGATAATGCAGATGTAATGTAATCTCTGTTAAATAGAAATCTATGCGTACTTAAAAAATTAATTAACACATTTAGCGTTTTTTATTATTTTTTTATAGAATGTGTTAAAAAAATATTATTTCTAAATATTTAAAATCAATACCAAAATTGATTTTACGATACTAATCCTGCGAATGCTAGATGACAATCTTCTATTCTTGTAATGTTTCATAAATTACTTCAAAAGCTAAAAACAAATGAGTAAATTACAGGACTAATAATAAACTATAAAATTATTTTGTTCGAAAAACTCATTAAATGGTTCAAGATTAAGTGAGCATCTTGTAAAGACAAATCTCGTAATAAAATAAAAATATAATTTTTTTAACTAATATATCCGAGAACGGGTCTATATTTTTAATAAACAAGATTAAGAAAATACTGCTTATTATTTTTTATAAAAAACTGTAAAGGGTAATAAAATATTAAAAAATGTTAACCTCAATCTTTAAAATTGAATTTAAGTAACTAATAATGGTAAAAAGTTATTAAAAAAATATTTATTACACTTTTATAACTTTAATATAATAAGTATTTTTTCTAATAATTTTTTTTACTTTAAAATATTTAAAGCTCAACTTTATAAGACTGAGTTTAACTAATCCTTCAGTATAAAGCCGAGATCATAAACTAGGCAGTCCTCAACTTTTGCACTTTGTACTGATCAGCCGTGTGTAAAACGCCCTTGGGAGAAAGAAGGCGCTGAAGGGCCATCGAAAACCGAGCCTAACAAGTAATAACCATAAAAGTATTGCAGATCGGAACACTTAATGAACTAATACTTTAACTTAAGACAGGATTTACATCTTATTCTTACCCATTGAAATATTGCCAGGGAAAACCAACCGCCTAGCAAACCGTATCTGCTACTCAAGATCTGCCATCTCGAAGAAATAGGTGTTTCAAGCAAAACTGGTCAAGCAATATTACTATGTACGCCAGGAGTTCAAGGAAAGATCGTTACCCATAATACTAGTGAACCCACACAAAAACATCCACTCATTGACAAACTTGCAAATCTCAGATCCCGTCCAGCCTGCATAGGTAAAGATACGTCAAAGTCATGTGACACGTGAATATCTCTATTTTAAATTAATAATACCATAAAGCAAGTTGGACTTTTGGGGATAAAACTAAACTGTTATGAAATTAATTAATGTTCGAACAACAAAAGTTCGTTGAGCTAGAGCAAGTTTAATGAAACACACGACTGAGAAGGGAAGGTCCTACAGCAAATTTAACGAAGTTGAGCTTGTGAGAAGCAATAGTAGTTATGCTTACTGTTCTAAGTAGAAAATGAAATGAGCATACCAGCAATGTTCCCTCAAGGCTGTGAGTAGGGGGTGTTACAGCCAGCGCAATAAAGTACGGAATCAGCACCCTATGCATCTGCATGGTTACAGATACAATAGTTGGCGGTTATGTATTGTAAAATTTCCAAAATATTATTAATTAGTAAATTTTTTTTTTCCATTTGTTATCTCCATTGCTTATTGGTTGTTCTGACAACCAGTTTGTTTCACCCTCTTTAACCGGTAGCCAGCCTAACTAGCTTGAGCTTCTTTGTACAAAAAATGTGAAACTTCCCGCGCAATTTAGAATTCAAATGATGCCCCCGCCTTCATGACAAGGCTGCTTGCCACTAAGCGACTGCCACTTGCAGTTGTTTATTTCACAAATTGTTTATAACACTACATTTTAAATTATATTTAAGTTAATATTTACTTATTTAACTAATAGTATTTATGTAACTTAAATTTATCTGTTAATTCATCTCTTCCTATTAATTTTTAACAATGCAAGACAAACAATATGTTCTTTTATGTTATTTTTTAAAAATATAATCAAATTTAATATCTCAGTTTTATCTTTAGTTACTACTTTGTGTGTATTGTGTGTGTGTATGATCAACATATGTTAGACACACAATATGTTCTTTTATGGTAGACCACAGTTAAACCCAGCAACATGAGCCAATGTCCATTACTTTTATGAATGGTCCGTTATGAAATATTATGATGCAGATTGTGATTTTAAATGATACTCGAAGGGAGCAAAATAAACCAGGGGAAAGGAAGTGATTTAACTTGTAAAATTGATTGATAATGCTGGCACATGTTTTGAAACAGTTGCAAAGGATTAAAAATGAAAGACGACAGCAGCACAAAAATGTAATCTGAAGTTTAAAAACTAAAGAACTGACCTCCTGGATGACCATTCGATCAGGTGTAAAAATGTAGGGAAATAACCAAGGAACTGATGTTCCAACAATCCCTAACAATAATCCAAGTATAGCTCCGATTATCACAAGAGACCTTAGAAGTAATCGGGCCTGTTGATATTATGAAAACTCAAAATAGGATTGATAATTGAATATCCTTTAATAAAACAAAATTGATCAGTAAAGATAACACAGATTATTAATTTATAAAACTACCCTTCCCAACCAATAAAAATATCCTCATAAATCACGAATGTCAACTAGAAACAAGACAGATCAGAGACACCAGCAAGCACGGGAGAGATTTTTAGACATCAGAGTATGAATTGTGACATAATAAATGAGAAGCACTAACCTTTGACAAACTACGATTTGCTCCATATATCAATCCAGGCATAAATGACTGTGCAGTTTGGGAAAGAGGTTCACCCCATACTGTACACATGCAATAGGTTTGGACCATGACCTGAAGTAAGAGTTAACTTATCACTGGCTTGATTTTGCACAAAATTGCAGATAGCAGGCAAAGGAATAGTCACAAAACAGGAGACAGAAATAAAACTAACTTGATGAGCAGCCATTGTATGTGTACCCATTGCTGTTGCAAAATATATAAGTAGTGCGTAGAAACCCACCTAAACATCAGAACTTCATATTACATTAAAGAGTTATACTACTTCAGACAAAGCTACATATGTAGTATAGACAACCTTCGTCATCAATGTCAGAAATACAGGAGCAGCAAGCCCCATTATTGTCAGAAGTTCCTTCCCTGAAGGAATGGTGAAGGCAAATGCATTGTATCCCTTCATGTTTAGAGTTTGAATCATCATGTAAGCAGAAAAGACCTAGAAGCAGCAAGGGAAGAGAAAAACAGTATATAATGAGCTCAGTACTTTGAGAATAGCTAGAATATACAGATATATATTAATTATGGTGCACAAGAGTTAGTTCAGCATACTTGTGCAGTCAATGTAGCAAATGCAGCCCCTGCAATTCCATAGTCTAAATAGGTGCACAAAAGTATACAACCAACACAATTTATGACACTAGCAGCAGCCAAAGCCTTCAAGGGTCCCCAAGAATCTTTCATTCCAAGACTGTAGAATGTGATTACCAGGATAATGAATTAAATAAGCCAATGCTGATCATGTATTTTTAAATCAGATGAAGTAAACATTGAGACTTGTTATCATAATAAGATCTCTTAAGTGTATGAGCAACTTAAAAAAGGTGGTTGACTTGACACAGTTTCTTTTAGAAGTAAAATCAGAAAGAGTAATACATGCTTTTGTTTAAAATATATGAAACAGACAAGATATTGTCCACATATAGAGGTAAAATAACCTGCTGTCTTAGAAATATAAAGGCAAGGGAATTTTACCCGAGTTTTTCCAACAAAATATCAAGACAAAGTCTAGCATTATATTGAACAGTATTTCAACATAATTGATATCAATTGCAACTTGAAATAGAATTTCAAGACTCAAGTGAAGTGTCTCAGATTTGCATTAAAATTTCCAACCTCACAATTCAGGGAATCAGATGTTAGAAATAAATAGCATATTTGCACCTTGCACTCTGGGCAACCCATCCAACAAGTAAAGCAGGCCATGCCAAGCCTCGAATCTAACAAACAAACAAAAAATGTGTAACTGAAAAGTCACCGCAGTAAATTAAGCAAAAGAGAACACCATACTAATTATTTTAAAAAATAAATAATCAAGAAACATAAAGCGGAGTTATATACAAGATTCTATCGCTTGGTGAAATTTTTTTTGTTATAATTCCTTCAGCTACAACTACAAGAAAATGAACATCAATGCAGGCATAAATTACTTCTCTCCATAAAATGTTATGTAAATTAATGAATTTATAGAACAAGACGACAGTCTTTGTTTAAATATAATGATAAAAACCACATAGAAACAAACCTGAACATAAGAGGTAGCTGCAGGTACTACATGTACATTCTTTGGCCCCACAAAAGCTGAAAAGGCATAAGTAGCAAATTCATCAGTTAGGGGATTGGTTATGCTACCTTCTCAGCACTAGTGAATTCTTATTATCCAAAATGTTCAGAAGAGCACAAATGGCTAAAACACTCCATTTTCAATACCAGTTAGTATTGCAGCGCCAAATAGCCTTGTGAACAACAGCATCCCAAAGCCACATGCTAACCCAATAAAAAGCAAAACAGATATGTGATGCTGTACTTCTTCTCTGTCCTACACAAACTCGTGCAAAAGCAGTATGAGTCCCGAAAGTGCACATGGTAGATATGTAGATTGAAGTTGACATGATAATGTAGATTTAGCCAAATAAAATAATAATAGATAAAGCAGTGATCATCAGATTACCCCATATTTAAATACTGCAACAAAGATGGTTAATCTGTAAATATAACGTTTTTATTGGAATGACATATATCAACCAATCCGCCTGGCAATTACTGCTAATAAATGCGATTATTAGGAGTTGTCTTCATGCATGTTATGAATAGGATAAACCATGTCATAAGATTCACAAAGAAAATTGCAAACCATTGAGCACCAGCCTAGCTTGTGGCACATCTTAGTAACTTCACTCATTATACTTAAGAACACCAATGGTGTCAATACTTAAGATGACATGCAGCTTATTTTGCATCCCATCACACATTGTCTACTAGCCAAACCCTTTTGTCAAGTTTACAAATATGGATGCATCAATGATTATAAAATTGTCATAATATTTTTTTTTTCAAAAAAAAAATAAAAATCCTAACCTGTTTAGCGAGGGCAGTAGCAACCATATTTGAAGTAGCAATTGATAGAAACATGAACACGTAGCTCATGTAATCACAAACAACAGTAGCAGGACCTGCTCATAGGTAATTAAATTAAAATAAAACGACTATGTTATTTTCAATTATTAGAAGCAAATCTAATAATGTAAGCTATACAGCGTATCTTCAATCCAAGAGACAGTTAATCAGGGCAAATACTACCTAATGCAGCAAGCTCAAGTGAACTTCTCTGACCAATAATTGCAGTGTCGATGAGACTCATTAGCGGTCCACAAATCCAAAGTCCGGTAGCTGGCCCTGTAAACATTACTATTTCTTTTACCTGACTCCATATACCTTGGTTTGCTAGTTCCTTTTTCTCACCCTGCCTCACTATTTCATCCTCCTTTTCTTCTTCAGAAACGTCACTGATTTGGCTTTCGCCTTCGCCGGTGTGTTCTTGACTTCGAAATGCGCAAGCGGTTACGAAGCCAGCGCGGCGAAATGCGGAGACAGAGGCTGAGAGGCATGAATTCGGAGGAAGAGAAGGTGCAAATAAACGAAGAGGAAGGCAATGGTTTGAAGTTGGTATGAGATTAGGGTTTTGGTGGAGAGAGGAGGGAAATGAGCGAGGTAGCGATGAGAGTTTGCATGCCATTTTGATTCTCTTGCTGTGGTTTGGTGGAGGGAAAGCGAAGCCCAAAAATCCCTCCCACCAAACGAAAGGCACACGATGGTGAACCAATCCAACTTTTTGGTCCGAGAATCCTCCATCTCAAAGTCACGTTCCCCCGTTGATTAGTGGATGAGTTTAATTCATTCAACTTCTCCACGGAGGTAAAACATTTTTTAGTATTTACAATATGAGTTATTTCGATATATTGTCCGTATGAGTACTTTTTTATATAATTAATTCATTATTATAATTATTTTAATGCATGTATGTGAACAAATAATAAAGTTTTAATGAATAATATTTTTTATTAAAATTATAATCATTAATAATATTAATACATTCAATCTTAAACTGCTATATAATTTTTAATAAAAATTTGTTATATATAATATTTTATTATTAAAATTTATACATTTTAATACCATCAATTCATTAAATTTTGTAAATTTTAATAAAATATATTATATATAAAGTTTTATTAATGTATAATAATGTTCTTAAAAAAAATCAAATTAATTATTATTTTTTAACATGTATATTTAATAATATACAATAAAAAATAATAAATATTATTATAATAATAATATTTAATATTATTATATAATTTTTAATACATTCTAATAATATATCTTAGTTACAACTAAGACACATGTTTAAGAACATGTTTATTTTTTAATTATTTTTAATTTTTAAAAATAAATTATAATATAAATTTGTATTCTAATTTATCTTAAAAAATTGAAATTAATTTTTAAAAGAAAAATTAAACATACTTTAAATGTTTTACTTTGGTGATTCTAAAAAAATAAAATAAATAAATAATAACATTATTTTTGTCAACATATGTTTTATTAATAATAATTTTTTTTAATGTGCATATAAATTTTAGAGTTTTGTTAACTTTCAAAAGTTGAATTTAAGTATCTATAAATAGAAAAATTTGTTTAAAAAAATACACAGTTATTATATTAAAGTTATAAAAATACAATAAATACTTTTTTTTAATAAAATTTTACTACTCTCTTCAATTTTTTTATAAGAAATAAAAGACTATATTACCAAAACAAAAAAAAATAATTAAATCAGTTATATTTTTTATGAATATAAATTTTATTTCAAAAATACCTATAACATTAAATAGTATAGTTAGTAATTTATATATTTAATGATACTAATAAAAAAATAAAAAAAATTTAACAATTAATGCACATTAAATTTATCATTTGTTTCTTATAATAAGAATTATAAAAATAATTCATTTTATTTCTTATAAAAAAGACTTAAAAAAAAGTATTATTAGCTGCTTGTGCTCGGCGGCCCTTACTCTCTATTTAGCCTAGTGTCACATTCCCTTATTACGAAGGTATTACACGCATAACTAAGTTGTATGTGGTACATTATATTATATCGGCCTTAATCCTTCTTGTATACTGCTCTTTTTGTTACTGTATTTAGTATCGCAGGTATCACGATACAATTCTACTGAAATGTAACGATTCAGCAATAGAACAATACAAATCATATGGCGTATCATTTTTTGTTGGAAATTGCTGTCGGAATTGCATGAATCTTACGATTTGATCCTGAATCGCAATTTTTGAGGGCGCACTACAATTTAGCCGTGAACCAGGTTGCGCGCTAGTTGAGTTGGGTTAACGCAACTCGACTCCCTAAAAACCTTTTTTTTTGTGAAAATTATTATTTTCACTTAAAAATGGCTATCCAAAATTCACCCTATCAGACCTACCTCCTATTTTATTGTGAAAGAGATCATTTTTTCTTTATTCTTGCGCGTTGTGCCCCTACTCTCCACTCTTCTCTTATTTTATTGCTTTTCACTTCATATTTTTTTGTGGTTCCTTCATTTATTTTTGGTGATCCCTCAAGTTTTTTTTTCATTCATTCCCACACTCTGCCTACTTCTCTTCAATATTTTCTATTTTATATTTGTCTTCTTCTAATTTTTTTTCTTTATTGTTTGTTGTTGGAAGAGTTAATGGTCCTATTTTATATTTGTCTTCTCCTATTTTATAAGAATGATTTATGTAGTTACAATTTTTTTAGTATCATTGTGACTGATCAGCTTTGAATATTTGTACTATGTTTCATTTTATTAATTATACAATAAAAGATTTGATTATAAAATGTAAATATATAAATGTGTTTAATTTTTATTATAATTTTAATAATAATCATGAATCAAAATGATTCGAATCTCAATTTAATTATCATGCTTTTTGTTAAAATGCAATGGGAAGAAGAGAAATTTATTTTGAATTGGGATCCTCTCGTTGTAACTTTTATTACAGAGGGGTGTAGTTTTAAATTTAACTGTTGAAATATATTATTTAATAAATTTTAATATTATAATAATATAATTTTAATGAATGAGATCTCATGTAATAAAAATGTCGCTGCAAAATATTCATTCATTGAATCATTCCGTACACTTAACACTAAACTAAGCAGTCCTTAACTTTTAATTTGCTTATACTATCCTCTTCTGAGTATGAAACGCCATTAGGAGAGAGAAGGCGGAGAAGGGCCGCTGAAAACCGAGCCATTGAAAAAAACAATGTCATAATTTTATTTTATTTTTTGAAAAAAGTTTGCACTTTAATGTAAGTTCTAGCATCAAAATGAACTGGGTGTTACACGAATATAGTATAGGTCAAGCTACATTACTATGTAAGCTAGAAGAACAAGAAAAAAAGTTGTTACCAATAACACTAGCGCACCGTCCAGAAAAAACAGCATCCACTTGTTGACAAACTAATATATTTTAGCTTGCTAACAAATATTACATCCACCTACCAGATGAAAGAGTTTACAGTAAATATTGGAATTTTAACTCTTAAATTCTAACAAAAACACAATTACATGGATTTATCATAAAATTTGTTATATTTATGGAAACAAAAATTATATTTAAACCAATAATATTTGTTGCCTCAAATCTTCGTTATTTAGTAGGCATGTGTTTTTTTTTTTTTCCGCTTCAAGCTAAAAATATTATTTCATTATGAGATGAGTTAAGATGTAAAACCATTACTGAACCTCCATTCTTTAGCAAACATCTTGAACTTTTCAAAAGAATTATTGGTCTTTGATACTCAGGTGTATACTAAAAATGTACGTCAAGCACCAATAGTACAACTTATACAAATCCAACCCAATAAAACAACTAACACATGAAAACTACTAAAATAACTAGTGTGTAATATTCTAACTAGAACAAACCAGCCATGTTCCCTCGAGGCTGCGAGTAAGGAGAGTCACAGACAACGCTACAAATAATGGAATTAGTGTCCTATGTATCTGCATGATCCAAATTATATAGAAGCTATTTTTCAGATTAGGCCTAAATTTCACTATTATTTTGAATTTATAAAAATATTTACATTTTCATATGAATATCATTCATCTACTAGTTGTGATCAAGAGTGTTAATAAGGAATCAATAGATACTTTCAGATATATTACTCAAAATAATCAACATAATACGCCTAGTCAATTAGAATTGGAAAAATTTTGTTCATGTTGTTACAAACTCAAGATTCATGCAAAAATCAAGAAATAGAAAAAATTGATAGCTTATGTATTACATTTTTTACTAAGAAATATAACGTAATAAAATAATCTTTATATATTTATATAATTTTTAATTAAATTATATACACATATCATTATAAAAAAAGAAACTCAGAATAAAAAGAAAAAAAATATTTTCTTAAGAATTGTGATTTTTGGAATAGGAATAAACAAATTACAGATAAATCTAAAAGACGCACAATATGGACAAAGGAAACTGAAAATTTATAAGCTAAAGGTTTAAGAAGCAACAACAAACATTGTTAATGACCATTTGATCCGGCAAAAAAAATGAAGAAGAATAACTATTTATGGTAAAATTTTCTAAATTCAACAACAATGTGAAATTAAATTACAAACCCTCTTAACAAATCATTTGTAGTGTGTTTTTATTAAAAGTAAACTAATAACGTTGCAAATAAATTGTCAAATAAAAAACAAAAACAAAATAAGAATAATTGGAGAGAAATACAATAAAAGATTAACAGTATAGAATAATTGTAAAAATGATAAAGATTATAAAAATAAATAAATTAAAAATACATTGCAATTGAAAATAAATGTATAACTTTCAATAAGATAGAATATTATTGATGTCTTATTTTAGGTCTAATGTATATAAAATGTTGAAAAAGTTAAAATATTAACGTAAGCGTTTAAGTACAACTTTCAATAAGATAGAATATTATTGATCTCTTTTTTTGGGTCTAATATGTATAAAACGTTGACAATGATTGAAATATTAACGCAAGCGATTAAGTACAACTTTCAATAAGATAGAATATTGTTAATCTCTTTTTTCAGATATAATATATATAAAACGTTGATAATGATTGAAATATTAACATAAGCTTTAAGTACAACTTCAATAAGATAAAATATTGTTGATCTCTTTTTTTAGGTTTAGGGTTTAATATGTATAAAACGTTGATAATGATTGAAATATTAACGTAGGCGTTTAAGTAAAAAAAGTCATAATTACTGAACTACATTTTGAAATCTTATTTATAAATAAATACAATATAACTGTCTACATATTTATGTTACATATCTTTGCTCACAATCTCTCCAATACATTTGGAACTTCAACACAAATTATCCATTTTCTCTAAAATATTTGTACATGAGATTCTTAATTTAAAAATTAGCTTAATCCAATTTTTAATCAAAATGGTTTATGACCAATTCTTAACCTTCACAAATGAAGATAGTGTTTTTTAAAATAATATCAAAACATTTTTTTTCAACTTATTTTTTTAACGTTTTTAGCTTTACAATTTTATCTGGAAATTATAAAAACTTATCAAAATATAACTCTTCAACTAAAAATTATAGTTCTTTTAGATGGTACTCGGGGTGGGGGTGGCTTTTTACTCTCGGTTCCTGCAATTTTAATTTGTCCCTGTTCTCGATCTTTGCAGTGACATTTTTTTTTCTTTATCCTTATTTCTCACGCTCATACGCGAACTTACAAGGGATCCACAAATGTGTTATCAATTTTTTTTAAATAGACAAAATAAAAAATAATACATAAACACACACTTCATTTAAAATTATAAGTAAAAAGTTTATTACATTAAATTTACATAAATTTATGAAAATGATTTAAATAATCTAAACTAGAACAATAACATAAATATATATATATTATATTATATTATATTAATTCTCACTAATGCAATGATAAATTTGTTTAACCTGAGTTGCTAAAATTTTAAACTGTGGGCTCCATTGTTGCCACACAACCTGGTTTGCCAGATTTACTTCAATTTAAATAAGAGCTCATGTTTCATGCGCACCAACAACTTTTCTGTAGTCATTTGTCAAAAATATGAAGGAAACGCTATTTAGTAATCATAAATGGTAGCAACAGAAAGTGAGACGTATGCAACTAAATAAATCTCAAATTAGTTTTAAGTTTGATGTAATAAAAACATGCGTTGGCTGGATTCTTAGTTTAGCTATACATACTATGTAACATATATTCTTACTGTTAAGTACAATTTAATAAAATTATAAAAAAAATATGAATCTTACTCTATCTTATTTTTAAATTAATAGTTTTTTTTTATATTTTTAATTTTTAATAATTTTTACTTTATAGTAAAGAATATAGTAAAGAGTGTTTTACTCTTCTCCCATTTAAAATATGGGTCAATATATCACTATTTACTGCAGGAGACCAGCAAATAGTGCTCAGAGAAACGATTCCACTCATCGACAAACTTATGAATCTTAGATTCCGTCCTTCCTGCTTAGGCAAAGTTGCAATTTTGTTGCAAACATACAGTTACAGAAATTACATAATGCTTTCAGTTGTCCTACTTGAATATGAGAAGTTCCCATTATTGTTTATCAATCTTTTAAAAAAACAACATAGCTTATTATTTCTTCTTAAAAAAATATTTAATTTACTTTTTTATAAAATGCTTTATTAAGATATAATTTTTAAGTCTAATAATAATCAATATAATTCAATTAAAAGCTAATACTTAATAATATCTCATTACACCGTGTCAATTAAAAAATAAATAATAAGTAGTATTTAAAAAAATAAATTTTAAAAAATAATATCATGATATTTTTTATTTTATGAGAATTTTTTAAATAATATAATTTTTTTAAAAATAATTAAAAATATTACATAATTAAAAATAATAATTTTATTATTATTATAAAAATATTTTTGTATATAAATACATTTTTTCATTTAAATAAGTAAAGTAAGATTTTTTTATTATTTTTTCTTATTCCTATTTATCCAAACAATGTATATTGGGTCCATTATTTTGTTTATAGTTGTGCAATTTAAATTCTTTGACTAGATGGATAATAGTAAGAGTGTTGATGCAATCGATAACATACTAATGATTATATTTAAAGTTGTTTTTTTTATTAAAAATAATAATTATATTGTTTATAAATACTTTTTAATAACAAATTTGAACATCAATCTAATTTAACAATATTTTAAATTAAATTATATTATTTCTATTTTTTAAAAACTTAATATTAAAACTTGATGTTAATAAAATCAACATTTTAACATTTTTTAAAAATAAAATTCATATGAATTTTATGGCTATGCAATAACAAATTAATAATTGAGAGTCACGCTGTGAGCATGCCCCTCGCGTGTCGCGTGGCACTCGTAAACAAATCAGTTGCGAAGAAACGTGTAGAAAAAAGTGACAAAACAGTAAGATAATTATTGAATAAAACTTCGGTATAATTAGGTGGTGTTGGTTTTATTGATTAACTACCAATAATTTTTGGCTTAATTACAACTTTTTATCCATGTCAATATACCACATTTTATAATAAATGTTTATAAAAAATATTTTTGTTAAAATTTAATTTTAAAATATAAAAAAATAAAATTTATTACCTGTTATCAATTCTTTTATATTAAATATTGAACTAATTTATTTTAGTTTTTATAAAAAATATTCATAAATAATATATATAAAAAATTTAAATAACAGTGGCGTAGTAACACAGTAACAATGAGTGATAAATTGTGCTCAACCCTTAAATGGGTGAAAATTAACAGCAAAAATTAAATTTTAATAAAAATTTTATAAAAAGTATTATAAAATATGTTATATTTATAGATATTAAAAATGTAATTAAATTTAAATTTTAATAATTTTTATTAAAATAAAATTTTAATTTTAATTAATAAGCTATTAATAATACGTAAATTATAACATTTCAGTATTAACCTTGGCGTGGTCCATGACTCTCATGGGAGGTGACGATAAAATTTGGGTATTTTTTTTTATTATTTTAAAATGTGCTTTTTGATAAAGTAGTTTATTTACTTTCATTTTATTTCTTTAAATATCATAAAATTTTTATTTGTTCTTTAATTTTTTAAAATTTAAGTAAAAACTTTATGATATTTACAACGATTAAATTAAAATTATTATCTGGTGAAGATGATGGAAGTTGAATTTCTAATGGATATGAGAATTAATTTTTTTCTTTTAAATTCAAAATTTATTATTTTCAAAATTAATTATCTGTATTTTTTATAATTTTATTTTTAATATATTTTAAAAGCTTTGCTTAATTAATTATGTAATTTTTTAATTTAAATATATATTTTGTTCGCTTAATTCATATATTTTAAATTCTGTCTCAATTTCAAAATTTAAATCACCTTACAACTCTTTATCGGGAATGTTAGAGTTTCAATAGTTCCCTAGAAACATTAAAAACTCTTTACGCGTGATAGTTTGAGAAATTATATAATCTTTTTTGAGTCCCGTTAAAAATATTAGAAGACAAAACTTAAATAATAATTTAATATTAAATTTTATTTTGATAATTTATGATAATATTACATATAAATATTTTATTAAAATAATAATTTAATTTTAATTAATAAAAAATATGAACAACTACGAACAAAACGAAACAGCACCTAAGTTTTGTGCATGTTAAAACTGGCACAAAATATTGAAGTACAACTGTAATTTATTTTTCTTATAAAAAAAAACTGAGAAACTTATAAGTTAGTGTTTGATTGTTTGTGCTCAAGTAAGTAGTAGAATTCAGATCCAGAAAGCAGACAAAACGTGCATTTTAACGATTTTGTTTAGGAAAAAGTGTAACCACTAGCGAGACTGTGAGTGAGAGAACATCTGTAACACGACGCGGAATAGCGGTATTTCTAACTGCAAATATCTTCCAGTTTCCAGAATTTCCAATTTGCAAAATCATGAGCCACATGTGAAGAAGCCATCATTGTCCGAAGATCCTTTCTGCAATTACCCAAACTCTAACCGCGAATTCTAGATATCGAGATTTTATTTCAGAAGCACTTTAGTGAGAAGATGGGAAGTTTGGGCGCGATTCTGAAACGACCAGATGACTTTTACCCGCTTCTGAAGCTGAAAATGGCGGCGAGAAACGCCGAGAAGCAGATCCCGACGGAGCCACACTGGGGCTTCTGCTACACTATGCTCCACAAGGTTTCTCGCAGTTTTGCCCTCGTCATTCAGCAACTCGGTCCCGAACTTCGCAACGCTGTTAGTTCCTTGCATTTTCCCTTTCAGCTAAACAGTTCTTTCGTTCTTTCTGCTTTTGATTCGATTTGTTTATTAATTGAACTCTGGCTTTTTGCAGGTTTGCATATTTTATTTGGTTCTTCGAGCTCTCGATACCGTTGGTTTGTTTTCGTTTCTTCAATTTAAAGCATTGCGTGGTTCATTGTTCATTAACCATTACTTTGTGTCTCATAGCTTGCGGAGATAAATGATAGAGATCCGTTTTGATTACTGTGTGTTATCCGAGCTATTTGTTTTGTTTAGATGATTGCTTTTTACTTTTTTTTAAGCCGTTGAATATTATGCAGGGATTAGTGTTATCATTATACTGCCTTGGAAAAAAACATATTTTAAGTTTTAGCTTTTTTGGAGAGCTTTGGGAAACTCAACAGAAAAGCAGTAAAACAATTATTTTTTTTTTCAGAAGTTTTGCTTTTTCTCAAAAGAAAATTACATAATTACTATAGAAGGCACGCATACTTGGCATATATAGAAGTTATTCTCAGTATTTATTAATCTACGGTACATTTAGTGGCTGTTGAATGATGTGTGTTTAAACCTCAAACCATTCTTCAGAAATTAGGAGACTAGCTGTATTGTTGTAACTCTTTTTTTTTATTGTTTTTTGACAGAGGACGATACTAGCATAGCTACAGAAGTCAAGGTGCCAATACTGATAGCTTTTCATCGTCATATTTATGATCATGAATGGCACTTTTCATGTGAGTATGTCATTCTTTTTACTTTTTTTTTCTTAAATTAATTTGTTGCCAAGTAAGATAAGATCCAATATAACTTTAACATCCCTCTTCCAACCTGTTGCACTTGTTTTTCAGAAATTGGATTGGATTCAATCTAAATGCTTCTAACTTGTTTTTCAGAAATTGGATTTGATTTTAAACTACACATCCCATTGAAATTGCATTTAGTTACATAAAGACAACTTTTGTCAATCTTGAAGAGAATGGTTTTATTGTACCCCGTATATGCTGATCTTCACACATTGTTTCTGATGTAACCAAGGTGGCACAAAGGAGTACAAAGTTCTAATGGACCAGTTTCATCATGTTTCAACTGCTTTTCTGGAACTTGGAAAGAAGTCAGTTCCTATCCTCGCACATTTACTTAAATGAACTTTAATATTCTGTGGTATATGTGGTTTTTGAGGTGCTGTTTATTTCCATCCTTGATCCAATCAGCAGTAGGACTTCACTAATTTGGGTTTTATTTCCAATTTTCTGCTATTACTGCACATTACCTCAGGTGAAGTACGACTGTTTAGTGTTTATTACTAAGGCATGTTACTGGTACCGCTTAGGAGTTAGCTTATGATAACGTGTAGCTTTCAATTTGTTTGTTTGTTTTTTTCTGTCTGGAATATCTAAATTCAAATACAGAACTGTTGTGGCATGTTGTTGGTGTTGAGGTCATCAAAGTCATGCATCTTTTAATGTAATTACTGATTATGTTGATTATTGACTACAGATTGATGGATAATTGTGGTGCTTTGTGTTTGTGATTGATAAGAATTATCAACTATTTCCGTGCTATATCATAGAGGTTTCTGTGTTTTGTATTTTTCATCAGCTGTTAGCCTGTTACAAATGAAAAATTACTAGGCCTTTTTGGTAGGATTAGATTTAAAATACTTTTTAAGACTTAAAGGTGCTCTTATTCTCTAATTTGTCTCTGTGCATTCATATTTTGTTCAAATTGAAGATATTTCTTATCTAAGATTTGTATATGGAAATGGATGCGCTGCCTTTATTAGCTTCTCTACAGTATATATATATATTCAATTATAATTATAATTCAGGTTATGGCTGTCCATTCTATGATAAACAATAAGATGTTTGTCAATGATTTTTGCAGCTATCAAGAAGCAATCGAGGACATTACCAAAAGAATGGGTGCTGGAATGGCCAAATTTATTTGCAAGGAGGTTTGTTACACATGACTTCTGTTCTGCCTATATTCTTTTCATTAACTTAGTTATAGTTAATATTGTTAACCTCTGTGACTGATAAGACATTATAACAATTTTTTTATTCCTTTGAATGATGTTTCCATCTGCAAGTTTCTGGTTTTCAATATTTCATTTTTTAATGATTTCTGGTGCATCAAACTATCTTATTTAGGTAGATGAAATATGGGGAGAGGGGAAATATAATGAAGGTCTGAAAACATATAGTCTGTTAGTTTTACTTCACCACAACATTTTCTTAATAATTTGACAGTATACTGTTATCAGTGCATCTATCCCAAATTCTTACTTACAGAGCACTATGCTGTGAACGGATTTCTGCCATGTTTTCAACATAGAGATCATCTTGATTTATGCCAAGAGATATTTTTTTCTGTTAATTTGCAGGTAGAAACAATTGATGACTATGATGAATATTGTCACTACGTGGCAGGCCTTGTTGGGCTGGGTTTATCAAAGCTTTTCCATGCCTCTGGTTTAGAAGATCTGGCCCCAGATTACCTTTCCAATTCAATGGGCTTATTTCTTCAGGTATCGTGATTGTAAGATATTAAAAAACTGTATGATCACTATTGCTAATCACATTTCAATTAATTCTTTTGAGATTACAGAAAACAAACATTATTCGAGATTATCTGGAAGACATTAATGAGATCCCCAAGTCACGCATGTTTTGGCCACGGCAGATCTGGAGTAAATATGTTAATAAACTCGAGGTTTGTCTCTATAGGAATTTATATTTAATCTAACATAAATTATTCATTCACCTCGATCTCCATCATTTCATGAGTTTCTTATCCCTTGATGGTGTGATTTGAAATCAGCTTCCCATCACTGTATCACACTATTTTGTTTTACACACGTGAATGCCTTTTTAACTTCTTTTCTGTTTCCAGGTGTGCTCACATATGATTTTTTTCTTTGTTACTCCAATTTAAATTTTATAATCCAGGATTTGAAATATGAGGAAAACTCTGTTAAGGCAGTGCAGTGCTTAAATGACATGGTCACTAATGCTCTGATGCATGCTGAAGATTGCTTAAAATACATGGCTGCTTTACGAGACCTGGCTATATTTCGCTTTTGTGCTATACCCCAGGTGCTGTTCTTTTGCTAAATTAATCCCTGATTTTAACTGTTGTTCAATTCATGTCACTCCTGTCTTGCAATGATGTGGCATCATTTATCAGCACGTTTTATGTTGAAATATTGTCTGCATATCATTTTATGCTTCAGTAGAGGTAAATCATTAGCAGCTTCTTGTTCAGTACAAAATAAATAAGAAAAATTACAATGTTCTATCAGTTTCTTTTAATTTTTTAGTTTAACACTGTCCGAAAGATGTGATAACTGATGAACCTTAAAATATAATACTTTCTTTTAATTTTCTTTGTAACTAATGGATCTTGTTCCTATGTTTGAGTGATTTTCTAGATTACAAGTGTCAGCAGGTTTAGTTATATAGCCTTGCTGATTTAATTTAGTTAATATTTTATGGAAAGAAAAAAAAAAGATTTCAAGCAACAGATGTTCTAGAAGCAGAAGCTAAATAGTTCTTTAAGTGTGTTGGCCTCTAATGTAGGTTCAAACAAGTTACAATACTTTTATTGTGGATTTACCAACTTCAATCTGATATTATGTGGATTTTTTTATTTTTTTTTCTGTTTTATCTCCTGTTTATATGGATTTTATGTTTAATGATTATGTACATAGCGCTAACTATTTTTGTAGTTTTTTCTTTGTAAATATGATGCATATTTGACATATGCTGAGACAGATAATGGCAATTGGAACACTTGCATTGTGCTACAACAACATTGAGGTCTTCAGAGGTGTAGTTAAAATGAGACGAGGTAAGAACAAATAATCTCCTTAAAACTATCTTTGGAATCTGTTTGTTTTGGAATTTGCATAGGATGTTCAAATATTCAAACATAAATACATGTAACTGTTAGTACACATCTCCAGTGGCACTCGCCTCTTTTTGATGTTGCTCAAGTACTGGAAAGACAGTTTTAACTTGGAAAGAATGGCTAATGGCATATACTTTTGAGTTTACAGGCCGGCTGCAATTCTATGACGGATATTCCTAGTTTTAAAGTAAACTGATAGTACCATAGCATTGATATATTCTTTAGTTAAGGCATTTGCATGCTTGCCTTTACTCCAATTTCATTTGACAAGGAATTGGTTTTGTCTGGAATTAAAATGGATCAACGTGTTGTCATTGATGTTTTTTGTCCATTGTTAATATGTATGTGTGTGTTAATAATAGTATTAAACTAGATGTTATTTCTTCATTTTGTCTATGATTTATAGGTTTAACTGCCAAAGTGATTGATCGAACAAAGACTATGTCTGATATCTATGGTGCTTTCTTTGATTTTGCTTCTTTGTTGGAGTCCAAGGTATGAAGCTTTCATTATCCTAAACAAAGAATGATTAGGTTTGCAACTCAAGAATGTGGATGCTACTCATATTGCATTTTACTCCAGATAATGTTCCTACTTCCCATTGTGTGTTTTATAGCAGCAAATACATTAATATGTTCATCAATGACGTGACATGCGCACATCCAACATTTTCCTTCTTGGGTGTTTTTTCCCAAGATAATAATTTAATAACACTTGATCCCTCACCCTTCATTCATAGGCCTGAAGGAAAAGAGATGTTGAGCATCCAACTTTTTAAAATGCAGTATTGTTGTGGTTCTGTTATTTTTCCCCTATATTTGTTGCCCTTCCAATTCCATCCACCATGGAACTAAAGCTGTTTTTCAGTTTCTAGAGCATCTTTGTAAAAGGTTCAGTTATTTTCCATTGTAGGTTGACAAAAGTGATCCCAATGCAACAAAAACATTGAGCAGGCTGGAAGCTATAAAGAAAACTTGCAGAGAATCTGGTCTCTTGAGCAAAAGGCACGCATATATATCCAAGCAGCTTCAAAAGTATCTTTTTACTATTGACAGTCTAACAAACCGTTCATTGATTTGTGCAGGAAATCTTACATTATGAGGGATGAAAATGGATATGGCTCAACCATGGTACGTTTTTGCTTTTTCTTTTTTAACTAAATCCCACATTTCTAAGAATATAAACTGACTAAAAACTATTCCTGCAGATTGTCATACTGGTGATCATGTTTGCCATCATTTTTGCTTATCTGTCAGCTAATCAGCAAAATAACTAGTGTAAGTTGTATTGTTAGTGTTAATGTACGGTTGGAATTGTAAGAACGATTATCATTTTTTATAATATTTTCACTCCTTTTTTTATATAGCAAGTAGCCTTCTTGCCTTTCCGAACATAGATAGCATGAAAAAATGATACCTTGCGTCATTCCAACGGAATGTGAATTTGCACGCACGCAAACAAGCAATTTTATGATGGCTGCCGTTAACTATCTATCGTGTATTGTAATTAAAAAAGAACAGTCGAATATAATTCCAATAGCGTCCTGTGTTGTACTTAACTTTACCCCTACGTTCATCCCAGGAAATTATCATTATTATGCGTGTAATAAGTTGATTATCTACAGATAAAGTTGGAATACCAGAAGAGTGGTACCAGTGATACCCCTACCCCCTCGATCTTTTTTCCCGAGTTAAATCTCTCTAGCAGTAGCATGACAAAATCATTTACAGGAAAGAAACAGAAAAAGGTTTAAGAGAAAGGAAAGAAGCTGAAAAGAGGTTTCGGATGTGATAATTGTATGTACGGAAATGGATACTTTGCGAGTGTGTTATATTAATATAATATTAAATTTAATTAAATAATAGTTTTGTGTATATTTTAATACTTCGATTTAAAAGTGCACTCTTGGTGAATAAGAGAAGGGGGAAAAAAGGCATTAGCCAAGGATGAGGGTGAAGAGCACGTGAGCAAGGAAATAGAGTGGGTGAGGAGAGGTTCTCAACCCAAAATAACTAATACAAGGTTGAAGAATTTTTATTGGCTGAATGAGTAATATAATGGGTTGTTAGAGGATAGAGAGAGCTGTAGAAGGAATTAATGGTGATTCATTTTCTTTTTAGTTCTTTCTTTTTTTCATCATTGTCTTTGCTGTAACTTAGTTATTTTCCTTTTTGCTTGTCTCCATTGAATTTTATTTCATTAACCGTGTTTGTGCTAAAATGGAGGACATTTTTATATTCTATTAATTGCTTTAACTATTTCATTAAATTCCTATTCTATTCTACCTTTTTTTTTTATTTCTTCCATTACATTGGTGTTTTCATCACTTCATGGTGGAGAACATACACATGAAGGGGCTCGTGGTAGATGTCAAAAGGATTCTCGAAATAATGGAATTTTGTGATAAGGAGTATTTGCTCAATTTGAAACTCTGAAACAACGTTGGAGTTGTCACTCAAGTAGAAATCTAGTGAAGATGTGGACTCTTCTAGCAATCAGAACAATCAACTATTCCAGGTTAGAAGCGTAAAACTCGATTTTTTCAAGTTTGATGAATCTGATGTCCTATAATGGATTTTCAAGGCCAAACAATTCTTCAACTATTACAGAATTCGAATGATCAAAGTTTGATTATTACTTTGGTCTGATTACTGATTCGATACATTTTGATAAGGATGTGATTTCCTGCTACCAAATGATCACTCGTGACAACCTATTTCATTCTTGGACTGCGAAGGCCTTGGAGATGGAATTTGGTCCCTCTCCATATGAATGTTCGAGATCTCAGTTGTTCAAGCTCACTCAATCTAGCTCAATCCATGCTTATTAAGTGCAACGTGCAATTCATAGCACTAGTTAACCACGTTCAAGGGATTACACAGGAAGCCATATTGGATTGCTTTGTAGGAGGATTGAAACTTGACATTCAAAGGAATGTTATTGCTCAAGCACCAACTTCACTCCTTAGAATTGTTTCATTAGCCAAATTATGTGAAGAAAAATATGTCCCTAAGTCCATACCATTCACCTCAACTTTCTCATCCAAAACACAAGTCATAAACACAAACCAAACCACCTCTTTGTCCCTAAAATCCACTAGTCTACCTTCATTGTTACCTTCCCCTAATTCCAAATCGACCAATGTCAGAAAGTTAACATAAAGAGAAATGAAGTTAAGAAGAGATAAGGACCTTTGTTTTATTTGTGATGATAAGTTTTCTCTTAGCCATAAATGTCCTAACAAGCATTATTTTGTCCTACAATGGGAGGAGGAGGATGAACTTGAGTTACAATCTGATCCCTTGGATGAAGTAGAAGTGGTTGCAAAAATAACACTTCAAGATCATCATCTATCCTATAATGCACTAAAAGGCTCATCAGACTAAGAACAATGAAATTTCAGGGGTCAATTTTAATATACAAAAAATGATTGAGACAAGACTTGTTCTTGAAAATTCATAATGGTTGAATACACAATCAATTGTGAAATAATGCGGCTTATCACACATTAAAATTTTAAATATGCTAATTACTAGAGCTAGATTATCAAAAATATGTTAATCCTCTACACCCAGACCTAGACTTAGATAGCCATTGAATTATAGAGGTTTAAAATGTGTAGACGTTATCAATTAATAATCTTTCTTAATATTTTAAATTTAAGTTTTCATTCTTAAAAGTAATTTTAGTAATTATTATTATTTTTATTAAATCATGTGACTTCACTTAAATTATGTTTTTTTTGGCTTATTTATTATATATCCCTTAAATTTGAATTGAATTTTTAAAATTTAATTCTTGACACACCATATCAAAATAAAGAGACCTATTTTTTTTTAGATAAAAGGCTTAAGAGGAATATTACAATCATAGCCAACTTCAGTTTAATTTTTTTGTACAATTTAAATATAAATTTGACTTAATATATCAAGCTAATAAACCTAAAGTTAACCTGATTCAATTTGAATAATTTATTTTGAATTTTATCTTTTAATTTTTAAAGTAATTTCTATACTTTTATTCATATGTAATAAAATCAAATATTTATTATCGTTAAAGAGTAATAATATTTTATATTTATCGGATTTATTTAAACCTAAAATAATTGTGCAATACACTGTACAAAATATTAGTGTATATATATACTTGAAGACCAATGTTTAAGTTGAAAACTTTCTCAATTAAAGTCTTCTACACATAAATTTAAGATTTGAACTCTAGACATTATATATAAAATTTACTGAGTGGTAATTACCATCTGCTGAGAGATCGGTCACTCTTAGATAAAATCCCTTAAATGAAGTGATGTATAACTTTGAAACAATTTTAAAAAAATATATTAAATTAAACAGTTGGTTTAAATATAAGTGATAAGAAGAGAGGAATATCCAGACATTTATTTTTTTTAATAATTATATTTGTTATTTAATGTTTTATAATATGCTTACAGAGTGAAAATTTTGAAACTTAAAATATTCAAATATGTAAATATAATTATCACTTGATTTCAAAAGTGTGGATATCATCGAATCCAAATTTTAGAATAGGCATTCATTTTAGTTTCTAAAGTTGCTTAGGTCAATCACTTTAGTCGTACACTTCAAAAAATATATTTTTTTATTCTTAACTTTGTAAGAAATTATTATAATTATTTGTTATTACATTTTTCATTACTATTTTATATTAAAAAGTAAAAATAAATGATATATTACAAAGTCAAGTATTAAAATAAAAACTTTATAAATTAAAGACTAAACTTTCAGAACTTAAAAATAAAATTATTTTTTATTGAGTTCTTTAAAAATAGGATAAAAATTGAAAAATTGAGATGAAAAAGTGGTAATTCGACTTCCCTTTCCCAAATTGTTAAAAAACAAAGTTTTTTTTTTCTTCATTCTTTTCCCTTTTCATTGGATTGACAATACTTATAATTTGGTACAGTAAGACTCAAGTTGAATAAATTCATAAATAAGAGAGAAAAACTAATATAAAATAATAAAACTTATCTTATAAATTAAGAATAATTTATATTTCTCTATTTTTTTTAAGTTTACATAAACTGAGTCTAATTGCATAAACAAACCATTGAAGGAAACAAGTTGAGTGCAATAAAATAAAAAATTGTGATAACAAAATATTCATTTCTAAATTCTAAATGATAATCACAAGGGAAAAGTTGCCATTTATATCCCATCTATATCACAAATAAATCAAAACATACACACAAACAAAATCCGCAGGTTTAAGAAACCAATCCAACCGGAGAAAAACTCAAAACACTTCAGCCACCTTGCTTGCAAGAACCCGCTCCCTCCTTTCAATGTAACTAAATGGAAACCAACCTGCCTTGCCTTTGCATTCACCCTCGGCCCATCCGCTGTTTGTTACCTGTTAAAACCACAACCACCATAATAATGCCAAAGGAAAATCAGAACAACTTGGAAAACAAGGATGATTGAAAATTATGGTATAAAGGGTCTTCTATCTGGTTATTCCCGTATTTCTTTCAAAAATTGTGCTAATTTGTTACCATAAGTGAAGGTGATTGAAAATACAATGCAATCCATCAGAAGCACCCTCCCCAACCAGAGAAAGAGAGAGAGAGGACAGGAGATAAGTTATTCTTCAAAGAAAATTATAGATTAAAGTTATATTCAAGATTCAGCAAGGTATGAACCTTTCGGACAACAACATAATCACCAACTGATAGATTCAGCTCCACTTCAGATACAGCAGAATATGGAAATAAAACCTGCATGAAGGGAAAAAGTTACAAAAGGAGAAAGCAGTCACCTGTTTTCAATATTTAGTGTTTCCCTCTGTACAAGAAAGCAGAGAAAGTCTCTTACTAACCTCTCCTAAGAAGTAACCCATGCTATCTGTTGATCCATTATGTGTCTGAGATGCATAGACCCCATTCACTTCTTCATATGACGGGGGTGGTGGCATGCTGTTATCCACACTAGGAGTAGAAGGGGCTTCAATCCGTTGTCGTTCTGATATCATCTATCATTAAATATACATGAAAGCATTGAGTAATATATTTATAACAAGTAAATTGCCTATCCGTAAAATGGTATATTTGGCTTCAGTGTGGTGAATAAAGCATAAAATGATCGAGTGATATGAATGCTTACCTCTCCCTCAAGCTGATCAAATATTTGTAGGACTATTTGATGATAGGCACGCTCTGCTTCAACCTTCATAAGGAGAAATAAAACGAGGGATTAATTAAAAGTTATGATTTGTTATTACCCATATCCAAAGTTTCATTAAATTGAAGATTTGCAGAATCATACAGCAAACTGCAATACCATAGCTATAAGACGTTGAAGAGTTAGCCTCTGTTGCTGTGCTTCAACAGCAGCCAATGCTGCAGCTGCTTCCTTCCCCAGTATGGCCATGTTTGTCTTGAGGTCTTGCAACTTCGCTTCAGCTGCTTCTAATTTCATAGCATTCTCAGCATTGCCTGGCGTTTCTCTTACTTTTGCCTGGCGTTTAGAAACTTCAATAGCCTGTCTAGGTTCAAAAGACAGACTAATTACAAGTCAAGATACAAAAATAAAATCATTAATGAAACGTAATGAAACACAAAAGTTAAAGGGTGCTTTTAGATAACTTACTTATTCAATAATTTTTTTTAAAACAATGACTTGTATAATAAATTTAGCGATGAAACTTATTTTGATAAGCTATGCCAAGTAGCTTATCAAAATAAACTGAAAACAATTTATGAGTCATAAGCTGTTTATAACCGCTTTCAAACAGGCCCAGAGACAAAGAAGGTGACAAATGAAAAAAGGAGTCCAATGTTTTGAATAAGTTAAATGAAAGATAAATTCTAGAATACCTGGGCTTCAGCTTCTTGTCGCATTCTGTCATAACGTTGAGCAAGATGCCGAGCATCCTCCAATGGAGCTCCAACCACCATTGCCCTCAAGGGCTCTGCAACCTAATCAGCATTGACCATGACTTCAATCACATAATATTTAGGCTAAGATGACTAGTTAACACAAGATAAATCATCGATATGAGCAACCAAAATAAATAGAAAGAGATAGATGAACATGAAAATAAGTATGGCAATTAAATTCTGTTCATAATTGGACATGAATGTGGCCTACATAACCCTTTTCCATTAGATTGAACTTGTAAATAAGTAATCAACATGAAAACGTGCTTATACTCACACTCACACACAAGTATATACTTCGTATCAATATGCATATACTACCTGTGTACCAAGAGCTTTTAGTAAGTTTCCACGCTCCTTCTCCATGTGAGCATGGGCTCGTGCAAAACTTAGTGCAGCTCGAGACAATGTATTACCACTGGTACAAGTATTTTCTGCACCATATTTTCTGCTATCTTCTGACAACTTTGTTCCTATTAAAAAAAATATATAGGAATTCAATAACAATATTTTCTTCAAACTACATGCAACCAACTCTTATAAACAACTTCACAAACCAACATTACTAATACTTACCTATTTCAACTTGCTTGGACCCAGTAACTATATAACCTTCTGCACCACGGACAATATCCCTTTGATAATGCTGAAAACACAACAGGTGTCATTATCAGCAAAGCAGAGAATACATAAACTGAAATGAAACATTAATGAAAACAAACAATTTGCATCAAAGAACCAAGCAACCTTCCCCGCACGTGTCGATATATAGAGTTTCTCAAGTTTCTGATGTAGCTGGAGCTCTACTTCATCGGTAACCATATTATCCGAACCTCCATAACCACCAGCCCCAAACTGTTTCCAAACAGCCTAAATAGCAATAATTCAGAATTTTCATTAGCACCTTCACAAAGGAAGCAATCAAATAAAAACGAAGGAACATTCCAGAAACAGAAACGAACAAATAAATAAATAAATGAAAGCTTAATCATCAAAATTAACATGCGCATGGCTCGGCGACTTTAAATTCAGCTACGAATAAACTCTACAGTTTTCTTAATTAATTTCCGCAAACGCAAGCGCCGAATTCGATTAGATCCAACACTCTCGGTATCGTATTCACGAGAATAACAATTACGAGGTTAAAACCACGCGGAGAGGAGTTAGACGAAAATCGCAACGAACCGTCGCAAATGGAGAGAAAACCACAAGAAAGTATAACGATATTCACAAAAACAGATAAGAATGCGAAAGATCTGGTGAAAGAAAGGTTTTGAAGGAGAACCTGTTGCTGGCGAGCGACCTGTTCTCGAAGCTTCGAAGCTTGCTTTCTGATTGCATCCATTGAATTTCATGAAGGGGAAGAGAGCAGCGAATGGATTTTCACTCTCACGACACTGCCATCAACAACAACTTCTTCCAAACTATATCCATTCATTGGGCTTTGGATCCTTCACGGAGAAACTTGTTCATTTTGAAAACATTTTTTTATTTTTAAATAAAGACGGTTACAATTACAGCTTTTTTAAAGCACCAAGGTACTATTATGAATATTCACACCGCAGGAGTGTACACATCGCTTTTAAGCTATTGGAAATTAAAAAAAATAAAATAAAGTGTAATAAATACTGTGATAAAAAAAAAATGTAAGAGTAACAATAACGGTGAATTGCACTACTTACATATTAGGCGTTAATTGATAACATTTTACATAATATAATTATAATTATAATTATAATTACTATACATTAATATTGATGTTAATTCTTTTTTAAATATATTAATTTTAATTACACTTCTTTTATTTTTTGATTTAGTTAAATATACTATTAATGTTTATTACATTTGTCAACAAATTGTGGTAATCTAGTTCAGTCCCATATATTATCAATATTTTATTGAATCAGCTTTAAATTCAAGCAAATGGCCTTAAAAAATAAGGATCAAATTAAGCCTATCTTAATTTATCTTAAGAAACCCTAATTCAAACTCTGAAGAACTGCAAAACACAAACGTATATGATAACTTTAAAAAAATTAAACAAATAAATATTAACGAGAAAAAATTATTAAAAAAATTTGAAAATGGAAGAACACTGAAATATACTACGAGATACGGAAACGGTAAAAAAAATCTACTCTAATTTTATGGATCAATTTCCAATTCCTTAACCTTATAATATTTAGTCTATGTTTATAAACTTAAATTTTGAATAAATTTAATCTTATAAAATTAATTTTATTTAAAGATAAATTTAAATATGGTTTATATTTGAAAATATTTTGTCTATAAATCAAATTTATAATATATAGTATGATTTTTTTAATACAATGTAAGATTTATTTCTTATTATATTAACTTAAACGCAAAATTAAATATAAAATTATTTTTTATCAAAGCAACAAACATCGATTTTTTATATATATAAAATCATGTTATAATAAAAAACATGATTTTGTAACATTTCAATGTTAATTCAATCATGCATTTATAACATATTTAAATTCATTTAAATCATTATAAACTCACATTAACATTAATAATTATAATTAATGCATTAAATTTATATTCATAAAAATTTTAAAATAATTCTTATCATATATTTCATCAACCTGCATCCTACTTAGTATACATGCTTCTCCGACTTATAACACATGTTTATCTCTTTTTTTTTTTTTTTTTTTCTAATTAACGTCACCTTCCCTTAATTTTTTTTCTTCTATTTTTTTATACATATTTTTCACATGAAAAAGTAGAAAAAGACAAACTCACAATCCCTTCTCTCTCTCTCTCTCTCTCTCTTTTTGCTTTTTTTGGATGAAAAAATATATAATTCTATATAATCAAGTGTAAAAATAACATTTTTTGGATGATTTGTTTTTCTACAAAGTATTCTCAAACAACTTCAAAAACAAGTTTTTTTTTTACCATTAGAAGAACAAGCTTTTCTCCCACGCTATGCTTAGTTACTTATTGAAGAACCTTAATGATTGTCTTTTATATTTTATTTTTATAAATATATTTATCATTGTCAATAAAAAAAATTATCACTGTTTTTACTAGCTAGACAGCCAAGCTCAATGTCATAAAAGTAAATAATATTAGGAACCATCAAAGTCTAATATAATTGACAAATAATTATATCTCTAAAATACATTAATAATTATTCAAATTTTGACTATAAATGGAAAAAAAATCACCGAGGGAGTCAATGTTTATTTTAGTAATTTTTACGTCTTAAAAAAATTGATATTCAACTATTAACTGAAACTGTCTCAGTGTACATATAAAAAAATCCTATCAACTTTAATCCCTGGAAAACATACTACATAATGCTAATGAATTTATATGATGAAATATAAATATACAATGAAAAGAACATTTATGTAAAGACCTACACTAAGGTTTAAAAGACCAACCAGGCATAATCAAAACACAACCACGCATGTGTAAAGTTCGAATGACTCAAAAGACCTATAAAGTACTTGGAAATCGCACTTAAGCTGAAAGACCTTAAAAATCTGAAGTTATTATTGAGTTAGAAATTGTCAAATTTTGAGCAGTTTTTGTCCCAAAGGTATTACAAATATATGTACACACACACAAAGGCTTCCTTCCAGTCAAGTGGGAGTGGATTACAAAATCGTACAAAGGAGTAAAAAATAAATAAATTTTAACATACATAATCATACACACACAAATATATATTTGATTTCACATGATAAATAGAAGACTAATCTCTTGCAATACTGTTAAATGTTCAAAGCATGGACCCTTTTCAATAATGTCTGTTTTTTATACTCTTTCAGAATCAAATTCAAGTTACGATTTAAAGATTTTGAATTCCTTTCACTTGGACTAACGTACAATGATATACAAATTTATTAGTAAATTATATATTTTTTTATATAAAAAATACTATATATGAGGCAACTTTCGGAGACAACGAATCACTGAATGAGTGATCCAGGATAACATCAGAGTATTACATCTATGCCATATCGTATATAGATAACACCAGGATAACAGTGTTTTTTTGTACAAACATGAAAGATCAAACCGTGGACCACATGGCACATGCTTAAGCTAAAAAGTCGTGGTTAATTTGTCAAAGTAACTTGGTTAGTGTGAATCACTGAGATGTTAGGATCGAAGGGCCAAGTTTAATTAACTCTGGCTTGGAAAAATTTTAATGGTTTAGAAAACTGTCATGTTCCCTCGATGGGTCACATTTTGCATATCATAAGCAATAAACAAAATAAGGAGTTCACAATTCACATCACCATCAATTGTACCACTCGTGAATAATTTAGTCAACGCTATAATACTGTGAGGTGCCAAACTAATAAAAGCTCATTTTCATGGTCCTCAATCTCACTCTATCCTCTGATAGGTAAGGCACAAAGATTCCAAGATAATAATGGAGCCTAAAGCTAAGACTGAGCCCACCATAGAGTAAATGCTGGCAGTGGTGGTGGACCAAGTACTTAGTGGGTTTCTCAGGCAGTGGCATCTACAAACTGTATCACACACTATTCAAAATCTACTCAGCCAAACTATCACTCAAACAGTGACTCATTCTTGGTTTTGCTCCATCATGGCTCCTCCTTGGAGTTTAGTCATCACTTCGATGTTTCTTATTTTGCAACAGTCGTGTTTTCTTGTCACCTTTGCATCAAGCAATGTAAACTCAGCTTCTCCTCTTTTCTACTAATCATATTTTGATTTATTCCTCCGTAGCATCTTCAAATGGATATAAGGGGTTCCTTTATTTTACCTCTTGCATCCCTTTTTGGTTATCTTTCTTATTCCCTGTTCTTTGTAGGTCCACATTGTGTATATGGGTGACAGAAGCCGTGGCCAGAGTGAGCAACAGTTAGTTGAAGATTCATACCTTGACATACTATCACATATTCTTGGAAGGTTTCACTTTAATTGATTGCCATTTTTCAATGAAAATGTTCCTGTTTCCCTGAAGTTAGTTGCCCTGCTTATTTTGATGCACAACTTAACATATTTGGAATTTTCAACATGAGCATCTTTGCATATTGTTTCCCATAAAATAATTGATAACGAATGGCGTTTGAATTAATATTTTGGTATAGAAGAGATGAAATTTACCATGAAGGATAGTCGTCGGAGTTGTATGCAGTTTTGGAAAACCACTGCTAGGAAGTCCATCTTGTTTTGCTATGAAGAGATGAATTAATATTTTTTTGTTTTGTTTTGTTTTGTAAATAGCAAAAGCGCTGCTAGGAAGTCCATCTTGTATAGCTATAAGCATGGCTTTTCTGGATTTGCTGCAGTTTTAAGTCAGTCTCAAGCTAAGCTCATTGCAGGTATTTGATTTCACAGTTCTGGTCAATATCGAGGTAGTCACAATATGTGAATGCATTGCTTAACACTTTCTGCGCAAGAAAAAAGTAAATTAGATTAAAATGAGAATGAAATTTTGGAATACTACTATTGTATGAAAAGTTATATACAAGTCTGGGTTATTCGTACTAATTTTAAGGGATACCAAACTTTAATTCTTTCTTCTTCGTTCCGATTAAAATCTGAAGAAAATTCTTACATCAAATTAGTTTTTAGCTCATACCAGGTACCGCATTCAGTACCATCACTTCCTAGCAATACATGACTAGTTAGTCAATATCACCTAACACTCTAGCACAAATCAATCCATGCATGATACCAACTTTTGTTCCTAGACTGTTCCGCTTGTTATTAAATGATACAAAGCGCTACTTCACTACCTTAAGTAGTTTTACTTCAGTTAGAACATTATGAAAATTATTCACATTATGATTTAAATTTAATACTTTACTGTTCAAATTACCCAGTTGGATAAGACTTTGTTGTCGTTGTGGATTGTGTGTTTTTAAATTTCTATATGATAATATTCTTTTGTACCCGTACCTTAGTTTTAACATTTTTGTCGTATTATTGTATCCATACTCGTACGTACTGATACCGGTATGCAAGAAAACATTATACCAGAATTCCTTAAAGGAAACTTGATTAAAAGATAATTCTACCTTCATTTATGTGAAATTAATAGTTACGAATTTATAAAGAAAAAGTGAAAGTGGTCTTCGTATGACCTTTAATTAGTTATACAGAAAACAACCAATCAAACTAGCATCAGCCAACAATCTGTCATTGATTATGCAGTGATTTTCGACATCTTATTGAAACTCAGGAAATCCTTGCAAAGAGAATGCTGATTTGAAGAAAAGCCATAACAAAATGCAGAATATGGCAGCAACAAGTCTGAGAAATACATAAAATACTATCTCTTCAGAGTCAAAATGTCAAAGTTATGGTTGTAGCTAGATAGATGGATAGTGTACCTAGTGAAGTACTATATAAAAGTATGGCCTGCCAAAGGTAGTTGTGGAAAGGAATCGTAATGGTGTGAATCAATGTAGCAAAAGTGAATTTCTAACAGCTTGTTTATAAATAGCTATCCTCTCACTTTGTAAAGAATATAAGAGCACTTGCTCAGATAAATATCCTATTCCTATGCATGAGAAAACCTCTGACTAACTATCTAGCTAAGGTCCACTTTGCCACGAGGTTAACAAGTTCGTTAGGATGGGCCATTAATAGCATATGGTAGTTGTGAAGCAAGTGTTTTGACTCATGATAGGTGACTGAGAATCCCAATCAGTATGGTATAGTTACTACAATGTTTCAAAATAATGTAAAGAAGACGTGCGTAATGAAAGCCAAATCATAATAATGAGTTCAGCAAAACTATACCCATGAAATACATTTCAAAGAAATAACTTACAATCCCTAATTCTCATTAACTCTATTATATCTCAATCAGAGCTATGCCAAGTTGTAACAATTTTCTCTATTTGTCTTCATTTTTTTACACGCAGATATCCCAGGGGTTGTACGTGTGATTCCGAATAAAATTCTTAGTCTTCACACAACAAGAAGTTGGGATTTCTTGCACGTAAAGCAGGATATAGTAACTGGTGTTCTTACTAGGGGTCAATCTGGAAGAGGCACCATCGTTGGGGTCATAGACACTGGTTAGTATGCAAATACTATGTATATACGCATGTGCTTGATAAAATCATAAAATGGGATTATGATTATGCAATTGATTCTTTGCTATATAGGTATTTGGCCTGAGTCTGAGAGCTTTAGAGATGATCACATGGATAATCCTCCTCCTCGGTGGCGTGGTATTTGCCAAGGAGGACAAAACTTTGACCACTCCCACTGCAATAGGTTGATTAAAAATGTATTTTTCCCATGATTTTTCTTTTCGTTAATGTGAATAGCATTGTCATAATTTAAACTAAAATGTGAAGGAAGACACCAGTAACCGTTTTGCATGCTATGTGATGGAAATGAGTGAACGACAATCTGTAAAACCAACAGCTCATATAACTCTTTGTTCTGTTTGGCCAATGGCTACCACTACTTTTATAAACCAAATCAAAACTTTAATTCCCATCGTTTCATTAATATGTTTCCTTCTTTGAACATTTTGATGGAAGTACTTATTCCTGCTATATTAAATGTAGCCTTAAATAGTAGCCTTTCAAACGATGGCAGGAAAATTATTGGGGCACGTTGGTATATTAAAGGATATGAAGCTGAATTTGGTAAACTAAATACAAGTGATGGGGTAGAGTACTTATCTCCTCGAGATGCAACAGGCCATGGCACTCACACGTCATCTACTGCAGCTGGTGTTCCAGTAGAAAATGCAAGCTTTAGGGGACTAGCTAAAGGGTTGGCAAGAGGTGGTGCTCCAAAAGCTTGGTTAGCTATCTACAAAATTTGTTGGTCTACTGGGGGATGCAGTTCTGCTGATCTTCTAGCAGCATTTGATGATGCAATATTTGATGGGGTTGACATTCTTTCAGTGTCTCTTGGCTCATCTCCTCCACCTCCAACTTATGTAGACGATGCGTTGGCCGTTGGTTCTTTCCATGCTGTAGCTAAAGGAATTTCTGTGGTATGCTCTGGGGGCAATTCTGGCCCATATTCTCAAACTGTCATAAACACTGCCCCTTGGATTATTACCGTTGCTGCCAGTACCATGGACAGAGAATTCCCTTCTGTAATTGTCCTGGGAAACAATCAAACTCTACAGGTACTTCATATTTGTGCTTGCTGTATAGTTTCATCCGAATTCCATTTTCTGGTGATTTGATTTTGTTGAAAGATTTCAAACACAATAATCTTAATTGCAATTAAAAATGAATTGCTAAAGCCTATTTAAAGGGGTATTTTATCGATGTGCAGCTTCATACTTTTTTTAAATAAATTTATATAAATTACTGATAAGATTTTCTGACCGAAGCACCTAAATTTAAACCTTAAACCAAGTAAACAGACACAAATTTTATGTTAGTAGTTTGCATCCTTTGCTAGATTAACCGTTTACAGTGCAGACACAGAACTCTATTTTATTTCCTCATATAGGGTCAGAGTTTATATACAGGGAAAGATTTGAGCAAGTTTTATCCTATTGTTTATGGAGAAGACATAGCAGCTTCGGGTGCAGATGAAGAAAATGCAAGGTAAAATACTTCGCTTCCGGTTGGTTTTAATATCTATGTGAAACCTGTGAAAGTGCATACAAACTTCTTGTTTTTTTGCTCAGGAGCTGCGATTCAGGAAGCCTGAATGCAACCTTAGCTAAAGGAAAAGTAATCCTATGTTTCCAGTCTAGGTCACAGAGGTCATCCACAGTTGCTGTAAGAACTGTAGTGGAAGTTGGTGGCGCTGGTCTCATATTTGCTCAGTTTCCAATTAAAGATGTCGAAATATCGTCGAGTAAGCCCTGTGTCCAAATTGACTTCATAGCGGGAACAACTATTTTATCATACATGGAAGCATCTAGGTAAGTACTCTTGGAAAACAACATCTAGTCTTTATGCCGAGGGTGTGAAATATTGTAAGAAAATAATGTCTCATTGTTATATAATATTCACACTTGTAACATTTGTCACTTGTCGCTTGTCTTCTTCCAAGTTGTGTTTCAATTGTGAAATGACTGCTGACATGAAACTGTTCCTTCGTTGTAGAAAATACAGCTAGTGCATAATGCATCTATCACTCTCGGTCTCGAATAATTTGGGAACTCCAATAAGTTGCCAAGAAATATATGCAAGGTCGCAATAAAAATTTTCACGAGTTTGTACTGGAAAAAAGAATTAAAAAGATGCACGAGTATTTTGGTTTAAGAAAGCATAATATTTTTTTACTGCATGAGACTCTTTTTATTACATAATAATAATATGGTCTCGGGATCATTGACCAAATTATCTACAAGTGGTTGCAACGTGGCATTCCCTTAGTTATTTGCATAGATAGAAAAGTGGTGAATATTTTCTAATGAAGTCATGTTTGTAGGAATCCTATAATCAAGTTTAGCAAGAACAAAACAATTGTGGGGCAACAGATATCCCCGGAAGTGGCATTATTCTCTTCGCGAGGACCAAGTTCTGTATCTCCTTCAGTGTTGAAGGTTCTGATCATTCCTTACCAAGAAATGGTTTTTGTCTAATGAAAATCCAAAGCTTTATATATTTTTATAAATCTGATGCAGCCTGATATAGCTGCTCCTGGGGTCGACATTCTAGCAGCCTGGTCACCTGCTTCTTCTGCCCAGTTGCTATCTGATGCAAATCAAGATGAGTTTCCTCCCCTTAACTTCAACATTGAATCAGGAACTTCCATGGCATGCCCCCACATATCTGGTATCGTAGCACTTATAAAGACTATCCATCCAACTTGGAGCCCTGCTGCTATTAAATCTGCACTTGTCACAACAGGTATAAAACGCTTCCTCACATGACAGTATCATTTTCTTTCACAGCTACTATTATCACTTAAAAAAAAGTCACATGATTTTAATATTTTTAATCTTACCTCTAATGAAATAATATAATTAATATCTATTTTTTTAATAAAAAATAAACCTACACACACTCAAGGATATTATTAGAAAAAATAAAGTTTAAGTATATTTTTGAAAATATTTTGTGTTATTTTCTTTAAAAAAATGTTTCAACAAATTCTTTTAATCACATTCTTTAATATACTCTACAGTTAATAATATTTTTAAAAAGTCAAATAACTCTAAATTGATAACTTAAAAAAAATATTTAATTTGTTTAATAAACAAACTGATGATAAATAATATATTATAAAGTGTATTTAAAAATATGTTGATAATAATAGTCAAACATCGGGTACCCTTATTCCCACGTATATGTATATATATCCCTTCTGAAAGTTATTAGGGGGCACTAATTTGCTTCGGTTCTGATGAAGCTTCTCTGAAAAATGAATACAACGAGTACATTGGGGCTGAAGGAGCACCACATAAACAGGCTGACCCATTTGACTATGGGGGTGGTCACGTTGATCCCAACAAAGTGACAGATCCTGGACTCGTATATGACTTGGAAAACTCAGACTACGTTCGTTTCCTCTGTTCTATGGGCTACAATGACACTGCAGTAAGGTTATTAACAGGCTCTCCTACTAGGTGCCGTAAATCACCCAAGTTCTTATTAAACATGAACCTGCCTTCTATTATTATTCCCGAGCTGAAGCAACCTTTGACAGTATCAAGAACAGTCACTAATGTTGGCCCAACTAGCTCTGTCTACACTGCCCGTGTTGTAGCTCCAATTGGTATCTCGGTGACAGTTGAGCCCCCAATCTTAATATTTAGTTCTAAAACAAAGAAAATGAAACTCAATGTGACATTTTCTTCGAAGCTACGAATTCAAAGCGGGTTCTCATTTGGGTACCTGTACTGGGAAGATGGGTCACATGAAGTCAGGATACCGTTGGCAGTTCGCTCTGTAGTGGATGAATTTTGTGCAGAAACATAACACCCTTATGGTTACCATTGTGGCAGAACGGTGAAAATCATTTCATATTTAATTGCATTATGTGTTTCCTTGGATATTTACCATTTAATATTTAGAGGTTTGAGCGTTAGTTTTTATCCGTTGTAGTTTGCTTTATTTAACTTCATTTACAGCATCATCCCTCCCAAGAAAGTTTCATGGATATTGTGTTACCGTGCAAGCAAGACACCAAGGCCCCAGCCAAACGGTGGTCAACAGAATCGCAAGAAAGAGCACTCGTCATGTTTCCATCTATTCTCATTTCTCACAAACTCATAGTCCCGTCTGACCCTCATCCCTATCAGTTGTATGTTGTTGTTGTTGCATGCTCTTTGTTTTCATATTCGATTCTTTCCCCTCCTCCCATCCCCATTCTTGCTTCTCTGATTTTGCAAAAATGGATAAACTTTTCTCACGCTCTGTGTGTTTCGTATTGTTTCAAAGTAAAGATGCTCTGGGAAAAAGTGGATGATTTGAACCCATCTCCATAGAACTTAACTAACCGACACCACTTACCCGCCACCTGCCAAAACTATCTGAATTTTGAGAATGTTTTGGTTGTTCTCCTTGACTTTCAAGACATCAGAGCCTAGAAAACCCAGCCAAACATCAATGCGATGAATGACCAACTAACAACTCTTTCATACGTGATGATTTCAATCTGTACACAATGTTTTGGGCGTCTCACCAATGCTACAAACCAACTCTTTCTCACATTAGGATTTCCATCTTTGCACAATCCGTAGGGGTGTACATCTTTAGCATTAGCATGATATATCCATCTTCACTTATAATATATTATAGGTGAAACTTATTAGGTAAAATGAAATAATTAATTTAGAAATGTGAAAAAGCCATAAATTCTTTTTTAATTTTTAATTTTTTTTAATTATTAGTTAAAAAGGTATTAAACAAATATGCTAAAGAATGTTCGTATATTATTATATTCTATTTATCAATAGAAATTCTTATGTAAGTGGTATATGATTATTTTTTAAAAAATAAATTTTGTAAAAGAAAAAATATAATAGGATTATTAGTCCACCATAACATAAATCTTCTTAATTTAAGTAAATTACTTATTGTGAAATTTATACGTAATTTTTGACTAAAAAAATATTTATATTTAAAATAATGTTACTCAATACGTTCTTTTACTTGTAAATTATATTTTTAAAAAAATAAAATTTCTTATATTAAATTTAAATGTCATTATTTTGTTACTTGTTTTAATTATATATACAACTCTTAAGATTAAAAAAAAAGTCATTTTAAATAAATTTTCTAGAAATATTTATAAAAATAAAAAATAAAAATAAAATAAATTAATTTTTTTATAAATTAAAAATAATTTTTTAAAATTTTTTAAAACTTTATCATTTAATTTTTTTCAAATTTATATATTATACTATTGAGTTGCAAAATTTTTTTTTAACTTTTTTGCTGTTAAAAATTATTTATATTTAGATTATAATTTCAAATTTAAATGCATTAAATATTAAAATAATATAGTTTGGTCGTATAAAAGATAATTTTGATACATAGAAAACATTCCTCACTTGGATTATTAGATTAGCAACGATATGGAGCATCCACGTACAAGTGTTGGAATTATTAGTGGATTTAGATAGATTTGATATGATGTATAAACCAATAAATCGTCTACATGTCACTTATTATTTGCACTTGTTTGTTTGTAGCGTTCTATGGCGAACGTCGGCGGAATTTCTGATTATAATATTAGATGCGAAGATCGTTAGGCTATACCATTTATTCTTTCCAAGTTAGATAAGTTGATATTCGTATTCAATTTAGATATTTATATTATTTAATATTTTTATTATAATAAACGATTAATTATTTTGATTGTTAATTTAAAGATTTTTACAAGGTATATTAATTTTGATGATAGCTAATGAGCTAGCATGTTATATGAGTCAGCATAATGACGTGGTAGAGAATTTTGAAATATTTTATTAAAATATATTTTTATTAAATATTAAATTAATAAATATATCATTTTTATCTTAAATTATTTAAACTTAATTCTTAAGTCAAATATTAACAAATTTGATTAATAAATACCTTATAATGTGTAAGTAAATTCAAAATATATTATTTGATTATTTAGTATATTTATTAAGCATAACAAAAAAATGTCACTCATACGCTTAAGATGAGCACAAGTAAAATGTACAAGTCATACTTCAATCATGTCTCGTTCTCATCTTTTTTTTCTTCTTTTCTTTTTTATAAATTTATAATGCTAAATGATTGGGAAAAACAATCAACTTCCTAAAATAATATTAATGAAAAAATAAAAAAAAATGACTCATATTTATTGAGCTTTTTTATAGTAATAAAAGAAAATAAAATTAAAATTACATAAATATCCTATATTAAAAAGAATTACGTAAATGTCCTTATTAACATTTAAAAGAAGATGATTTAAATTGATTTCTTTTGAAAATAGAAAACAATTTGAATCGATTTTAGTTTGTTGTGCATATTTATTTTTACAGAAGTCGATTTTAATCAACTATGGTTTGCTGTGTGTAAATCGACTTCAGTATAGAGAGAAAGTTGACTTGAATCAACTTTAGTGTATAGAAGAAGTCTGTAACATTCTATTTTTGTTATTTATTAATTTTATATTTTGTGTGAATTGTTAATGCTTGTTATTGAAAATTAGGAGAGTTCTAGATGTGTGAGTTGCAGGAGTTTTCACTGTAGCGAGAAATCAACATCCAGAATCAAGCATTCTGATACTCTCTCACTGTAACGAGGATACTCTCGTTGTAGCTAGAATGACAAACAGTAAAGTGCAATTTTGTCTGTTTTTTTTCGCTATAGCGAAAATATCGCGAGTTGAGGAATATTTAAGGATTTTCAAGTTAAGAAACTTAGATTATAATCTAAGTCACGACCCTTCTACGTTCTCTCTGACTTCTTTCCTCATTTTCTCAGTAAATCCTTGAAAAATCTCAACCTTTCTCCAATCAAAGCTTGAAAGTTCACTCACTTTCCTTGTTCTTTGGTAAGTCCTTGAAGCTTGGTTCTCTATGTCTTTTGTTATTTTCTTGTTTTTCCTCCTCTAAATAGGAACTCTTGTGATATTTAAGAAGAACCTGACGCTTTACACAAGATCCTTCGTAAACCTTTTACTAAACTTTCATTTCAAGGTAAAGAGAGCTTTATGTTGTTACTAAAAAAGTGGTATGCTTGTATTCATGAAAATACTGTGATGAAATGCATGATTTTGAGTATATGTTGGATGAGAACATATTTTTGTTATGTTTGAAGTGTATGATTCTTGATTTGAGTGTATATGCATGTATGTGATGAACTGAGTCTGAGGGGACCAACTCTCAGTATTGATTAATTGATATATGATGTAATAATGAACTAAAGTAAAATAGAGAGATAAAAGTGTGAATAATATGTTAGTAAACATATAATGAAAAATATGGAAAGAGATATGAAATGAGAAAGAAATACGATAAGGACGAATATGGATAGTTCAGAAGTACACTGAGAATGTGGAAGATGAAGATGATTGAGAAATCTTGAAAAAATGATGGTGGTGGATGCTCTTCTTGAATTGTGCAAAATAAATGAGAGTAAGAGCACCGCAAGTCTTATACTTATTCATCAATGAATTTTTATACACTTGTGATAGCTTTGTAATAGGCCTAATTAGTTGTGATTTGTGCTTAATTGTATTGTTTTTGCTGAGTTTTATATTATTGGGCTTAATTGTTAAACTTTGTTAATTTTTGAATTTTAGAGCCTTTTGACCTTTGCTTATTGTGTAGGTAATATCTTGGGCTATAGTTATCGGATTTTAGTGATTCCAATTGCATTTGAAAGCTAAGAGATGGAGTTACAACACTCATAGAGATTTAAAGGCTGAATCATAACATCAAAAAACAGAATTAGACCAAAACTGGGCTGGAAGACGCAATTCGCGGATTTTGGACCTTAGTGCAGTGTTTGGGTCATATCTCGGCTCACAGATGTCCGATTCGACTCATTCCAGTGGCATTTGAAAGCTAACATCCGTGGCTTGAAGGACATATCAATTACAAATCATAACAGACGCGTTTCCTGGTAGCTTGGTTTAGCCTTCTATAATTTTTGCAGACTCTTCAGCTATTCTGCACTCTTGTAGGAACCAGCTCCTCCTTTAAGTTCTTCATCACTGTTATTCTACTTTTCTTCTAAACCACTTGTACTGGGCTCACCCACTTACTATCTAAAATCATATAAATTATTCCAGCAGCTAGAAGCTTGCTGACTTCTTTCTTGACTAAATCCAAAATTAAAGGGTTCAACCGCCTCTGGGGTTGCCTTACTGGTTTTACTCCTTCCTCTAACTGAATTATACTATAGCTAAATAGTATAATTCATAAATCGTTATGATAGAGATGGAACTATACTATAGTATCCCTTTTAATTTTTCTGTAAGTAAAATACATCATATCCTCTCTCTCTCTCTCTCTCTCTCTATATATATATATATATATATATATATATATGTATATATATTCCATGGTACTTGTGAACTTCAGTAGACATGACCTATTTGTTTACGTATCACGACCATAACCATTGCGAAAGACCATCTAGATAGACTTTTGAGCGAATTACTGACATATAGGTTATTGATTCAGGTGATCAATACCTCGGGTCGGATGAGGATCTTGATTATGGCGATATTGCATAAATAGAGAGATGGCACGGGGATGACTAATATCTTTATCAGTCTTTTTGGTGGATAGACTGCTCATTAGGACTTGATATATTTTGTATTTTGTAAATATTGTAAATGAGTCCTAATGTGTTTGATGTATATTTTGCAAATGTCAACATCTTGTACATGGTAAGAACAATATATATTAATGTCATTTTAATATTTTCTCTTAAAATTAGTTTAATTCTTATTATTTTGTTATTTAAGTTTTTATGAGTTTGAGTAAAATAAACAGAATATTTTATAATTTCACTTGTTATATTCGATTGGTAAATAGATTTAACTAAATTTTTTCTTCTTAATTCTGAACTTATTTTTTTATTGTTTTAAATAAAATAAGGATGTTACAAAGTTGACTTGAATCAAATTCACTGTACAAAGGAAGTTGGCTTGAATCGACTTTGGTACAAAGAAGAAGTTAACTTGAATCGACTTTAGTTTAGGGGAAGTTGACTTGAATCAATTTTGGTCAAGGGAATTGTTCAACTTCAATCGACATATAGGCAATGTAATATGGTGATTGAATGTACTAAGTCATAACATCAGCATTTGACATGAAAGGTGAATTTAATTAACATTATTTAAATGTATAAAGTCCATTAAAATAAATAAACATATTATTACAATACAAATCAACAATTATAACTTTTGAAATATAATTAACACTCACTAAATTTAAATTTATTCTAATTTACTAAGTTATAGTTTAAATATTTACTTCCCTAAAACTATAATTGTTTAATTTATTTTAATAAATAGTAAAAATCCTAATATAAAATACACTAACAGTTCTATAACCCACACTTGATTAAATATGTAACAGTCATTTTAATTAGACAACTAAATATTTAATGATAGATTAAATTAAATTAAAAAATTCAGATTAAATTAAATAATTTTTTTAAACATTTACATGACAATTTAATTGCAATATGATCAACAAAATTAAGTCGATTTAAATTATTATTCATCTCCATTGTAGTTGCATTGTATTTTTTTTTCTCTTCCTTTCTTTTTGCCGATTTTTCTCAAAGATGTTTCTTCCTTCCAAGGTAGTCATAGCGGATAGGTAACACGTCTAAATTGATTGAAGTTGAACCTCTCCCTCCACTAAAGTCGATTTAAGTGAACTTCCTCTCGACACTGAAGTCGATTCAAGTCAACTTTCTTTTTACACTAAAGTTGATTCAAGTCAACCTTCTCTCTACACTAAAGTCGATTCAAGTTGACTTTCTCATTACATTGAAGTTGATTTAAATCAACTTTCACACAGCAAAAAAACAATCACAGTCGATTAAAATTGACTTTTGTAGAAACAAATACAACGCATTGTACAATAACTGAAATTGATTCAAATTGTTTTTTATTTTTAAAATAAATCAATTTAAATCATCTTCCTTTAAATGCTAAATAGGACATTTGTGTAATTCTTTTTATTACAGAACGTTTATGTAATTTTAATTTGATTTTATTTTATTATGGTAAAAAAGCCTATTTATTGAGAAGTCTTTAAAAAAAATCTTATCTAAATAATTTAAATATCAAAGCAAAATTATTAACTTTAATATAATTATTTTAGGTAATAATTTTTTTTGTAACACTCATTTAAGTGTATTAAAATTAATTTAAGAAAATTTATAAATATTATATCACGCATATGTAACAAATATGTAAGTGAAGAAAAAGTGAATAGTATATGGAGAATATCTAAATAATATTAAATATTTTATTAATACAAAATATTATTTTTATTAAAAATTAAAAATATAAAAATGCATGTGATCAATTTAATTCTTAAAATTACTACTTATTAATAGCTAATTTATTTTAATTTGAGCCATTAAGTTTATAAAAGTTTATTAAAAGTTATAGTTATTAGATACTCGCATTAATTTATTTTAATAGGTAAGAAAAAATTCAATAGATAATCCAACTCCGCCAATATTAGGCATAAGATTTTATTTTTTCTGCTATCATCATCTTCCTCTACAACTTTAGGAGAATTTCCTCTCTTTTTATGAGAGTTTTCTAATTGGATAAAAAAAATTTTTTTTATTAAATTTTAAATAATATATCTATAAATATTAAAAATTATATAAAATTATATATATATATAATAAGAAAGTAATGCAATATAATACCATAGTTAAATTGACGAATCTTACATTAAATAAAATAAATTATTAAATTGTGTAAATGTTTAAATTTAATCTTAATATCAATAAATCTTAACTATTCTATATTAGATGCTATTCAATTATTTTTATTTATTAAAGACATGTATTATTAATTAATTATTAAAATAATCCTAATATTATTTTAAATTTTATTTTATTAATTAATTATTATAATTATTATACTAAATTTAATAAAATTATTTTTTCATATAATTAATTAAATTTATCTTTTTAAGATGTATATATTAGTTTTAACTAACTTCTAGAATGAGATAAATTTAAAAAGCATGCACTATACTGTACTGCTATACATATAAATGACATATTTTTTTAATTTAAATAATTTGTAAAAAATTTAGTTTTATAATCTCTAAAAAAATTTTAATCTATATATTTTTTTTAATAAATTGTTGGTTCTACGACATGTTTGGTTTATAGCTAGCTAATCATAACGGAGTTTTCAAGTTAAAATTAACGTAAATATAATTCGTGAATTGGTTTTGATGATCGATTATAAAATTATGCTTTGAATGGTAAGCTAATTAAATATTTAAAATATGTTTGGAAGGGAGTTTTGAGAAAAGAATATATTTTTTAATTTTAAATTAAAAACTATATATTATTTATGATGATAAATATATAATTAATATATTAAATTTATATTAATTTTTATATTTTATTATAAATAAAATTAATTTTTAATATATGTATTTAAAATATAAAATATGTTCTCTTTTTTTTTTCTAAAACCATCATTTTCAAATAATTTTTAATTTTTTTAATTGATATAATTTCAGAAAAATAGTATATTTTTTAATTAATTACATTGTTACTTAATATTTAACGTGAATGAAAAATATAAAATTTAGAAAAATTAAAGCTACTTTTTTAAAAAATTAACACTAAAATATTAACGAAATATAGACTAAAAATATATTTGAGTTAAATATTTATCTAATTCAAACTAAAAAAACTGTAAATATAAGGTAAAATATATCCCTTTAGAAGATATTTAAGCTACGGTTAAATTCTCTTTATTGAAAAAATTCTCTATCTAAATGAAAAAATAACTTTTGGTATTATTATCTAATTAGTGCCTATAGTACAGGTACTACACTTAAATTTTATTTTTAAAAAATATCATTAACCTTCGTCGTTGAATAAATAAGTTATCTAATAATTGTGTATTGTTGAATAAAATAATAATATTTTTATGATTAATAACTTGATTTATTTAGTTGACATAATTATTTTTGGTCCATAGATACATTGGCACGATGGGAGACTCAGAAAACAAAATAGGGGGAAAAAAAAGAACCACATCACGAGGCGCGATTAACGCGACCAAGCATTGGCTTGCTAATCTGAATTTGTGTCTCCCCCTTATTCAAATTTTCAACGATGAAAAGTTACAACAGTAACCCAACCCCGCCGGTTTCCTCTTTCTTGATTAGTTCATTATAGAATTCAGGATCTTTAATTTCGAAAACTGCTACCGCCAAAGCGTGATTTCATCATGTTAAACACAAGTTCACTCAATCCCAGACGTTCATCTCTGTGATTATAACAGTCAAAACCGGCATCTGTTCTTACCTTTTTGTTTGTAAATGGTTGGAGCGTAGAATTGGACCGGGCCAGTCTCTCTCTTTTTTAATTTACAAAGCCATCATCAAAGTCCTCCATTCCAAAAACAAATAAATTAAAAATAAATTAAAACACCAATAATAGTGAAGCCCCACCACCTGACCAAATGTCACGCTCTCAGCGCATGAGTGCACGGTCCTCAAAGGAAAATTTAGTAGTGGCACATTTAAATTTAAAAAATGGTTCACAGAGACAAAGATAAACTAATACCTCAACTCGACGCTGTTTCGCCCACGAACCTCCCTTTCATTTCAGCGTTTCCAAACCAAAGGAAACTCTCGTGCGCTTTCCCCCTCTGTCTTCACCACTCTTTTCTTTAACAGGTAAAAATTAATTCATCAGGACGTTCCTGTTTCCAAATAAGTAAATAATAATGATAATAATAATTTAGGACCGTTTAAAACCCCGTCCTAACAATAATAACACAGTCTTGAGTATTGTAGGTAGAGAAATGGAAGTTGAGGCGGCGAAAGCGCTGAAACCGAGCTTGCGGACAGAGTTTATTTTCCCGCAAGCAATTTGCGACGAGATTTTGTGCCTGAACGCAAACAACATTGTTGTGAGTGAAGATTTCTCCGTGGACGACCTGCTTGACTTCTCCAACGGCGAAGTCCAAGTTGGGAAAGAAATTGACGACTACGAAGAAGAGGAAGACGAAGAAAAAGACAGCACCACCTCTCAGTCACAGGACCCAACAGAAGACGACAGCAACTCCAATTCTACCGCCGGCGCCGCCGACTCTGACTCCGTTTTCGCCGGCGAGTTGTCTGTTCCGGTCAGTCCTTGTGTCTTCATGCATGGATTTTTTTTTTATTAATTTAATTTGCTAAAATTAATAATTCAATTCATGACTCGTTTCGTTTGGGTTTAATTTTGCAGGCTGATGACGTGGCGGACCTGGAGTGGGTTTCTCACTTTGTGGACGATTCTCTCCCGGAGCTCTCTCTATTGTACCCGGTTCGTTCCGAGCAAACAAGAGAACAGGCCGAACCGGAACCTAGACCGGGCTCAGCGCAGGCCTCGTTTAATCACTCAGCAGTCCCCAGCAAGCCCAGAACCAGAAAGACTAGAAAGCCCATATCTCGTGTCTGGTCCTTTAACGCCTCGCTCTCGCCGCCGTCTTTGTGTTCTTCAGTGTTGGATGGCTCCGTCCCGAGGAAGGAGTTTGGCGAGCCGCCGGCTAAGAAGCAGAAGAAAAAGGCCGAGGCCCAGAGCAGTGGGGCCCAGTTGCAGCGACGGTGCAACCACTGTCAGGTGCAGAAAACGCCACAGTGGAGAACCGGCCCACTGGGCCCAAAAACACTCTGCAACGCTTGCGGGGTTCGGTACAAGTCCGGCCGACTTTTTCCTGAGTATAGACCGGCATGTAGCCCCACTTTCTCTGGCGATATTCACTCGAATAGTCATCGTAAAGTGTTGGAGATGAGGCGGAGAAAGGAGATGAATGGACCGGAGACCGATTCGGACCGGGTTCAAATGGTTCCGAGTTGCTGAATTTTGTCCAATAGGTTAGACTAGGTATACATGAACCAAACGGTCTGAACCGGGTTGATATTTGTAGCATAGTTTAGTGATTAGTGATTTTAATTAGTGGAAGTCAGCTAGGGAGGTAACGGAAATTAGGAAGGCATTAATTGTTTGTATCCCAATTTTCCTATGGTAGTTAATTTATTTAATGAAATATAGTTAAGCCGAGGTCTTGGCCATATATATTCAAGTTGGGTTTGATATTTTATTTGCGTTCTCTTTGAACTACTTGCCTTTGATAGAATTATTCAGCGCTGTGCGCCTTAGATTTGAGTGCATGTGGGGTGTAAGAGTGAGAGAAAGAAAGACAGTGAGAGAGGAAGGTGGGGTAGAGAGTGATTGAAGCATTAAAGTTGGGTGGCCTTGATTTGAGACCACCGAAAACTGTGCTACCGCCACATGGAGTGGTCAAGTGGGATGAGGTGGATTTTTACTAACTTATTATCTTTACCTTTGTGTTTATGGCTAGGTCAATGATGGAAGGTGCATCATCTCCCCCATGTTTAATGGCTATGAACCATGGTTTATACTTTACGGAAAGTGGGTGTATTCTTTTCTCTCTTTTGAACGAGAATATTGTTCTCTTTTAATTTTTAATTTTGTTAATTTTAAATATTTAAGACATTTATCATAAATGAAAAAATAATATTATAAAGGTCTTATTTAAAAGTTCAAAATACTTTTAATATAAATAAAATGTTATCTAAATTTTTAATTTATGTTATTGTCTTCTAAAATATATAAACTAAAATAAATAAAGGGAATAATTTGGAAAGAAATATGCATATTAATTACTTACGTGTGAGGATATTTAAATAATATTTTTTTACAACATTTGCATGTGCTTTCTTATTCTATATTATTTAACTCTAGGTTGTGTGGATTTTGGCGTTTTATCCTTGATCTAATTGCCATGAAAAAAAAACAATAATAATATTATCAATAAATCAAATCGATTCAATTTTGTCTTATGTATTATTATATATTGATCGAACTATATTTAATTTAAAGAAATACTTTTATCAAAACTTTTCAATTGGATAAAGATTAAAGAAAATCTATCTCAATTCATCTTATAAACATCCTAATTTTTTTCTATATCGTTTGAATATGAACTTCTAGAAATCTGAATTCCTGACTAAGTTACAATCAAACATACCATGACCAAGCTTTATGAAACCATCCTTTCAAGTTTTTTAACTGGTCTTAAATCAATAAACATGAATAAATAAATCTTGAAATTCACAAAGATTTCTACCTTAGCAAAAAAAGTTACTTGTGCACTCATTGTAGTTGATGAATGGTTGGTTGGGGGTTCATGGTGCAATTCAGATGCAGTAGGTAGTTGGTTGCTATTGCTAGGTGGTCTCTATATGATATTAGTAGTTGTGTTGTTACTATGATTCATGTACAAGGGGACCTTTACCTTGTTGGTCCACTTCCCATTCAAGTTGAAGGGAGTAGCATTAATCAAGTCCCCTCATAGCAATAATAAGTGTAGGTTTACATTTGAAATTGAATGTAAATTTATATTTACTTTAATATTATTAGTTATAATTTTTATGTTAAATTTGTATTTATAAATTCTTAATGTATTATTAGAGACATTCTAAATGGAATAAGAAATAATTGATGCAATAATATTAGAATGATCAATTTACATCCAAAAAAGTAATCACGCAAGTTTTTCATAATAATTTGTACTGTATATTTTTTTAATACAAATCAGGTAAAAAATTAAGATGTGCAATTTTCAAAGTTAAAAAATTGGTTTGCAAAATCTCTAAAATTTTGAGATCAACATGAACAGTAGTTAAAACTTAAAAGGGATGAAATACAAAGTCAATGATGCCACAATGTGCAAATTCTATATAAATTTCTATTCAACTTTAAATGGAAGGATGCCATTTTCAACTTACTAATGCACTCATTTAAAAGTTGAAGGATGTTTTCACACATGTTATTTTTTATTTTAAATTAGTCAAATAACTACACATAAAATAAAGGGGAGAGAAAAATCTTTATTTATTTTTTCTGTTTATTAATCCTTATGCTTGTCCCTCATGGATAAATTCCCGTGAAATATTGATAGTGAAGTTAAAGAGCTTCCGAAACATGGTGAGATGTTAATTTAGATCGAATGTGCATGCATGTGGGGGAACTAGTTGTTGGTAAGACAACGACGATAGAAACAGCATCCATTCAATGAACAAAGTTCATCTGACGAATGAGGACACGAGGATTACTATTCTTGAATCTCAGGTCTTATAAAAGAATCCAAATGAAAAGCACCAATCCTATTTGCACATGACAAAACTTTGGGATAGGATCACTTTTTTAGTGTGTGTGCACGCCTACTAGGCAAAGCATTACCATCATCATTGATTTCCAAAATGTTATTTTCCTTTTCCCTCTTTTTTTTTTTTTTTTTCAGGTACAGTATAATCATCTTTTCAATTCTTGCATTTCTTGCTTCTAATGCAACGTAAGGAAAAAAAAAAAAATCCTACATTAACACAGTAATTTTGGTAGTATTGTACGAGGTTTCTTTTAAGTTTATTTACAATGATGAATATGTATTATTAATTAGAAATTTAATTTAGGATATATTTTAATCAATAAATTTCTTAAAATTTATAATTAAAGTATTGAAAAATTAATTTTTATAAAAAATACAAAATTTAGTAATAAAAAATGATTATTACACTAGAATGTAATAAAAAAAACTCATTTAAAATTCAATAACAATATGACTCAATTTCTGTTATTTGTTTGTATTGATATTTACATGAATTTTTTTTTTTCAATTTTATATGCCCATAAGCTACTCTATTTATTTTAATTTTTAAAACAAACATTACACATAACATAAAAAAAAATTATAGTAATTTTTACTTCAATTTTTAAATAATTTTTTACTCTATATTAATTATAGTTTAATAGATATTCTGTTAAAGTTTTAGATAGAATTATTTAAACATATAAATATTTTGTTTATTGATAAGAAACACATCTTTATTACTATGAATCAACTAGTAAAAAGTTATTATATCTTAACTAGTGATCTTTAAGTTAAAGTTCTAAAGAATCAATTATATTAAGTATTTAAAAATAAGACTTTACTGTATTATCCTATCTATGAAGGATACATATAGTATAAATTATATATAAAAAAAAATATCTTTGTTTATTTCTCTCTCTTTTATATTTATTTAATTTTTTCTAAAGTAAGTATTTAATGCTTTATTTTAATGTTGTAACTAAGATCACAACAAGACGACAATTGTGTAATAACAAAGAATATAGAAAAGGATTGCAATTAATTTAACAACTGTCTCATAACAAATAGTTGTTATTAAATTTTATCAAATAAAAATATTGAAAAAATTTTAATTAAAAAATTAATTTTTAAAACTATATTTGACTTTAGAAATTATTTACGTGTAAAGAAAGTATTAACACGTGATGTTATTTGTTAAATAAACTAATTACTTTTTAATTAACTATACAAAATTATTTTAATTTTAGAAATATTTATTTCACTCTAAAAAATAATTAATATTTTTTTTACTATTTTTAAATTTATTATTATTTTTTAGTTTAATTTCTAATTTTTACAATTTATGAGAGATTTTACTTCTTACATTTTTCAAACAAAGAAACACAATTTTTTTAAAAAAAATCTAATTTGAATTAAAGCATTAAAATATTTATAAAAATATTTTTTTCTGTGTTTTTGGGTAAAAGAAATATCTTAAAAAAATGTAGCAATATCATTTTTATATATTTTTTTAGAAAGAAGAAGTATTGGAATTTTTTTTAGTCTATTTAAATTGCAATTAGATAAATAAACTATTTTTTGTGTGTTTTAGTACCTAAATAAAATTAAAATTATTTTGGACTTTACATGTATGTATCTCCCAAAGTACAAGGAAAAATCAAAGTCACATAGTTTTTTTTTTTAATCAGATTTGAATGAGTTTCAAAAGAAAAATTTTGTTCAAAAAATTTATTTTTTTAATTTCTTAGTTTTGAAACAAACTTGTCCTTGCCTTTCACAATATTTAAGTTAGCACATAGTTACTCAATAAACTCTTAGGATCTAAAAAACATTAAAGATAGATCTACCATTTTATTAACATTGTTTGGTCTTTGCGTGAATTCAAATTAAAAAAAAAAATATGTATATCTTTTGAAAAAAAACATAAACAAAAAAGGAATCATATTTTATTTTTGAAAAAAAATATTTTTAGAGTTAGAAGACTAAGTTTTTAGGGATTTGCAGAAGAGGATAGATTTTTAGGATTAAAAAAATATTAGGTTTTAAAGGGTTCAACAAAAAAGTGAATCTTTTAAGGTTTGAAAAAATTAGTACTTTTAGGGTTAAAAAAAAGATATTTATTGAACTTTATTTTTTAGGGTTTAAATTAGAAAAATTAGTATTTTTAGCGTTTGAAAAAAAAAGGAAATTTTTTTATTGAATTAGGATTTGTAAGGTTAAAGAGAATATATTTTTAGGGTTAGAAAATGTTAAATTTGTAAAGTTTGGTAAAGAAAGGGAGACAAACTTTTAGAGTTAGAAAGTGTTATATCTTTGTATGAATGAATAGAGAATAAGAGAGGAATACATAGTATAAACAAAAAAATAATAAGAAGAAAAATGACTCTTACTTGTTCTATCAAATAAAAGTTTTTTTTGTCGTATTCTTGTGATGATTTAGAATTCATGATTGGATCTCTCCTTTAACCCTCTAAATTTGTTTTCTCTGATTAAATCACGTTAAGATGTGCTTTGGAAAGTTTTTAGAAATTTTAGTATCCTTAAAATGTTAGTTCCTCTACAACTGTTTTCTCTTTGTACCTCTATGTATATTTATTTTCAAAATGAGATATTTTTGCAAGTAAAAAAGGGATAATAAAAATTTCATTTTAAATGGTTTCAAGTACAGGGTTTCAATAAAGTATTTCAAAATATAGGATGAGTTACAAATTTGAATAAAAATAAATGCTACAAGACCTATTTAGTACATCACAAATTTCAAAAAATAATTATTTAAGTCCTATAGTAGTATCATCTATCTCATTCACTGAGCTTAGTGTTAATCGTCTTAGTCACCTGAAAAATAAATGCAAGGATGAGTCTTCTACGCTATCACACACACAAACATAAAGACTCACCTTACCTATTTCATAACAATTGCTAATATAATAAAATCACACTTTAACAACATTAATTTACTCTTTTCAACAATACACACATATTTGCACATTAATTCATACATAGATGCGCTTAGTGCACCTTCAATCATTTTACACACACGTGCCCTCACTGCACGTTAACCAAATTCAATGTGGCACTGTAATCATAGTATTTCTGATGTCCTCAACCTCAGACACTAACTTAGTTTCATACTATGAATGGTCAGCGGTTAGCCCCCGCCTTACAGATATAACATGTGCGATCATGGGTCCCTTAACAAAGGTATTGGTCAGAGGCCGAGTTAGGAGAAGAGTGTGTGGCCTATGGTGCACCCACGCTTACCGTTAATGTCACCACCACCCTCTTTTTCCTAAAGTATTCCTACCACCCCAATCTTTCACAACTCTAGTGTATCGCTGTAATCATTCATAGTTTTCAATCATTCCAAACATGCTTCAATCACAATCAATAATGTCTATGCAAATTTTTAGGTAAGCATATATTGACACCAAACTATTCGAATACCATATATTATAGTTTTATAGAAATATCGCACGCACAAAAAGATGCAATACCTCCTCATCTTTGATATCACAAAGCCTACATGCTTCTGAAGAAATTGTCAATCTACGTTTAATGAAATTCTTCTGTATTAGAATTGCATTAAGCAACAAACGCCACACAAATACCACTATTTTCTTCAGTGCATTGACCTTCCAAATTTTACATAATGTCTGCACTAGACACAACTCCAAACCGCTACTTCCACATCAACATGTCATTCACATTTTCCCTCGATCTCTTACCTTCCATAGTCTCCCACAACTACGCTTGTAGATCCTACTTCCATGCAAACAATTCCTTTCTTAAAGGAATTTTTCATACCCATTTGTCCATCTCAAATCGTCCATTATCCACTACCTTTGCCTCCTTATTAGTTGCTGCAGAAAATAACCTTGAGTATGAATTCGCCAACGCAATGTTTCTTAGTCGTTTATGCCTCCAAAAATTAAATGAATGATTATCACCAAGAACTCGTGTGACATTAGAATTTATCCACTTGTTGGCTTGCTTACAAATCCACACTATGTTCCTCCACCAATCTGAAGCATTGTGAGTCACTTCCAAAGAAACTAACATATCAACATATGATCCATACCACGTTTGCAGCACATTAAAGCAAAATGAGTTTGGAAACTTCAATACTCTTCAAACCCATTTACCCAACAAGCTCTAATTAAATCATTCCACATTTTTCACTGCCAAACCGCCCTCATTCTTTGGCATGCATACTCTTTCTCATTTAACCCAAGTTATTTTTAATGATTCCTTCACGTCACTCCAAAGAAACCGACGTTGAATCTTCACTACTTTTTTTATGACACCTGATGGCATTCTTCAAAAAGATAAATAATTTAGTGGAAGACTATTTAGAACGACATTAAGTAGTGTTACTCTACCCCAATAAAAATGTATTTATACTTCCAAGATGTTAGTTTGTGATTAAGCACCTCAATAAACTTTTGTCAAGCACTTCTTCTCCTTGATTTGTCTTATAGATACCTAAATATTGAAAAATACGAAGATCTCACCTTATAATTTATGTCTTAATTTATTATTATTTATTTATCTCAAACATTCAACTAATTATACTTTTATTTATTATTATTTAATTTTTTTAATAATATATTTTTTGTATACTTTTCATTATTAATTTAATTTTATTAAAAATTATAAAAGTATGAGTATGAAACATTAAATTACGAGTAAGAAATAGTGAAATCACATTAACTTTATAACTTTTAATAAATTTTAACTAACTCCTAAAAGTGCATTAAAAAAAATGTTAATAATATTTTTATTTTATTTTATCCAATTATTTATGGTATCGTTTTTTTTAAATGTTTTCATCAAAGGAACACAAAGTATTTTATTGAGTAAGTTACTCCCTAGATAAGCTTAGAAAATTATTTTAAGATAGATACTTTTCAACTCAAATATCTGAATAATTTATATAATATTTGATCTCGGTAATTCGTCTCCAGTGTTTATAAAAGGTATTTATATACAAACTTCAATAAATTTAAATAAAGTAAAAATAAAATATAAAAAATCTATAATAATCAAGATATTTTAATTTCAATAAAATTTATAATAACAAAATATAATAAATATTCTAAATAAAAAAAACCTCTAATAAATATAACATCTCAAATATTTTAAATTAAAATCTTACTAATTAATTGCATAAAATATAAAATCGGATAAAAAAGGTAACAATATATTTGTTGACGTGCATTTAAAAGCCATTAAATATCATTAAATTTTCAAAAAAATTAAATATTCTTTTGACTTTTAAATACGTTTTATTTTTTATCACATATTTCTCAAAACAAAATTTAGGTATAATACTTTTTATGTTATTATCTTATTAAAATTAGACTTTTGCTTTAATAATAAATATTACCCTTCAATTTTAGCTTTGATTGCACAAGTTGTCAAGATAAAAATCCAATCTTGATTATTGAATGAACCTCAAAACACCTAAAAAATTGCACTTAAAACTTATGTCATTTTTTAATCCCTTTACTAAACCATTATGTGAGAACCTTAAAGATGGTTACCAAACCCGTACATGTAATAAATATTAGATGTAATGTTAATTATTTGTCTATTTACACATTAAGAAAAAAAAAGCAAAACTTATATATAAACAAGAGATAAAAAAATATTAAATAAAAAATTGAAAAAGGACAAAGTTTCAATTGTATAAAAAATATAAATACATTAATTTATTGACATGTACGTGATGTTTATCTTTTATTTTCATTGATTTGTTTGTTTATTTTTAAAGAAAATTAATTAATACATTCAAATAAATAGATTATCACTTTACTTTTAATTCTTCCCACTTATTCCTTACATGCAAAAAATAAAAAGAAAAGAAAAGCAAAACTTATATCTAAACAAGAGATAAAAAAATATTAAATAAAAAATTGAAAAAGGAAAAAGTTTCAATTGTATAAAAAATATAAATACATTCAATTTATTGACATGTACGTGATGTTTATCTTTTATTTTTATTGATTTGTTTGTTTATGTTTAAAGCAAATTAATTAATACATTCAAATAAATAGATTGTCACTTTGCTTTTAATTCTTCCCACTTATTCCTTACATGCAAAAAATAACTGAGATGCAATTCTTTATGTTTATTTGTTTAAAGTAAAAAAAATACTATTTTTTAAAATAGAACAGTAAGATTTAATGTAGTCAAGTGTTATTGAAGCAAAATTATAATTTGACTAAAAAACTAAAATCAGTTAATGACTTGCAACTAAATTTTGTCCAAACAATTATTCACTCTATAAATGCCTCCTTTCACAGATTTCCATCTACACACTAATGGAGTTTGTTTTGCAATTTGTTCATCCTTCAACCATTCTTTTTCTTCTCCTCCCTATCTCAGTCTTCTTCGTTGTTTTCATACCTTACCTATGGAAGAAGCTCCCTTACCCACCAGGCCCAAAGGGGCTACCCATCGTAGGAAATTTGTTCATGATGGATCAACTTACACACCGTGGTTTGGCTCAACTTGCCAAACAGTACGGTGGGCTTTGTCATCTCCGAATGGGTATGCTACATATAGTGGCTGTGTCTACACCAGAAATGGCCCGTGAAGTGCTCCAAGCCCAGGACGGTGATTTCTCTAACAGGCCCGCAAACGTGGCAATTACTTACTTAACATATGATCGAGCTGACATGGCTTTTGCAAACTACGGCCCGTTTTGGCGACAAATGCGTAAGATTTGTGTGATGAAATTGTTTAGCCGAAAACGGGCCGAATCATGGGCTTCCGTACGCGAAGAGGTTGAAGGAATGGTCCAAACCGTGGCAAGTAAAATTGGCTCACCTATTAACTTGGGTGCGATGATTTTCGCTCTAACTAGGAGCATCACCTTTAAGGCCGCGTTTGGGGCTAGCTTAAATGAAGGACAAGAGGAATTCATGAAAATCTTGCAAGAGTTCTCAAAGCTCTTTGGAGCTTTCAACATTGCGGATTTTATTCCATGGTTAGGTTGGTTTCATGCACAAGAGTTTAATAAAAGAATGGCAAATGCACGACAAGCACTTGATGTTTTCATTGACCAGATTATTGATGATCACATGTCAAAGAGGAAAAACATGAAGCAAAAGAGCGTCGAGAACGAAGTGGATTCAGATATGGTTGATGAGCTAATGGTTTTCCTTTATGAGAAAGATGGTGACACTACTCACTCAGATAATCCTCCATTGATGCTTAAGTTGACCAGAGACAACATCAAAGCTCTTATCATGGTAAGCACTTTACATTTTGTTACTTCTACTTTGTTTGGTCCATGTCACGTAAAACTTGCACTCAATTACACAAATTAATTTTATATTATATTTATTTAAAGTATACTTTAACTTTAACGTATTATGCTACTAAAAATTATATAAGTAATCTAAAAAAACTTTAATATATATTTAAAATATTGTCAACACTATTAAACAAAGCATTAAAGTATTCATAATAATATTTATTGAAAAGACAAAAGTATTAAAGCGACTCATTATTTCAAATAACCAATAATTATTGTGTAGAATTGAACCGACAACTTTTTATTTAACTGAGAAATTAAAGAAAATAAAATAATTGTTGAGAAGGGTGTAAACTAACAAGGGGAAATAAAGTGTAGAGTTATAAATTTTGATTAAAAGATTAATATTTAAGACTATAATAAATTTATTAAACATTAACAATTAATATTTTTCAATCAACCGTTATATATATATTTTTTAACTTTATCTGCTAACCTGTACAGCATTTTAGATAAGTTAAACTAGTATTTTTATTAAAAAATATTGTTTAATAATTATATTTTTTACGTGAAAACTAAAAAGGCATTCTTAAAAATCTTAAATGTAATTTTTTAATTACTCCTTTTGAAAAAGTAATCAAAATGATTGACGAACAAAATGTATAAAGTGCCATTAATATGCAGTGATTGTAAAGGAATTTTTTTATTCAGATTCTAATATTCATTACTTGTTCGTGTATTTTATTATTATAGTAAAACAATATTTTAGGAAAAAAATTATTAAAAATATATAAATTATCACTCTTAATAATTATTACTCACACTTTTACATTTTATTAAATAATCCAGATTTAACTCTTAAATTCAAGCTCGTTCTAAGGTAAATTTTAATTTGACTTAGTTATCCTACTTTGTACAAATGCAAAAGATCCGTTTAATGTACTTTTTGAGGATTTTGATCAGATGGGTCATTTCAAATATTTATTACTTGTAGTTTTTTTTTATTTAATATTGAAATGACTTTATATGTAAAAAAGTCTAATGTTCCAAATATTAGGACGTCATGTTTGGGGGAACAGAGACAGTAGCATCAGTGGTAGAATGGACCTTAGCAGAGCTGATGAAGAGTCCAGTGGATCTCGAAAAGGTCCAACAAGAGCTATTGGATGTAGTGGGCTTGGGCCGAAGATTCAATGAATTTGATCTTGAAAAATTGACATATCTTAAATGCGCTATCAAAGAAACCTTGCGACTACACCCTCCAATTCCACTTCTTCTACATGAGGCTGCAAAGGATAGTGTTCTTGCAGGTTACGCTATTCCAAAAGGAACTCGTGTTTGGATCAATGCATGGGCCATTGGTCGTGACGAGATGGCATGGGATGAACCAGAGAAATTCAACCCATCGAGGTTTTTGAATGATGACATGCCAGATTTTAAAGGGGGAAATTTTGAGTTTATTCCTTTTGGGTCAGGTCGAAGGTCATGCCCAGGAATGCAACTTGGCCTCTATGCTGTAGAAATGGCTGCGGCTCACTTGCTTCATTGTTTCAAATGGGAGTTACCCAATGGAATGAAACCCAGTGAGCTTGATATGAATGACGTGTTTGGCCTCACTGCACCAAGAGCTGTTCAACTTGTTGCGGTACCTAGTTATCGTCTAAAGTGTCCTCTCCATGAATCATAGAGGATTTTTTGGGTTGATATTGCATGTTTAATTCAACTATGTGCCAACAAAATTTGCAAAATCATGCATACTTATAGGTTTGACTATTTGATTTTGTAGTTTTTATGTATGCATAGACAATAAAGGACATCTGATATTCTCTTTTTTACTTCATCAAATATTTAGTTGTAAGATGTTACTGATTTTGTTTAAAGCCAATAAAATGAGTTTGTTTAACAGAGTTGGCCTGAATTTCCTTCATAAAATTTGGAGTTTATACTTTAAATTTTGACATTGAATTAAATTTGAACATTTTTAATTTTATTCAACGAATAACTAGATTTTACTTGTTTTGAACAATATTTTTATAAATTTGAATTCGATCTGTATTTGTTTAACTTGGTCGGATAAAGCTCTTTAGCTACAATAGACTAATTTAAATGGGATAGATAACCTATTTTGTCAACTTTAATTACATTGACTAAAGAGTTTGATTCTAAATGTGTTTGAGGATCATTGAAGTTTCTTAAAAAAAAATAAAATGCTTTCATCCAATTTGTTTTGTAAAGTATGTAAAATAATTATTAGTGTTACTTTTTAAAAATTATTCTACTCTTCAAATATTAAGTAGGTGAAATAAATTGATTAATAAATAGTTAAAATATGAATATAATCCAATAATGTTATGAGTTATAATCTTTACGTCAAAACGGGATTATTAAAAATTTTCCAACACACACTTAGTCTAAACAGTTGATGTATATATTAATGATTGTATTTTAATCTTGTATTATCACAACGTGCTGTTTTTTTTTTTAATTAAAGGGGATGGTAAGGTTCAAATTACTGATTACACTAACGTACAATGATATATTATTGCATCATTAAATAAGATTATCATAAATTTATTTTAATGATATAGCTATAATTAACTATGCGATAATAATAAATAAGTTTACAACTTGCAGTTAATAATATTAAATAAAAATAATATGCCATGATTAAAACGTTGAAAGGAAAATTGTAGATTTTGATGTTAAAAAAAAAAAGCAAGGACAAGCCCACCAAAACAATAATGTGAAAAAAAGTCCAGGACGAATGTTGATGTATTTGGGTCAGAGAGATGTGATATTATATATATGTATTTTGGTCAATGCAAATAAATTATATGTCAGCACTGATCAGATCCAAAATTATCGAAAGGAAGCCCAACCCAAAAGATCCAGTGCTGTCTTGACCAAAAAAATAAAAATAAAAATCCATTGCTGCGTTTCATGAAGTTTCGATGCGTTGCCCGGCTCCTATGTTTTTCCCGGTTGAGATTGAGCGAAGATTTGGGATCATAACAGTAACATAGGAAGATAATCGAATTGATGGCGGTCACCGGAGACGAAGCTGCAACGGTAGGAGAAGGAGCAGGTCATACTCGCAGTCCCATTTCTGACGGTAACCCAAATCCAAACTCAAACCCTAACCCTAACCCTAACCGGCCACATGCCCCCAGAGGATCCAAAGGAAAATCGTGTAAGGGATGCGCGTATTACTCATCCATTCATAAAGCCAAATCTAAAAATCCCACATGCGTTGGCATCTCTGGAACACTCGAGCAAGGTCTCTCTCTCTCTCTCTCTCTCTCTTTCTCTCTCTTTGTGTATAAATTACGAGCTGTGTTGATATCCTTTTCGCCTTTACTGGAATCTTTGTTAATTTTTGTTACAAATCACTAGTTCACCACTACACACTACCTATCCCTTTACCCTGAACTTGAAACTCGATTCTTTGTTTTTCTTGACAATTACCATTTACTTGAAATTATTTAAAATCCAGCATGAGGGCACTTGTGCTCATCTTAATCCTTGTGGTCAAGAAAGTGATCAATAATACATCCTGACAGCAGGCTGAAGCTGAGAAATGGAGAGAGTTAGGCTTTTTGGGGGACTTCACTTTTCCTTAACAGGAAAAGCAGCCATTCAGAATTTTGGAAAAACTAAAAATAAAAAATAAAAAATAAAATAAAATAAAAAAAAAAAAATATATATATATATATATATATATATATATATATATTTTATTTTTTTTGTTATTTTTTTTTAAATGAAGGCCTTTTTTTCCTTGTGTGCGCGCTTATCTTCTCTTTAAAAGGAGACGCAAAACCAAACATAAATTTAGAGAAGCTCTAAAAAAGCAAATGGAGTTTCTATTTTGAATGAAGGGAAAACATTAAAAGGCAAAAGGAACTTCTATGAAAGCTAATTAGAGGAGCTTCTGCTTCTTTATTTTGAAACAAGGTGCCTTCTTAGTTCTTCTCTTCACTCCCCAACCTTTCCTCTAAACACGTGATTTCTGAATCAAATGAATTCACTTTAGGCAATGTCATTTGCAACTCATGATGGTGCTGGCTTAGGTCTGCAATAGCTCTGCATGGGAAGCAGCTGGGTTTGACACTGGTATGTAATGGCTGTGTGGAACAGGTGAGGTGTAGTGAGGCAAATGGGCAGTTCAGTAATGGGTGCTGATCTGTTACTATTAGTCAACTTCAGTGGCAGTATGGTAGGTCTTAGTTTGTCCACAATGGCCATGAAATCTTGTGAGCTATGTGATGGCAGCTGGTTGGTGGTAGCTTGATTTGGGGATTGGTATGGATATTTAAGCTTAAAAAAGTTAAGTTATTACTTTTAACTTTAAAGTAAGACCAAACAAAAAAAGGAAGGAGTTTCTGCTGAAGTTAATTAAAGGAATGCTTGCAATTAAAGGAGCTTTTATGGGAATGTTGTTCTCTCCATGGTTTAAAAGTATCTTATATCCTAAAATAATAAATTATGAAACAAATTTAGCATTGCTTCTGAAGGTATCATTCTAACTTCAAAGCAACTCCTAAGATTAAAAGAGAAGATGGACCAAATGCTACTTGAGACTAACCTTCATAAAGTGAGACTGAGCATTTTAAAGAAGGGTGAGCATGAGCAAAATGTGAGGAATGGAGGAGAAATGTTGTGCGAAGCTTTGAAGTTGATAAACAAGGGTAAAATAGTGTATTTAAATAATTAAAACTTAAACCATGACAATCAAATTTGATTGGATATCTAATTTACACAATAAAATTAGATGGATTTCCAAATCAAATCAATTCCTAACCACATTTCATAAACTACCCAAACAAAGAATTCATTTATAAAATGAATCATTTACTAAAAATTCTCATCCAAAACAGGCTGTTAAAGCTTTTGGAATAATTCAGCATTATTTACAAGTGATGTATAGTCTTGTTATCTTTATATTTTTTAAGGCTTAATTGTATTTCTAGTCTTCATACTTTAGGTTATGTGTGATTTTAGATCATCTAATTTTAATTGCTCATATTTAGTCTTCATAATTTTTAATTGTTTAAATTGAATCTCTCATCCCATAATTTCATCAAATAATTAATAAAAATATAATAAATCATTGATTTATACAAATTTATAAAAAATTATAAAATAAAAAAATGAAAGAAGCTTTTATTATATTTTTTACATTTTATGTATTATTTTTATTTTAATAATTTATGTATTTTTTAGTTATTAATTCATATAAATCAATATGTTACATTTTTATTATATTTTTGTTAATTATTGTATTGGACTTTGAGGTAAGAGATTTAATATGAACAATTGAAAAATTAAGGGAATTAAAAAGCAATTAAAATTAAGAGAACCAAAATCATACAGACTAAAAAGTATGAAGACCAAAAATACAATTAAACTTTTTTTATTTAAATTTGTTTCTTTATCCTTTTTCTTTTATTTATAACTTCTATACAAATTTTACACATGTACTGAACTTATGTTGTTTGGATGTATGATGTATTGTATTTTGTTGGGGTTGCAGTGTTTTTTTTTTATTAATTAAGTTTTTGGACCTTATATTTTTACTGCATTTATTTTATTTCATTTTGTTCATTTAGTTTACTCATTACATCCATTGTTATCCTCATGGTGGACCTTCATCCAGATTATTCTGTTACTATTTCTTAGTACATTATCTTTTATAATAGATATTATTGCTTACTATAGTTTTATTTTTCTTATGGATTGGTTCTATTTTCCATCATTTGCTTTATTTATTATAGTTTAATCATTATTTTATCATAAACCTCCTTTAATGGTTTGATATTGACACTCTTATGCATATAACCAGTGCCCCCTTATGTTGTGGGAGAAACTGAGTTGGAAGCTTCGAAAAAGGGCCGTAGCTTTACAAATTTCAAGTATGCTTGTATTGGGTACTCTGTCTACTTAGACAACAAAGATTCATCAACTGACTCGCAGGATAAAACAGCAAAACTGCCCTTTTGTGTTGGACTTGAGGTTTTATCTCTCAACCTCCTTTCGCTTTTACACTACGTATTTGCAAAAGCTAGGTTTCTCTTGTTCCAAAGGTTTCTTGGGAGTTGGTACATATTGTGTGTAATATAGAGTTATATGTATCATGGAGATAGCAACAATTTATTACAGGGGTCAAATAATAAACTTGTGAAGCCAATAAAGATAAAAGAGAAATGGTTGAGACACTCTTTTACACTCAACACTGTTAGGTAAAACTTATGTGGCACTAAGTAATTTTGGTCCCACCCCCTTATTAATCATTCTTGTTAATTGTTGAGTGATCACATGATTTCCACCAATAGTGAGGACTTAGGGGTGTGTTGTTAGCATTCCTCAAGAGAAAATTAAAAGAATAATGGGGAGTGGGGGTGAGGTGGTACATAAGTAGTCCCTTAAAAATGTATTCAAAGAAAATTTGGTCTAAGTGTATGACACTATTAACACGTTTCAGGTGGTCTTGGAAGAGAAAGCTTCAACTTCACCTGCTGACCGAGTTCCTGCTACTCATAAAACTGAGGGTATTGTGTTTCTAGTATTTCTTTTTATATACAGTGGTTACATCCTTCTTTTTCAATCATTCCACATTAACTTGGAAAAATAATAGTGGTAAATATAAAAGCCAATGCATATTTGGATAATTCTCTTGTATCTTGGAGTTGGAGATCATTAGTTTATGTTCACTCTCTGTATCCATGATACCTTTCTCCAAAAATGTGGAAGATTTTACACTGGAAGTTCATGTGCAAGGTCATTGAAACATTAGGACTAATCTGTGCTTTTCCAACATCCTCAAGTTGTTCTTTATTGGGCTAAACAGCTTAGATATGCGTTTGCATTATCAAGATATCTAGAAGTCCCAACTGATTTTTATCTACATTATCTTTAAAACAAAATTGACATGAACTCTTTTAGTTTGGGCTTCATTTAGTTTTCTCAACAGCATTTCTCTTGAATATATTATTTGTTAATTTATAAATTCTGTATAAAGATTTTCATAAACACTTCATTTTTAAGCAATTTCCTTTGCCTAGGCCACGAGTGGACTTCTCTATACTTGTAATGGGGCGAGTGATATATCATCATGAATGTGTCACATGGAACACTCAACACAATGCTATTCACGACTGTAGGCAGTGATTATTTCTTCTAGATCACTCAATCTTCCCGTATAATTATCATTATCTATTTTACATTAATAAGCCAATAAAACATGTTATTGTTTAACAGGAAATCAAATTTTCATTCTGCATGAATTTCTCTGTCAAATAATTATTTTATACTAAAAATGATTTTATTTGTGTGTGGTTTTCTGAATAACTGTTTGATTAGTTAAGATTCTTATACTTTGTTGGAGATTATATTTTGTGCATACTTTTATTTCATTTTTCTTACCGTGCCTTTTCATGTCTTGATTTTTGGTCCTGTTTGTCCAGAACATGAACTACGAAGACAAAAATCTCCAATTTCTAAAACAGAAGATTTCTTTAACAGGCAAGTAGAAGTTTTAAGCATATAGACATGTTAGCTCTTGTAGTTTGTGTCCGGTTGCTAGAGACTTGAACTAGGGATGTAGTGCATGTTTTGGGAAAGCTCTTTTTAGGCAAAATAATCGGTTATTTTTCAGAAGCTCTGTTACAAAGCTTTAAAAAATAAGCGATTATTTCTTTAAAATAAGTTGAGCCAAACATGCAAGTAGTCTCTGAACTTACTAATTATAACACATGATGATTGTAAATATGCAGGTTTCAAAAAAATGCGGGCCTGGTGGCATCCGGTGTTGCCAAAAACTTGAATAGAGTGGGCAACTATGTAAAAGAGACCGTAGATGATATTCTAAATAGGCGACCGAAGTGAAGCTGGCGATTGTTATTCTCGTGTCCGAAATAATTTCAATTTTACACATTGGACATTTTCTTTTCATGCGGTCAATTTATTATTTTGATTACTGGTAGTGTATCTAGCAATCACTGTGCTTTAAATGTATATTTTCTAAACAGTTATTCATGTAATAAAATTGCATCATCATCCCAAAGTTTATGATGATTCCTTTTAGGTAGTTTGTTCTATTTAACTCCTTTGTGGTCTCCCAATGTAGTCATGAAAATTGTGCTGGTGTCACAGTGGCCCTTTGTTTTTTTAAATGGATTGACAAAAGCCCGAAGAGGTCGATAAAGTTGTCCACTAAATTGGCTTATGCAGTCTGCCTTTGCTGTCTGTTTGCCATAGCATACTGGGTATAATTGTTTCTTTTATTGTCGAGAATCTAATATTTGACCTCTAATTTGATGTTTAGATGTGAACGAACCAAACACTCGGCCATCCACTATAATAGCCTCTCAAATTATGGAGATTAGGATATATTTCTTTTAAAGATTGCAGAAGGTTAAGGGCGAGATTTCTTGCCGTACATGCACCATTGAAAGGAATCAAATTCCCCCAAGGCAATGGCCTGTGATTTTCAATTATTCTAAATAATTAAAAAAAAAAAACAGTTTGATTGGAAATCAGATTAAATTAGATTGAAAAAAAAAAAAAGGGAACACTCATTTTGGTGCTACCTTCAACAGGATAGGTAACGAACATTTTTGTGCTTTGTCCCCGCAATTCTACAGTTTGGAATCCATTACATCGCTAGCAGCTCATCAACTTGTAATTATATTTACTTGGAAACGTTTGTTTTATTGTTTACTCATCATAAACAGATTTCAGGTAACGAAATTCTCTCGTGCAAGTCGCGCAAGTCAAACTTTTGGGCTTCCCATTTGGATCTAAAATTGTTAAAACAAACTTTCTAATGTCACGTAACGATTTTGGGTTCAACCATAGCATTGAATCATGTGCAGCTACAATCCAGTTAGAGGTGTATGTGGTTATAAATAGAAAGCGGTAGACCCATCCATCCGTCGACCGCGCGCATAGAACAATAAACATTAGGGTTGAGCGCGCAGAACTGTCGTTAACTTTTAATTAGCAATATTAAATCCCTATTAAGAATCAAAGTCAAGAAAAAAAAAAAAGGGATTGGACCCACAAAATATAAAAGCCCCCAACCTAACCTCTATTATATGTGATGGTGAAGCATTTGGGGTGAGCATGTGATTTCAGTGACACTCCTCACTCCCCAGTGTAACTGTCGGATCACGTTCCCTTTGAAATCTAGAAAACGAAAATGAACATGAAGGTGTGGAGCTTGTTCCACGTGTTGCTGTTTATGGGTTTACCACTGGGGAACAGCCATAACTACGAAGACGCATTATCGAAAGCGATCCTCTTCTTTGAGGGACAGCGATCGGGTTTCCTGCCAGGGGATCAGAGAATGAGTTGGAGAGCGAATTCGGGTTTGGGTGATGGGTGGAACTACAACACGGATCTCACCGGCGGCTACTACGACGCCGGCGACAACGTTAAATTCGGGTTTCCCATGGCATTCACGACGACAATGCTGGCGTGGAGCGTGCTGGAATTCGGGGACTTGATGCCCCCTAACGAGCTTAGGAACGCACTCCTCGCAGTTCGTTGGGCTACTGATTATTTGCTCAAAACTGTTTCTCAGCCCAATCGCATTTTCGTTCAGGTAATTCAACGTTTTATTCCAATGTGAACGAACTGAATGTGATACTCTGAGGAATCATTCAACGGCTTCGTTTCTTTCTTTTTAATTTCCCTTCCCTGCACCCTTAATGATTGAATTCAAGTTATGACAGATTTTATCATTTTAAACAAAAGGTTTAGTTTCATTTTAAGTCTCTATACTCACAACAGTCTATACATTATTTTGGTTCTTACATTTATAAGCTTTTGCACTCTGTCTTCATAATTTTTTAATTATTAAAATTAAATATGTCATCATAAATTTCATTTAATAATTAATAAAGTATAACAATAATACAATATAACATTGATCTACATATATTTATAAAGAAAAAATATATGAAATATTTAAATGAAAATTAACTGTAATAAAATCTCAATTTTGTTTTTCTTATTTATATTTAAAATTTATTTATGCATTTTTAATTATTAATTTATATAAATTAATGTCACGTCATGTTTTTATTATTTATTGAATAACAATTAGAATTAAAGTGACTTTTAATTTTAATAATTGAGAAATTATGAAAATTAAACCTAAACAATAAAATTAAGGAAAACTAAAATTATGATAAATTAAAGAATAAAAAATAAAAGTACAATTGAGTCTAAATAAAGTAGTAATATTGCAATTAGTTTAATTTTAATGGATAATATATTTTTTATAATTTTAAAAATTTTCTGTGATATATTAATAAATATATAAAATGTCAAATTCATTAAATAACATAATATTAATTTAATTCTCAGATTTAAAAAAATTAATTTGAATAAAAAAACTCGTAATTTATATATACTTGAAATTTTTTTTAGAAAGTACTGTGTATATAGGCATAGGTGGGTTCAACTAACCCACAATACGGATAGCGCGAACTAGATTCCGTGAACACGTTAGGGAGCCCCTTGTTAGGTTTTGACGTTTCGGACCCACAACAGGCCATGCCTCTTCCCATATGTTCAAGGGGTTGGGGAACCAACTAAATTTATTATTATTATCGCGTAGATAGATAAAAGTAACCTAAATTCCTGTAGATTAGTTTAAACTTGTGGAATGGGCTGAAAAAGATCGAACCACTGACCCCACCTATGATCGAAAGGTCAAGGGTCTAATGAATAAAGCGCTTTTACATACGTATCAGACACACACTTATAAGGCTTTAGTCTTTAGGGAAAGTTGTGCTAATCCTAGGACTTATTTTTTTTCTTTGGTCAACACTAATCCCTGGACTTAGAATACGGAGTCTTTCGTATTTCTTCTTTTTCTTAGCCCAATTAATGTGTTTTGAATAAATGAAAGCAACTCGACTCTAGTAACATAGGGTGGAGCAATGGGCCATGTTCACAATTTGTCATTTATAGTCACTTAATTAGGCAGGACTGAACCCTTTCTATTCTAAAAGTCCGTGAAATTCATAGGCTGATAGCGAATACTTGTCTTCTCCTTTTCCATAATTAATATCAAAGGAAATATAGTGTTAGAGAAATAAATAAATAGTACATAAATAAGAGACTCATAAACTTAAGTGGTTAATATGAAAATTGTTGACAGAGGTTGCTTAGTTACTTTGGTTAATATGAATGACATAGGTGGGTGATCCAAGTTCAGACCACGATTGTTGGGAGAGGCCAGAGGACATGGATACAGCCAGGACTACGTATGCTGTTGATGCACCAAACGCCGCTTCCGATGTCGCCGGTGAAACAGCCGCCGCACTAGCAGCCTCATCCATGGCATTCCGGTCATCGGACCCTGGTTATTCAGAGACATTGCTTCGAAATGCAATCACTGCTTTTCAATTTGCAGATAACTATAGGGGTGCTTACAGTGACAATAATAATGTCAAGTACGGTGCCTGCCCATATTATTGTGACTTCGATGGCTACCAGGTAATTAACTATAACTGCTAATAATGAATGAAAACAACTAGTAAAATTTTAAAATTACTGAAGATAAGTTCAATTAATTAATAAAGGGTTATTTTATTAATAAAAATACTCAAAAACATATGTTTAAAATTTTTCATTTTAAAAATGATTGTTTGATTGATATGATATTATTTTAACAACTTATTCATTATACAAAGTGTTAATTTAAAATTTTGAATATTGATTTAAAAGCAAAAATATTAAATTTTTCTTTAATTAGTTGGTCTAAAAATATGATATTATTGCATTTTATCAAGGATTAATTCAAAATAGATTCATTCCTGCCGAATTTTTTGCAGTCTCCTTATGCTAAAATCGTAGCCCTTAATTTGTTTTTTGAATGGTGAAGATTAATTGAAGTGAGAGAATAAGAGATTATTATGAACATACAATCGAGTGATTTATATATGGCTGGGGCATCAAGTTGCCAATTTTTTATATGGCGATGTTGTCGGTAGATGAAGTTAGCTAAATTTTTATAGGTAAGTTGTTGATTTTAATTAACATGGTAGGATGAGTTGTTATGGGGAGCCGCATGGCTAAGGAGGGCTACACAGGACGTCAATTTCTTAAACTACATTCAAAGCAATGGCAAAACGCTTGGTGCTGACGACAACATAAATGAATTTGGTTGGGACAACAAGCATGCTGGCCTTAACGTACTTGTCTCCAAGGTCAGCCTCATATTACTCCTCTAGCTAATCAATCCAACCACAATCTTAAAATCACAAAAATTTAATGACACCTAAACTATATCTACTACACATTTTCACACACCCAAAGAAAAATTAAAATAAACGTGCATTTTGTTAATACCCAATAAATTCATCAATTCTTTATAGGAAGTTATAGAAGAAAACATGTACTCTCTAGAGTCCTACAAGTCCTCAGCAGAGAGCTTCATTTGCACACTCATACCTGAAACACCAAGCTCACACATAGAGTACACCCCTGGTGGACTAGTGTACAGACCCGGAGGTAGCAACTTGCAACATGCAACTTCAATCGCTTTCCTTGAGTTGGTTTATGCCAATTACCTAACACGCACGTCGCAAACCATCAATTGCGGAAACGTCTATGTTAGTGCACAAACACTTCGCCAACATGCTAAGAGGCAAGTTGATTACATTTTGGGTGATAACCCAATGGGTTTATCCTACATGGTTGGCTATAGCAACTACTATCCGCAGCGTATTCATCACCGTGGCTCTTCTTTACCCTCGATCAAGGATCATCCCCAGTTCATCGCATGCAAAGAAGGGTCAATCAACTACAACTCAACGAATCCCAATCCTAATGTGCTTTTGGGAGCCATTGTTGGAGGACCTGATGAAAATGATGTTTATGTGGATGATCGAGTTGATTTTAGGAAATCTGAGCCAACCACATACATTAACGCACCGTTTGTAGGGGTTTTAGCATATTTTGCTGCTAATCCCTACTTTAATTAATTAATGTAAAAGTTACCAACAGATATAGGTTGTATTTTGTAAATGAAAAGATATACACCGAAGATGTTTCTCATCTTGAGAAATGCAAGAGGGAAGAGGCTTGATTGGGTTTTTTAGGATTATTACTGAATTTGAGTCTTGGAAGTCACAAAAACTGCTGTGACTTCTAAGCAGAAAGGATGGAGGGAAATTTCCATTAATCATACATGTTTGCCCCAAAACAATGTGCGAGATTGTACGATTGTGGGGTTTGTTAACTGTCTTAAAGGTATTAATGAATAGTGAAGTTTATATTTTTTGTTAGCTGTCTTAATAGTAGTACACATAAATTACTTACATACTATGCTGCGATTTACGTTTATAAAATTTTGGTTTTATTAATATTAGTTTTTAAGGTTGAGTTTAAGTATGAAAAAGTAGTAAATTTTTATTGAAAAATGTATATTATATTAGATGTATAAAAATATAATAGGTATATATTTTTTTAAAATTATTATTTTAAATGGATAAACTGAAAAAACTTTAACCGTTAAAGTTAATAAAATGGATAATTTTTTGGGCAAATAATTACACTTCATTCTAATATATTTATTCATATATTTTTAATGATTTCGTTATAAATGTTAAATTTCAACCGTATAATCGTCGAATCGAGTATATGCAAGTGTGACATTGTTTCAAGCTAATTTGAGATCAACTAAAAAATTATATGTAACTAGATTGAATTGATTAAATTTAATGTTTATAAAATGTTATTAAATAATATTTATAGTTTCTATTTTTTAATGTAAAACAGTACTAGTATTTCAAGATTTATACAAAATGTGTGAATATCATGTTACTCAAACTTAGTCTAAAAATTAGCTAAATTTATATCTTTTAGTTTAGGAGTACTTTTTTGGGCACTTTTACACCACCTATTCTCTTATAATTAGTTTTTGATATATTGTTTTTTATTTTTTAAAAATAAAGTAAAAAAGAAAACATATAAAAATGTGTGTTGCTATTTTAAGAAAAGAATATATGTAATCTTAAATAGGAAAAAAAAATATTGTAAGTTACATGATTGAATTGATATCTATATTTCATTTTAACCACGTAGATGAGATCTAATGTATAACAAGATTAATAACATAAAAATTACTTACACAACTTTATAAATAATAATGATATACTCTTAAATGTAAAACAACAGCACACTTGCATGTATTTATTTGTAATTAAAATATTATTAATAGTTTTTTATACATGCAAATAAAAACAAAATTATGAATATGGTAAAGGTAGTTTATTATTTATGTAGGAGCTTATAATTTTTGAAAGATATCTTTTTAAAAATTATTTAAGAGTAGCATCTGTTTTTTAAAAGCTAATTATATGTATTTTTTATTTTTTATTTTTTATTTTTAATTTTTAATTTTTTTAAAAAACAATGTACTGTTAAAATTTCATGTACATATATTAATTTTAGTATCTTTTGTTCTTTTCACATTTATAACAATCTTAATTATTTTTTTGGTTTTTTTTATCTATTTTTCTATCTCTTCTATTTAAATATATTTTATATTAAAAAAAGTAAATGCTTAGAAAATTTATGTTCAAATATATCTAAAAAGAAAATTTATTTTTTTATATAATTAATTAATTAATTGTAAATAAATAAAATAAATAATAATTAATTTTAATATTATATTAATATAATATTACATATCCTTTAAATCATTTAATATAATCAGCTAGTCGAATAACTAATTTATCAAATAATTTTAATTTTATAAACTAGTTATAAAAATAATAAATTTTTAACTATAAATTCATACCTTTCAGCTAAAAGTTTCAAATGTATAACTTGGAATCATTTTACCAAAAACAACATATATACATGACTATATATGAGGGATCACGAACAAAGAAAGGATTTGCTTAGCAGTTGGAAAACGATTAATATTTTGAACCATCACATGGGAAATGAAGTAGCATTATTAGAAAGACATGTGTACATATGGATGGACCCAAAAATTTGAAGTTGGGAGGTTCAATTTTATTTATTAAAAGATACGGATGTCTGGTATCTAAGATATAAATAAACTGACTATATTGTAGTTTTGAAATTTCATTTGATATTAAGGTTTAAAAATTGCTGAACAAAAGTGGAGGATTATGATTCATCTGCCTTTTCTATTTAAATAATACCTTTTTATAAAATAATTTCTTAAAATAGAATTTTTTAAAATTATTTCTCTGTTTGATATGTAAAAATTTAATTCTAAAATACTAAAACCAATAACATGTTCAAAACTAATTATTGATCATTTTATAAGTTGTAAAACAATTAAAATATCATGCAAAAATATTCATAAATATTTATTATCATTAATAATTTTGTATTAAAAATGACTGATAATTCTGTAACTTAAAAATTAAAAAATCTCAAAATAATATTAAAATAATGAATAATTACGTATGTTTAAAATTAAAATAATGTTTTACTTAATTGAAATACTTTAATAAATCTTAAAATAATGAAATTTATAAAGAAATATTTATTAACTAATAAAATAAACTTGTCTAGGACCAGGACTCTTCCTAGACCAAACCGATTGACCAGATTTTCACAAACTTCACGAAGAATGACAAGATAACCTTTGCATTTGCAGAGCAAACCATGGCTCTGAACCTCGTACACCCCAAACTCCCTCTATCTTCTTCTTCCATTTCACACCACATACACTCTCATACTCTTTCAAAACCCTTCTTCCTCTTACACTCCAAAACCTCAACTTCACTACTCTCCAAAACCCTATGCGTATCTAATGCCCCACACGTTTCAACAACCCCCATTTTCCTCCCATATCTCCAACAACAACAAGAGGACATAGAAGAAGCACCAGAACCAGAACCGGAACCGGAACCGGAACTAGAAGTAGAAGATGACCCTGATGATCCAATCTACAAATTCTTCAAAACCCGCACTCGGGTTTCCTCTGAAGACCCTGGAAAAGAAGGAAAATTGTCCCTTCAGAAGAACCGTCGCATCTCATGGCATCTTGCCTCTGATACCAGTGACCTTGTTGAAGAAGAAGCTGAAATGGGTTTGGAGGAAAGTCCCTTGTTGGCTGAGGAGAAGGAAGAAATTGTATATCAGAAGAAGGTTTTACCTGAAGGCATCGTGGGGGAGATTGTTCAGCTTGCAAGGAACTTGCCACAAAATCTGACACTGGAAGAGGCTTTGGTTGAGTATGAAGGAAGAGTTCGTGAGAAAGAGTGCTGGGAGGTTTTGAAAATACTTGGGGAGGAGCATCTTCTGGTGTGTTGTTTGTATTTCTTTCAGTGGATGAGGATGCAGGAACCATCACTTGTTACACCTCGTGCATGTACTGTGTTGTTTCCATTTCTGGGAAGAGCAATGATGGGTGATAAGTTGATGGTTTTGTTCAGAAACTTACCATCTAGCAAGGACTTTAGAGATGTTCATGTTTATAATGCCGCTATGTCAGGCCTTCTCTCCAGTGGCAGGTACAAAATTCTTCCAATGTCTCGTGCTTTGCTTGTTTTTGTCTTTCTACTTTTGTGGATCCTAGGACAATATTATGACATCCATTATATGCACTAGTACTACTGTGGTTTCATATATATATATATATATATATATATATATATATATATAGAGTTGGAAAACCATTGTTGCTGTATATCGTTTCTTCAAAGGTTTGGTTAGTTTATTACTAAGAAGCCAATGAAAATTGCGAAATCTATGAAACTTCATTGGCTACTTATTAGAGTATTAAGACTTTCAAATTACCTCAGCTTATTGTTTCTGCTTGCAAACTTAAGACTGTGCAAAAAAAGAAAGTTATAAGGAAGACAGTTTAAATTCCCGTTTTGGAAACCAATCTAAAATAAAACAAAAGAAATTTCATCTTTCCCTATCTGACAAATGTTTTTTACATTACTTTGGGCAGTAGCGCCCCATCCCCAATATTACATATGTTGTAAGAGTTCATTTTTAAAATCTCCTTGATTGTCTAAGGTATGAAGATGCTTGGAAGGTGTACGAGTCAATGGAAACGGATAACGTTCTTCCAGATCATGTGACATGCTCTATTATGGTTATTGTTATGAGAAAACTTGGCCATAGTGCAAAAGATGCATGGGAATTTTTTGAGAAAATGAGCAGAAAAGGAGTCAGATGGGGTGAAGAAGTCATAGGTGCACTAATAAAGTCATTTTGTGTTGAGGGTCTGATGAGTGAAGCTCTCATCGTCCTATCTGAAATGGAGAAGAAAGGGGTTTCTTCAAATGCAATTGTGTACAATACCTTGATGGATGCATATTGTAAATCCAAACGCTTGCAAGAAGCTGAAGGCCTTTTTGTTGAGATGAAAGCCAAAGGGATTAAGCCAACTGAAGCGACCTTCAACATTCTAATGCATGCATACAGCAGAAAAGCGCAACCTGAGATTGTGGAGAAGCTGCTGGCAGAAATGCAGGATGTTGGCTTGAAGCCAAATGCCAAATCATATACTTGCCTAATCGGTGCTTATGGGAAGCAGAGAAATATGAGTGACATGGCTGCAGATGCATTCTTGAAGATGAAGAAAGATGGTATTAAACCCTCTCCACATTCTTATACAGCTCTAATTCATGCTTATTCAGTTAGTGGCTGGCATGAGAAAGCTTATGCAGCATTTGAGAACATGCAAAGGGAAGGTATTAAACCTTCCATAGAAACCTACACTGCTTTACTAGATGCATTTAGACGTGCTGGTGACACCCAAACATTGATGAAAATATGGAAGTTGATGAGGAGGGAGAAAGTTGAAGGAACACGGGTGACATTCAACACTCTTGTCGATGGTTTTGCTAAACACGGTCTCTACAAGGAAGCAAGAGATGTAATATCTGAATTTGGGAATGCTGGATTGCACCCAACAGTGATGACATACAATATGCTGATGAATGCATATGCAAGAGGAGGGCAACACGAGAAGCTGCCAGAATTATTGGAAGAGATGGGAACTCATAACTTAAAGCCAGATTCTATAACTTATTCAACTATGATATACGCCTTCATCCGTGTTCGAGATTTTAGGCAGGCATTTTTTTACCACCAGGAGATGGTCAGGAGTGGGCAGGTGATGGATGTCAATTCTTACCAGAAGCTTCGAGCGATTCTGGATGTCAAAGCTACAATGAAAAACAAGAAGGATAGAAGATCCTTGATTGGTGTAGTTAGAAATAACATGGGAGTAGTGAAACCAAAGAGAAAAAAAGATGAGTTATGGAAGTACAGGAAAAGACATGTGAAAAATCGGTAGTTCTGTTATCAGCATAATGTAAGTAATGGATGCAATACCTATTGAGAATTACAAGTTCAATTTTGACCCATTTTTTATTTCTCTAAATGGGTAGCATCAGGAGCTTCTTGATTTTAACACACACAATATTTGTCATCATATATTGCCTCTTCAATCAACAATGCATGTTACCCAGTTTAAAATTCAATATTTTTTTTCGGTGGACATTGGAAGTGTTCATCATTTGCAAAATAAAATGAAACAAATTAATGATGTAAATATATGTGTATTCACGTTTTACATAGATTTTTGGCCGCTGTGACCCCGATCTGTAGAGCTATTTATATGCATGAAAATTCCGCCCTTTATAGTAAAAGTAAGCAATTCGAGTTAATTGTCAATTTGCACTCACATGTTGCTTTTTGGCTGGCGAGTCACTGCATCTTCTATCCTTACTATGGTCACAACAAGTTGCCAATTGAGATTATTTTGGAGTCTTGGAGATATCTGCTGTACAGTCGGTGGTACTTTATACCCAGCCCATCCAATTTAGGGAAAGGCCCATAATTCAATTCAACGGTTAGTAACCTCCATTTCATGGTGATAGTTACTTTTTCTCACATATCGACTTGGGTGCACAAAACATTATTTTAGTGCATGTAAAATTCAAGAGCCGGTGTTGCTCTATCAATTTAATTTGATTCCCATGTCATATAAATTTACTGAGAAAAAGGCAAAAGCAATGTCTCACTCTGATAAGAAATTAAAGAACATAAATATGAAACAAAGAATTTATAAGAAGCTTAAAGAAGTACCTTGAGCATAATGTTTCATGCTGATTATATAGTCACATTTGACTTGCTGAATCCAAAGATTTGCTTTCATAAACATTATTTTCCAGGAAAAGAACATGAATAAATGACTTAGGGACATCAGCAGCATTTGAATCTTTATGCATAATAACATTAAGGATTCCCTTCTTTTCCATAAGTCAGTACTTGACTATATATGAAAACAATAAATAATGAAATGAAATTTAAAGACTTAAGATGGAAAGTGAAAATTCAGTAGAAAGAATAATCGGATGAGAATCCCACCTACTCTGTAGTAAGATGCCATGGAAACCAAATGCTCCTTATTGTCAGTGTCATACAGAGAGAATTTGCTAACTTTATTAAGGACATCTCAAAACTACTAATGCACAATAACCAAGCCATATTAATTATGGACAACCTAAGCTTTGAGCCAATACCGATGATGTAGGCAGAGCATAAACTAATTAATGTTTTCAATTTACTGTTCGAGCTTCTTTTGCCAATAACAATGACACGACAGAACAGTTCAGTAATATCATGATTTAGGCTATTCAAGGTTAGAACAGAACATAGTGGACCCGTTCCTAGAATGCCATTTGGCCTTTTGAGTACTGAAAAGGACTAATAATGCATAGTGAATCAAAAGTTAATCTGCATCTTCAGTGTTTCCTTGAAGCACTATTCCACCCCAAAAAGGGCTTAAAAGAAAGAACGAATCTATGATCAAATTGTTTTACTGAAAAAGCACACTTTTCAATTTGTGAGATTATATTATAAACAGTTGGCAGAAACTGGATGAAGTCTTTCTCTTCCTTAAAGGGGAGATGGGACTAACTCCATTCCTACAACTACCATATCCTTCGAATCTAAAGTGGCCCTGCAGCAAATGAGCTATGGGTTAACGGAATAACATAGAGCAACGTTGTCCTGTTGTAAATGGAGAATGATGGACATGTTAGCCTCCATCATGGAAGTAACTAAAACAAACTAATAACTTTTGCACCCAAATAATTTAAGGGGAAAGTGAAGTACTTCTTTGAAGAATTAAGGAGGGCTTGAACCTCCGACCTTGTGGTTAACAGCCACACGCTCTAACCAACTGAGCTATTCCAGCTTGTGCAAATTTACTGATAATCTTTCTTTGAAGAAAAATACCAAAGGTAGCTAATTTGATTATTGAATCTAAGTTAGAGTTAGAGCCTTCATTCATTAACAATTTTGGTTGGTGTATTTTTCGTATCCTATGGTTAAGGATATGCAAAAAATGTGGAGAAATTAAAAAATATTTGTTGATAAGTGGAGATACAAGCTAGCATTCACGGAGACCCATGAAAAGCATAAAGTTAACAAGAGTTCAGAAAAATTGAAGAACGTAGTACTATCAGGAAATGGGCTGGCTTAACTACATGAATCACAACATTTTCAATTCATCCTCCATCTCTGTAGAACTAGTCAACATGAACACAAACTAAGACTTGAACTTCAAAACATCCGTCTCAGTATTTAAAAACTTAGTTTTCAGTACGCTAATGCTTGGATTTTTTTTAATACTTTGTTTGATATTTAGTTCTTAAAACTTCCATAATCAGATATTTCCAATTGGATGTACAAAATTAAATACTCAAGTAATATCTTTGGCTCTACCCTTTTGACTGTTGTTGGTTTTTAAACTTCAAACTACATTTAAAAAAAATATGCACAATTTACATTAGTATGTTAGTGCTTCCTCTGGTATGCTATCCGACATAGCTGTGAGACGAACACTCGAGGGTTTCATAAACTCCTTTTTAAAGTAACTATTCTAAAATTTTCGAAGTAGCGAATTTAAAATTACAAGTAAAATTTGTCTTTAACTTCTACTTTAATCAACCTCTATTCCGTTGTATTAATATAATTAAGCATTAGTGTAATACTTTTCATAAAAAAAAGTTAGTGTAATTACCATTACCGTATTAGACTTCTAATTAATTTCCAGCAATGCTACATTAATTAGATTATGATAAAATTTTATAAAAGGCATATATCACTTAATTAGATAAGTGTATGCATAACATGTGCAAAGACTTCAATTTAAATGTTGGCCATGAGCTAGAAATGGTAGCGTTGAGTCTTGGTACCAATTAGTTTCCCAAGTGCATTTACCATCCTACTTTGGACTCTATTTTCGCCCAACTTTCCATGCTCATGAACCACTTGCCCTTCAATTGATATCGTTATGCCTTACACGTACCAACCTACATGTTATTGATTATGGACTAATGCCGTGGGGAAAAAATCTCCATTCTAAGCACTGTCATCAATAAGAAGTAAAAACTCGGATATTTGGTGTCAACAATTACAAATCAGCATCTTTTGCACTAATGTTTGACAATCGAGTACGAAATATCATTGCATCTATCTTTTATAGAAAACAAATTTCTAATTCATTAAGATTAATAATATATATAGATATATATATATATATATATATTAAAAAAATAAATAACACGAGAAGCAGTATAATTTAATTTCTTTCATGATACTTCGTGCTTATACGAAAGAGTTGATGCATTTATAGTTTAAAACCGCAGGAGCGGGACATAACATATATGCGTTAGTTAGGCCATTAAAATGTCATAAACGTTTGATGTGTGGCAGGGGAAGAAGACATAATCATATTGACACGTTACCTCAATCTCACAACATCCTATTATTAAATCAGGACCATAAATCAATGAGAAGGAGACAAAACAGTTAATCAGCAAGGTAAATTATGACCTTATACTTGTTTTCCATACAAACAACAATAATTGGAACCTTTTTTGATGCATGTTATACATTTGTCACTACTAGTAACACAAAGGGGTATAAAATATCTCGGTTTTAATTTTATTTTCCAAGTCATTTTTACAAGGTGAGAAAAAAACCATCCATTTCAACCACGAAATGGTAACGCAGAATGCCAAGCAAGCACAAATATCGTCCACATGTCAAGTGACGATAGGTTGGCTCACAGCAGCCTCAAATGAGACATCACTTAACAACTATAAATACAGAGAAAACGGTGCATGTGTGGTAAAGAGGCACATACTTAGGTTGCTGTAGGAGATAAGATTGTAGTGTTGTTAGAGCGAACACCTGCAGTGAACAAACAATGGCCTCTGCATCAGCATCTTTGCTTAAGTCTTCACTTGTTCTTGACAAGTCTGAGTGGGTTAAGGGCCAAACCCTTCGCCAACCTTCTGCATCTGTTGTAAGGTGCAACCCCACCACCCCTTCTGCCCTCACCATTAGAGCTGGTTCCTATGCTGATGAGCTTGTTAAGACCGCGGTATGATTAACAAAATACTACAATCATCTCATAACTCAGCTAACTTTAATTCTTCACACCCATTATCATTTTTCTTCTTCACACTGCTGATTTCTAGTTTTTCAACTAGCTTTATTAGATGAACTTTTTATGGGTCCTCTAAACTAAAGGCGTGTAATTAGAGAATAAAGTGTAGTTATAACTAGTATGGTTGATATTATAACTGGATACATTCACATGTATAGTAAATAAATTATGAAATTGTTAAAATCTTGTGTGTTGATTTTTTATTCAATGATTATAGGAGTTTAATCTTTCTGGTTGTCCTTGTTTACCCACGAAGTAATGGTTTTCACATTGTTGTTGCAATAATGTTTTCATGTGTGTTTTCTTGCTTGTGTTGTGTGTGGATACAGAAAGCAGTGGCTTCACCAGGGCGTGGTATTTTGGCTATGGATGAGTCAAATGCTACCTGTGGGAAGCGTTTGGCTTCAATTGGGCTAGAGAACACCGAAGTTAACCGCCAGGCATACCGTACCCTTCTTGTGACAGCTCCAGGGCTTGGTCAGTATATTTCTGGTGCTATTCTCTTTGAGGAAACTCTCTACCAATCCACAACTGATGGAAGGAAGATTGTTGATGTACTTACTGAGCAGAAGATTGTTCCTGGTATTAAAGTTGACAAGGTAAGCCATTTGGAACTTACACTGCCATTCCTTTTCTATGTAGTTAAAAGCCATTTAAGTTTGTGCTATGCCTGAACAAATAATGAAAAGAACAAGCACGATGTATGATACCAATTTGATATGTAATTATGTCTAATTGTACTATCATTCCGATATTTGTTAGTATTGCCCACATAGAAAGATGTTCCATGCATCACATAAACTACAGTTAATTATATGTAAGATAGTGGAAATTAGCTTTCTGGCACTAGATTATAGAGAAGCTTTAGGAGACAAAACTAAAATACGGTGGAATCAAGTGTGAATTAGTCCCACATGGAATGAATATGAGCAAGTTAGGGATTTATAAAGAGATGAACTGATGTATCCATAGCCTTAAGGTAGACGAGTAGATGAACTCCGACCGAGTGAGTTGAGTGTAAGCTCTCAGTGTGAAAAGTGGGAAGAAACGGTGACACTAAATGTGGTGTAGACCATGGATACATCAGGGTAATTAACCAACCTTCAGAGGGAGTATTTAGGAATCAAATCATTCGTGCACTCTACGGTTCCAATAAAACACAATTATCAAAACTAAAAGAAAGAAGAACAATCTTTTCTGTGATGAGTATTTTATTAGGGACAGATAATGATTGATGATAGATTATTTGAATCATATTTGTGGCACTCTAATATTAACACATGGTTTATGTGATGGCAACAAACAGGGTTTGGTGCCCCTGGCTGGTTCCAATGACGAGTCATGGTGCCAAGGTCTGGATGGTCTTGCCTCTCGCTCAGCTGCATACTACCAACAAGGTGCCCGTTTCGCCAAATGGTGAGTGTGTGTTGTGGTCTCTTTGTTGTGTCAGCAAAATCATAATTTCATGCCATTCTTTTTTTGAGGTACATTTCATGTTCATTTTTTCATCATATGAAACTTTTATCCATGTTAGGCGTACTGTTGTGAGCATTCCCAACGGTCCCTCTGCTCTGGCAGTTAAGGAAGCAGCCTGGGGTTTGGCTCGCTATGCTGCAATTACTCAGGTAAGAAAACCCCTCTAGTTATTTATTTTTTGTTACAGTTATATAAGTAACTTTCTATTATTAGCAAGACCTTATTTGTTTATAGTTACAAAATCAATTATCGCACTTTTGAACTAAAAAATGTGGTTCAGATGAGTTCAGGCGTACATGTTAATCACATTCAATGGTTCAAAATCAATTCTATTCAACTTTAAACTAAAAATAGGCACTAAATGTGGCTATGATACATTTTTTAGGCCTAGGAGAAGGGCCTTTATAATTCTACCTAGTTCTAAAGGGCCAAAATGTTTTCATATAATGGTTTAGGACAATGGGTTGGTTCCAATTGTGGAGCCAGAGATCTTGCTTGATGGAGAGCATGGTATTGAAAGGACTTTTGAAGTAGCCCTAAAGGTTTGGGCTGAGGTATTCTTCTACCTTGCTGAGAACAATGTCCTGTTTGAGGGTATTCTCCTGAAGCCTAGCATGGTTACTCCCGGAGCTGAGTCCAAGGAAAAGGCCAGTCCTCAGCAAGTTGCTGATTACACCCTCAAGCTCCTTCACAGGAGAATTCCCCCGGCTGTCCCTGGAATCATGGTAAGTAACACTGCCAAATGCATCATTCTTTGCATTCCAAACTTCATTCTTTCTACTCTACATTACACTTGTTCATGTGATAATCAAAGTTGTATTATGTAGTTTTTGTCCGGTGGACAATCTGAAGTTGAAGCAACCCTGAACTTGAATGCCATGAACCAATCTCCAAACCCATGGCACGTGTCGTTCTCATATGCCAGAGCCCTTCAAAACACTTGCTTGAAGACATGGGGAGGTCGCCCAGAGAATGTTAAGGCAGCACAAGAAGCACTCCTTTTCCGTGCCAAGTCCAACTCATTGGCTCAACTTGGAAAGTACACTGGTGATGGTGAATCTGAGGAAGCCAAGAAGGAGTTGTTCGTCAAAGGTTACTCTTATTAAGATGTTTGTAGTGAATATGAAACATGTTAGGAAGCAGCATGCCTCAACATATGTTAAAATGTTTTAATTTCAGCAATTGATGAAAATCCTCGTTAAAAAAATAATACGAAAAATTTGTAGCGGTTTCCAATGATTTTTGTCAATTTTCTAATTTTTTTTATTTGTTTTTTTTATCATCTAATCAATAAAATACAATCACCTTTCTATTCGTCTAAATTCATACTTATTTTTTTCGTTGCAAGTAGCATTGTAAAAAAATTGCCAAAAAAATTGCATGCTAAGTGGTATTTATAATATTTCACCAATACAATAAGTATGAATAAAAATATGTTGTATGCTAAGATTTATAAAGTCTAGTCCTACTTTATTTTTCAAAATTTAAATTTAAGCTTAATTTATTTACTTAATATCAATTTTTTTAAGGTCTAACGTTTTTAAAACTTGAGACAAGTTAAAAGTTTATTTTATAATAAAGTCCTTTAAATAAATTTATAAACTTTCCTTTAAATATGCTAATTGCTAATGAATGTAAATTTATAAGTAGCATAATAGGCTTAAATTTTTTTAATAAACTACCAATTATACAATCTCAAATTATTATTAATAAACAAGTTTAGCATGGCCAAAACTAATGCAAGTAAGGTATTGTTGTGAACCAGTAATTTGGCATGTTTTCATTTCTATTGATGAGTCTTGTAAAAATATATAAAAAAAAAATATTTTAAAATTTCTTTTCAAATAAAAAGTTTCAAGAATCCTCATTGTAATATGAGACCATTGTAAGGTCATTAGTCATTCCCTTTTGCATAGAGAAGCTAACTTGATAACTGATTGACTTGTTAATTTGGCTCATTCTATGACACTTTACTGATCTTGGAGACTATTTTCAAGGATGTGTTGGTTTATGTTGACAAAGATCTATTGGTGCTTCTTGCCGTCCTAATGCTATGGGAAGGAGATAAGGAAGGGATTGTGGGTTCCAAAACCTAGAAAAAATTCATTTTAAAGTAAAGTGAAGAATGGAGCTTTTTTGTCTACATGGAGTTAAAGAAGAAACAATTTCTCTAAATAAAGTTGTTTCATAACAAATGCTAAGGTGATATAAAAGTGTCGTAAAATATCAAAGTGATACAATGTAAAGTGTTAACCACAAAACTATTGACACTAAGCTAATTATTATTACGTAACATATATGTTGACTCATTGTATTGCGACACATGTGTGTTAGATTTCTTTTTGACGACACTTGTGTGTCGGCACATAGAATATTGACACTTACACTGTATCGGTTACTTTGACGCTGACACTTCTCTCATTCACCTTCTTATCCTTTGGACAAAACAAATAACAGTCTTTTATTCAATAATTTAAAATACATATAAATAGATGGACGAGTGTGTATTAGTTGTCAAAAATTTTAAAGAAGATACTAAGTATAAGAGAAGCTGAATGTTAAAATGTTATTAATTTATTATTTTAATTTTTTAATTATTACAATTAAGTTTGAAATAATAATTTTAATATTATTATAAATTAATGACTATATCAATTATTATATTAAAAAAAACTCTTTTACTAAATTTACCCACAATTAGTAAATTTACAGCATATATTTCAATAATAGCTTACAATAAAAATTATATTTTTAAAATATTATTATAGAAAATTTAACCTCTAAATTTTTACTAATGTATTTAATAATTATTTTTTTCACTTAAATTAACACATAAATTTATTATTATTAATTAAAATCATATCAATAACTACAAACTTTTTAAAAGATTCAAATGTCTAAATTACTAATTATTTAATTTTTTATCTTTGGTCATTTATATTTTAAAATAATATTTTCAATTTTATTTAACTTAAAATTTTATATTTTTCTTTTTTTCACTTAATTCCTTATTCTTTTACCCTAAAATTTTTTCAAATTAATCCAATTTATAATTAAGTGATGAATAACTATATTTTTATCTTCTACAATTTTAAATTATTTACTATTTCTTAATTATGTGACATAATATTTATTGAAATATTATTACAAATTTAACAACTGCAGTTTTTTTAATAATATAAATTTATTAATTAACATATTTTATTTTTATTATTTCAATTTTATTTTTTTATAATTATTTTTTATTTTAGTAACCTTCTAATAATCACATATAATTCTTCCTCATATATTTATCTAATTTAATTATTTTATATTTTTCATTTAATTTATATTTCTCAATTAATTTGTATTTATATATGCTTAAAATTTTGTTATTTTAACATAAATAATATTTGTATAACTAACTAATAGCATCATTATTTTTACTTTTAAATACAGTTTTCTACATAAAAAATAAAAATATTATAAATTTTAATTTTCATATTTTTCTATTTTTTACATGCATAAACAAAATAAATTATAATCTAAATTTTGATTAACCTTTGACGTGAGAACGTTGGACTACCCAAAAGCCCTCCTTTCAATCTTGCAATCTTCCTGAAATGGATAAAAGAAATTATATATATATATTTAGAAATATATTCATATTTATATCTAATATAAAAAAAATTATTTCTTTCTTACCTTATAAATTTTTAAAAATGGAAAAACTTCTACCCTTCCTCTGCGTTTTCGTTTTTGCCTTTTTGTCAAATTTTTTTAACTTTTTCAATTACTAAACGAAAAAAATGAACAACAACAAAGTAAAAGCACCAAGGGAGAAAGGGAGGGGTGAGCAACAATAACCTACTAAAACAATGTCACATGGACCAATCAGACGTGTGTCAGTCCTGAATATGCTGACACTTGTGTCACTCAACGCAGTACTGACACTAAAATTGGATCTGAGCCATCTAACACACTGGATAACTTCCACATGTTTGGTTTGCAGCCAGATCAATATTATAAAAATCTGTCTGTTAATCTTTGTAATAATATCAGTTACAAATTTGACGACAATATTAATTTTCAAAAAAAAAAATGTGTGTCGGCCATGTATCTTCCGACACTACTTTCACGTGACATTCTCCACCTAGACACAACAATTGTTATCAAGCCTATTTGGAGAAATTATTTCTCTTTTAACCTCGGGTAAAAAAGTCGAAAAATAGAAAAGAGAGGGTAGGTTGTACATAAGTTTTTTTTTTAAAATATTAATATAATATGAATTTTTTAATAAAAGATATTATACTAAAATTTATCAATATGAATATTATGTATAGCTAAATCATATAATTAATGCGGTATAAAATTAAAGTATATTTTAAAATAAATAATATCAATATAAATATAATATTGTGATATGTAAAATATTATTTATTAATTTTTGAAGTGTTATTACTAATATATAATTTTTTTAAAAATATAAATTTTAAAAGAAAAAGTACACTAAGGCCAATTTAGGACAACCCAAACTATCACATAAATTCGTACTTGGAATACACTGGATCTAATTTTAAAAATCTAAACTTATCAAAATTAATATTAGACTGAGACATATTGGTGAGATAAGTTAGGTCTTGCATGCTTCTATCAGTCTTGTTTTATATATATATATATAGATACCTTCAATTCATTCAGAAAAATGTTTAATTTTGTACAAATCTTATAACAGAAAATACTTTTTTTAACTTCAATTTTGTAATGTGCCCTTACTGTTGAAGTTTAAAAGAAAAGAAAATAAAGATTGTCATTTATATCCCTTTCACTTGTTCATTATTGAGAAGAACAACAAAATGTCTTGAGAAAAGCTATCAATATTGTTTTGTTTTCACTATGTGAAAGTTAGTCGATCTATTATTTTTATCAGTTAAGTTTGTTTTTTTTTTTTAAATTGGCCTAATTTATATCAGCTTCAAATTTATGGGAATTTTTTTAATTCTAAAAAACATTATTAAAAAATTTTGTAGGTGTTTTGGAATAAAATTTAAAGAAAAAAAATTTGTAAACTTTAAGAAGTATAAAAGAAAAAAAGAGTGGGACAAACAAGTAAATAAAAAATATTATTTCTTGAAAGTATTTGTTGGGTCAGTATTTTTGTACATGAATGATTTATTTATAGTAAAAATTGTGACTATAAATAAATTTGGTATTTATTATGTAAATACAAGATAAAAGTATTTTCTGATCAAGTAAGAACAATATTTTTTAAGCTTTAACTAAAACATGTTATTTTACAAGGAAAGTGGATATCTCTCCTTAAGTAGTTAAAACATTTATTTTTACTTCATATTATTAGAATTGATGATCTGGTCTTTGCAAAAGGTTACATACTCTCATCTGCTCCGAAAGTCTTGAGTACTTTTGACAAACATTTTTTATTATGTCTTACTTTTTGTAGATACGCGCTATTGCCTACTGCGCCTTAGGTATGTATCGTCTTTGTTACACTATTACCAGAGATTTGTGCACTTTTGTTCTTTGATATTTGCTTTGTGATCGAGTCCTAATCTTAATCTAAATATGCTATTTGGGTCGCCATTCCAAACAAAAAAAATTTTTAGGCTAAAAAAAATTAGATAGTAACATATTAAACTTTCTATAAATTTAAATTAACTTATGCTTATTTATATATCATTTAATTTTTTTAAAACTTAAAGAGTATAATTTTTTTAATTTATTAAAAAAATTATTTACTTGTATACTAATTTTTTTCATAAAAATTTAACTTATCCAAATTAGCATTAGTTAATTTTGAAGTTTATAAATGGTCTTTATTCCTATTAGAAAAATACTAGTCTTCAAGTTTCTGTTTTGAAAAATGTCTCTCTGACTGTTAAGGTACATGCAAAAAGCACTCTGATACTGAAGTCAGAATTTGATTCTGAATAATAAATACTATTTAATAATGAAAAGTCAGCCTTTTACCTGTACTCCTTACATTCCTTTTATAGACATTATTATGGGCTAGTGGGCCTGCAGAGTCAGCCTTGATTTTGGCTCTTTATTTAAAGCAGATAATACTTTGATTATTACCCTTAATTGGGTTAATTACTTTTAAATCCTGACAAAATGTATTCGGCAAAACTGAGCCGAATAAGTACTCAGTTTCTTTTTTTTATATGTAGGACCGAACAGTTCCCTATCCAATACAGTGTTAGATGAAATTTGTCACAACTTTTTAAAAGATTAAAATACTCATTCAATCATTTTTTTTATTCTATACATATTTTTTGAAAAAATTATCTAAACTGACTTTTAATTAAGTTTTGTTTCCATACAACTACCGTATGTCAAGATACTCGTGTGTGTATATATATATATATATATATATATTGACGATATCTTAAAATTCAGTAATTCATTTTCTCCAAATTCTGGGACCTCAATATGTTATAAGAGTAACTTCTGTCGATTTATACTCTTTCTTCGGGCTAAGGTCTTCTCAATTTTGAGTTTTCCATCCCCTTCATTTTTTTTCATTCACTCTTTATTATTACTATGTAAATTTCATGTAGGTCTTGTTCAAAATGAACGAGACCCAAGTGATTTAACTGATTCCATACAACTTTAACCTAATAATAAAAGTCTGACCCATAAAATAAGTGCGTGAAATAATATATTAAAATTATGTTAAAAACTATGTTACGAACATCATTAAAAAAAAATCCTATTGATAGTATATATAGTGATTGTTCAATCGTGAAACAAGGATAGAACTTAGAGGAGCCTCCTCAGCAGCACCAGTCTAGCAAGCAAATGCTGCTATAAATCATGCCGCTATATTGGGTTTCGACGAAGCCCAAAAGTAAAGGAAACCCTGTTGCACAATGGGCTAAACTAACATTTGAAAAAAAAAATTGATTTTTGCACCCTTTTTCGATATCTTATTAATATTTTTATATAACTTTTTTTCTTAAAATACTCTTAACAATAATATAATTATTTTTTAAACTTTTATTTCAAATTTTGAAATATTTTTTTTTGAAACTTTACTTTTTATTTATACTGCTGCTATTTCATTCTTCTTCGTTATTCTAAGATTGTTATTTCTTCTTTGCCATATGTTTTTTAGCGTATTTTAAGTATCATTATCCTCTAGATATTTTTATTATTTTAAATCTATTATAAAAAAAATAATTTCATCATAAAAAATGGTATATTTATCTTCATCAATCAATCGATGTCAGTATTCTTCTAAAATAAGCTTATAAAATTAGAATTTTATATTTCTGAAAATTAATTTATGAAATTAGTAATTATTTAAAAAAATTAAATTAGGATTCTGCACTTCTAAAAATAAATTTTTGAAATTAAATTTTTACATTTTCAGAAATTAATTTCCAAAATCATTAACCATTTCTATAAAAATTTGAAATCACGATTATACACTTTCAAAAATTAATTTTTAGAATTATTAACCATTTTCAAAAATAGAATTCAACAATTTTATAAATTAATTTTAGAAATTTAATTTTTACACTTCCAAAAATTTGTTTTATAATTAATAACTATTTCTAAAAATAATTTTACGAAATTAGGATTCTACGCTTCCCAAAAAAAATTCTATATTTAATATCATACACTTCTAAAATATAATTTATCGAATTACTAACCATTTATGGACATAAATTTTTGAAATTAAGATTTTACATGAATGATATTTTAGAAAAAAAAAGTTACAATTTTTTTAAAAGAGGTGTAGAAAAAAGAGAGCAAAAAGCAACTCCCAAAAAATAAAAAACATATTATATGACATCATATTTCCGTATAAAGTCTTAAAAGCATTGTGTATATTCCATTCGTTGGTGTAAATTGAACTGTTCGTAAATTATTCAAACTCGATTTATTAAATATTCAATTAAGATTTATGTTAATAAATAAACAAATCCAAAGTTATCAACCTTATTATATAAATGAATCGAATTCAAACTTTTAAAACTTAATATTAAAAGCATGGGAATATCTTGTGCTTGTGTATATAAAGATAAAAGATATTAATACCTTATAACAAAAAAAAAGTATTAATACAAAAAAGTATTAAGTTTTATATGACAAGATATATGCTTACTAAATTGTAGTTTTATCTTGAAAATTATTATTGTTTTTTTTTTTTTTTTACTTTCTTTCTTTTTTTTTACTTTATCGATTAAATTTTAACTAAAAATTTATTTTTTGTTTCAAATCCTTCACTTAAAGCAAGCCTATTAAAGTCAAGTAGTACCACTTGAGTGACAAAACTCTTAAGTAAAAACTTATTAAAACACTTCAATAATTTATTTAATAAATAAAAAATAATCAAGTTATAAAATGCATTATACGAACCAAATTCAAACTTTATATTTTTGTAACTGAATAAGCTCACATTAAATTAGACTTATTTAATACTCTTATTTTTCTTATATTATCTTTATTAATTAATTTCTAACTAACATATGACTTCAAACCAAATTTATTCCAATCGCAGTTGAATAAAAAAAAGTATAACAAATTTTGTATTAAACAGTAATACAAAGTTAATTTTAATTGTACTACAATAATATATTTTATAATCATCCATCAAACTTTCTATAAAATTTGGGTTTCCTTATAAAAAAAAAGAATTAGTATAAAAATGAATAAAACTTCTCTTATGAGTTATAAATAATTTATATCTTCAAATTTTTAAAAAGTTAGATAAGAGAACTTCTTAAAAGTCAAAGAAGCGTAAATTATCTATAATTTATGAGAAAAAATATTTATTTTTATATTTTTTTCTCACCAAAAAACTGAACCTTGATTCAACTTTTACAATCTCTTAATGGTCGAAATAAATAGATACGAAATTATGAGTTCTTCATTGGTCAATATACAAGAGACAGGAATCAGGCGTTTAAGAACATCTCCAAACACAGTAAAAGAAAATTACAAATTAATAAAGTCAAAGAGGACAGCGAATCTGAAAAGTATAACATTGTTCTTGGTAGAAAGTACAACATATATAAAAATTAGTGTAAGAGAAAAAGAAGGATCTGCGTGCTAGCAATTGTTAACATCCGGGTCACTAATTAGGAATGGAGTGAAGATAGATAAAATTGTCATATATAATTGGAACCTGTTGACCAAAGACAAATTTGGAAGAACGGAAGAGGATAAAGCATACAACAAAAGAGAAATTTTCCCTTCATTCCCCACTTCTCTCGGAAACAAGCATTGTCATGCAAGAGTCAAGTAAAATGCAAGCAATGTTTTTTTTATCATGTCAAAGGAGCTTTTGAAAGATATTTAAACTTACGAAAATTTGTGTAACTCTCATAAACTTTTTATAATTTATTTCAAAGAATTTATCAATATAATTTATTAAAATAAGGTACTTTTAACTTATTTTAACAAGCTTTATTATAAAATTTATAATACAAATTACCATGTGATAAAAATTTATTAAATAAGAGTTTTGTTAACTTGAGTTCTTTGGCCTGAAGATAAGCTGCTAATAATAATAAAATTTTATTAAAAAAAATATTTATTGTATTTTTATAATTTTAATATAATAACTATATATTTTTTTCATAAATTTTTTTTATTTATAGATGTGTAAACTCAATTTTAAAAGCTGAAATTAATAAAATTGTTTATTAATTAAGTTCTTACCAAAATATATCCAAAACCATGATTCAACTATGAGAATTGGTCATCTCGCTAAACAAGAATGGTAAACATCATGACATGTTTGGTTTAAGAAATCGTTTCTAGTTTAATTTTTTTATTTCACTAATAATTACAAATGTCACACTGTTTTCTTTTTGTTTTCAAATATTCTTACGAGAAACGATGAAACAACATTTCTAGTGTTTTCACCATTTGCACAAATATTCAAAAAAAAAAAAAAACGGCTCTTATTTTTCCAGTTTTCTAATAAAATGTTAAACAAGTTAGTCTGACCTTATACCACTGCCAGTCCAGCCTTCAATTATTTACAAGGTATTGTTTGGTATACAAGTCAGAACAGGATAAAACATAACAAATGGGTTCTGTTATATGCTTGGTGTATTTTAAAAAATAGAATAGAACAAGACAAAAGGTTACAAAAGTGGTATATTTTATTTCCAAAAGGGTAGAGGAACTGAGAAACTGGAACCAAATGGACTGTTCCATTCCATTCTATTCGCGTGTCAAATGCTACCTTAAAAATAATTGTGTATTTGGTCCTTCGGGAAGGAAAGACACCTCATATTGAATTGAATTAAAAGAAGCCATGAAGAGTCTTTACTTCAAGAAATGCATTAACATTTTATCCCATTTTAACATAGCACAGAAACTGAAGTCAGATGATTTCAATAATTTGAAGGTTTAATTATATATATCTAAAAATATAAGAAAATGTCATGATGTTTTTAATAGAATCAAACAGTTCCTTTGCTGCCAGACTAAGTTTAAGAAAACCAAAATGTCATCGATTCATAATATAAGCTGCCTTAAGAAAACATGATATATACTAGACGGTGATTATGTTATGCCCTTGAGTTTAAGCAATAGTGACCTTGTTTATGCAGACCATCCATTTGAAAGCAACTATTCTCCTTATTAATTTGGTCTGCGGCCAAACAATTCAATCTTCAAGCAGACAAAAACAATTCACATAAATAACAAAGTAAATCCTGTAAAAGAAGAATCGGTAAAGATAATATTTCTGCAGTCTCAGCCATTAGCCCACTCTACATGTTGTACCTTTATTAAATTATTACTTCTCAGCCTCTTGTTGGAAGGATTCTACTTGGGGTGCACTTGCAGGTTCATGATTATTGCCTCTAAAAATATCCATATTCTGTTCCTTAAAAAATAGATTAAATGTTAATTCAACTAAACCAAGTGTAAAAACTTGTAGTTTCTATGTGCTCAAGAAAACAATTGAACTAAAGGGTTATAAAATGAAAATTACAAAATAGCCCTCAATCACAGAACTCTAAGTAAATACGGATAACAGAAAACAATCACCTGGTTGATTGTTGCCAATCCATTTAACCGCAGTGGCCTAGTATTAAGATCAATGAATTTTTTACCTACTTTTCCATGACAATCAATATTATTTTCTTGCCTAGGAACAGGTGAGACACTGTGATTTTGCTGACAATCGCTTGTTTTTAGCTTGAGTGACTGACTTTCGTCCTTCCTTGATTCATTTTGATCGAGGGGTTGCAGCCCTAGCTCTTCCATTTGAGCTGGTTTGTCACCTGGAAACTGCCAAAAAAAAAGGCCAAAGAAGATAAATAAACTTCAAAATATCTAGTTAGAAGCTACAAAGCTTGAAAATTTGTGGCAGCAGAATCAATAACCTCAACTCTCTGCCTCAACAGAAGATATCTTTCATGGGTTCTTTTACCACCAACATGTACAATCATGTCACATTGCAGACACAGCGAACTACCATCTATCTCACAGTAAAAGAAAGCTACATATACAAATTTCCATAACAAGGGAGAAAAATTCAACTCCTGTATAGTTTAGAATAAACAATCTTCCCTAAAAAAGATATGAAGACCCTACAGTACCAGGTGCATTTTCACATATGTCACAACGTGGAACATCTGTGGGATCAGCAAGGCCAACCCGAATATGTCTGCTTGCAAGTTTGTTACACATATGGATCTGAAAACCACAAACACGAAACTGTTAGTGGAAAAAAAAAAATAGACGCGAATGCATGGTACTTCCATTAAATTGGATATGAATGCTGTTACCAGAAACCCTTGACAAATAGCATAAATAAGTGGATCTTAGTAATTATTACAGCATCCTATCCAAAATATGAAATTCACCAGCAGAATGCACCGCTAAACATGAAAAGAGGAAGATATCTAAAAAAAAATACACAAATGGGCCGGAACAAAATACCAATTTCACTTAAGAAACAAATTCTTGTGCCAGTTTCAAGTGAGTCTCAATTCCAACTCTGCTGTCCCAATGTTACCTCTTTTGATTAAGTGAAACAATCTCCATATCGAGATTCCACGCAATAATTCAAAAGCATTTAATATGTATCGGTGCAAAAGCACATCGTAATTAGACATAGCAAACGAAACAGAGTAGTGGCAAATTTGATTAATAGACTTAGATTTTGGTCGTCGTAAAGAAAAAGTGAGGAATTACATCCACAGCAAGCAATATATAAACTGGTGGCAAATGCAAACTAACAATAACATGAAAATCTGATTAAAAATATATATATATTGTTAAGTAAGCACACTGCTCTTTCATGGAATTATGAGAGCGAATAGATGATAAAACATTGAAGCCATATCTATATTTTTGCACGTAACAGATGAAGCAATCTCCAAATTCCAACAGAAAATTAAAAATGAAACGAAATTTTAGCAAATTTTGGTTCCATTTGCTCCTTTGAACACAAATTTGTGTAAAACAACTCCATTTGTTATAAACGACTACTTTGACTTGTTCAAAAAATAAAATAAAATTCAATGAAATTTTGAGTTATTGAGTAAGCAAATGTTATTGTATGTAATAATTTATGGATGAAAAAGTGAAAGAAACCTTGTGGTCACATGCAGAACATAGAGCAGCCTCATCGGCGGCGCAGAAGAGAATGGCAGCGGCGCTCTCACATACGTCGCAAAGGGTTCGCATTATCTTTTGTTAATCAAGTCTTCAACCGTTCTCCTTCTCTGTTCTTCAATTGCTCAAAACTTATCTTCATCTTAATTTCTAAAGTGCTTAGCAATTCTAAAACAATATTAAGGACAACGAGTCGCTCAAAAATACTAACACAAAAGCAGACGAATGCAAACTTGAAAGCAAAGGGAGAAATTAAAAAAAAATTATTTTTAAAAAATCACATGTTAAAAAAATATTTATTTAAAAAATATAAAATCTTATTTTGAAAAATATGCATCTATCATATAAGTATGAATCTTAATTCTTGAAAATAAATAAATTTATGAATTTACTCTCTCTTTCATGTAATATTATATAACTACTTTCTGGATAAAATGTACTTTTTCTTCACCAAAACAAAAAGTATTCAATCTGTGTAATAAGATTATACAAATTCATTAATCTTTCACATTTTATAATGAATTATTTAAAATTTTGATAATTACTAAAATATTAACAAAATCAAGAAATTTAATTTCATATTAATAATTAAAATATTTATTAATTTTAATTTATAAATTTTATTAATTAAAAAATATATAACATATACTTTGATTTTTATTTAAACTTTTAATTTAATATAATAATACTTATATAATATACGATAAATTCACTTGTTACGATATGAATTGGAAACACACATTTTAATTATTTTTTTTTTTTTGAGAAAATAAGAAAGATTAAAACTCTTGTTGTATACAGCTTATATAAATTAACTGTGTATTTAGATCGACTTATGCTAGGTTAAAGATCTTCTTTTTTATGAGTTATTCAAAAGTGTTTTATAAACTTTGTTTATTTTTTAAAATATTTCCAAAATATATGTGTAAGTAGAAAATTCTCTATTCCTGGTCGTAATCTTTTCATTGTAATTCGTGGTTGAGTATAACATTACGAGTAAATATATAATCCAATCATTACAAAAAAAAATTATGTAAAAAAAAAGTTAAAAACTAAAATGATATATATAAATGACATAGATGATTAAGTTATATATTTACTTATAGCTAAAATATTTCATATCGATACATAGTGTATTGCGGCATTTTAAAGTAAATTATAAAAACTAACACGAATTACAACAACAAAAAAATTATAATTAATTCAACTATTAAAAAAAAAACATAACTGAAAGGATAATAGTTTTTCTTATTTAAATTTTTTTTTTTTGTTCAAATGTGTTTTATTCAGTAGTTTTTAATATAAAACAAAAATTAATAAATGAATTATTAGATTTAAAATTCTTCTTAAATGAAGTTTATAAATTTTAAACAATTTTTTTTAAAAATATTTTTCACCGTGGAGGATACTTGTAATCTAAATAAAAATAAAATAAAGATTATTTGTATTTTGTCGATTATTTTCATTTTAATGTTTAAAAAATATAAATAAATATTATTTAGAAAATTATATATTTATAATTGCTTAATCTATATAAAATTTAGTATGCATAATTTAATTATTAATTTATAAAATTTCAAAAATTTTCTAAAACGATATTAAAACAAATAAGAGTTCCTGATTAAAGAAAAATTGAAAATAAAATAACTTCACATAATTACTTTTAAATTTAGAAGAGAAGGATCAAGAGGACGTAGGACCTTCAACAATGTATAAAAGAAATGCGAAAATTATCAACTATAGGAAAATGGTATAATATATAGTTTTATTAAGTAATATAAATTTACAATTCAATAAATTTAAGTGATCAGATTAAAAAATTGCACTCAGGTTAAAATTGCAATTGTGGTTTAAGAATCTCACCGGAGGCATCAAGAAGGAGATGCTGCTCCACGCGGCGGAGCATTTTATGACCCTACCGTATTTCACACTTCACGCTCCACCGTTGATTCGTTATCCATTCAATGATTGTTGTGATTAATGGTGACTCAAAATCATGGGCCATGCCTGTTACCCGGGCCCACTTCGGCCCATTTCTCATGTCACTTTGCTTCCAGCGTTTCCTATATCGTTCTTTATTTCGTGTCTAATTAAAACTACATCAAATAATTAATGATATACATACACCCACACACGTGTGTAAAGGAAATAATAAATTTATGTACGTAGATCGTCACATTTAAATGTATGGTTACGATTAAATCACTTAAAATTGCTGTGTAATTTATCTAAAAAATGCTATGTTATTATTTTGAAAAAGCTATGTAGTAACGCATATACTTTATGGCTCACAATGTATAATATTATTTTATCCATTTTTAAACTCATATTTATTTTTTGACTTCATCTTTAAATTTGAACAGTATAGTGTAAAAAGTTCAGATTTATGATAATAAAATATTTATTATTTCTTTCTTGTCTATTTTAAGTTTTGTTCATTTGTAAGTATAAACTACTTTTTTAATTAAAAAAAAAGGTTTTGTTTTATTTATTATGTAAAATAATCTAAATGATGCACATTTTATATTAAAGCGTATGTTATGTTGTGAAACTATTTTTAACAGTAAATCAAATATATCTTAAGTTTCAAGGAATGTGTGAAAGTCAAATTTAATTAGTGGATAATGAATACAGGTGTGTAAGAGGTGTGGTTGTAAAATAATTAAAAAATTACACAACTTTTTAAAATCATTATAACATGCAACAACTTTTTAATATTCCAACTTTAACTTTTATTTTCATTTAACGAGTTTGACTTGATGACAAAATTTGGAGTATAAATGAGCAACACTGAGTTGAGAGTTAAGAATTTTAAGTTCAAAATTAGTTTTAAAAAAAAATTCAAACCGAATTTAAACAAGTTTGATCATTTTATTTGAATAAGTGAAATTTTAATTTTAATTTAATTTGATTAATAATTTTGAAACTTAAACTTATTTCTTTAATTTTTTATAAGATTTTGTTAAAAATATTAGATGATATTTTTATTATTTTAATATTTAATAACTATTTTTATATTAAAAATAAAATATAATTTTATTTATCTAAAGATGACTTAAAGTTAAAAATAAAAAATTACCAAACTAAGTATATATTTTTTAAAAATTGTGATTGCTTTAAAATATGACTTTAAAAATTTAAATTATAACAATAAAAATATAAATTTTAAATAATATAATAAATAAAAATTTAATTATTTAAGTAATATATATATATATATATATACATATACAAACTATTAATATATTTATATTTATATTTATATTTAAGGTTAATTAATTAAACTTAATAGAATAGCTACGAAGTGAAGTTGAAATAATTCTAACATTAGTTGAACTCATTTATAACAGAGATAATTGAGAATGTGCAGTGGTTTAATTGGGCACTTCTTGGTAAATGGTTGTGACGAGGTGTTAACTGTTCTAGTTCATTGTGGGTGGTGCTGGTGTTGGAATCTAGATATGGAAGATTAGCTTTTTCTCTTCAACGTTGATCAGTTCACAACAGATATTCTTTGTGGTGGCGTGATTTGCTGGAGGTTATTCATCAAGGGAATTCATGGCTGGATGAGAAGTTTGATAGAAGTGTGGGTGCAGGTTTACACACTCTTTTTTGGAGAGATAAGTGGGTAGGAGGGGTGCAATTGTGTGAAGTATTTCCGCGATTATTTGCAGTGGCGAGAAATATTGAATCACGTGTATTGGAGAATGGTTTTCATGATGGCACTAGATGGGTTTGGAATGTTAGTTGGCGAAGAGGACTCTTTCAACATGAGATCTCGAGCTTTAATCTTTTGTTGGAGCTTGTGGATGGAGTTTCTATTAAGTTACTACAAGAAGATAAATGGGTATGGAGGGCAGATTCTTCAGGTTGTTATTCAGTGCAATCTTCGTATTCATGGCTATTTGAACTTTTTAGTAGTCCTAATAGTGTAGATCAGTGTACGGCAGATGCCTTGCAAAGGCTATGGAGAGGGAAGGTACCTCTTAAGTGTCTGGTTTTTTCTTGGCAATTGTTGTTGAATGCACTTCCTTGTAAAGGTTTACTGATTGATCGTGGTGTTCAAATTGATGATATAACTTGTTGTTTCTGTCATGGTTTGGAGGAACTTCCAACTCATTTATTTTTAACGTGCTCAGTTTCATCTCAAATTTGGTACTTTACTGCACGTTGGCTTAGATTCTCACTGGTTTTGCCTTCAGATTTATCGACTCACTTGCTTTCTTGGGTTGATGTTGGCTGTAGTAAAAGAGAAGGAATATGCTTATTAATTATCTGGGTAAGTACAGTGTGGTCTTTGTGGTTGCATAGAAATAGAATTATATTTTCCAATGGTGTTTTGGATGAGAAGGAAGTCATAGATTCTATTATTCTGAGATCTTGGAAATGGTTTTCACTTGTTAGTAAGGGAGAAGCTATTATGTTAGCTGATTGGTATTTGAACCCACGAAATTGCATCTGTCTTAATTTTGTATAAGTATATTTTTGCTTTTTATTTCTCTGAGTAAGTAATTTTTTGTGTATATGAGTTTTAAGTTCCTCTTAAATTCTTTTTAATAAGATTTGTTTTGCCTATAAAAAAAATAGAGATAATTGAGTTGAAGAAAAGGAAAAGATGAAATAAAAAGTAGATGATAGAGGAGAGGATGGTGGAACCACAAAGATTCGAAGCTGAGTAATACGAAAGCAACAATTGATCCATTCTGAGCCACATGTTGTAAAACTAGCAGCATGGTGGTTGCACAATTCGTTTGCAGAGTAAAGAAAAGTGCAGAGCTGAACCAATACTGCAAAATTGTGGCTTCAGATTCAGTGCGTCAACATCGTCTACATGCCACCTTCTACCGCCACACCTTTACTTTTACTATATTCCATCCTACAATCATTTCTTTCTCATTCGTTCAAAATATACTAAATTCAATCATAATAATAACAATAACTTTTTCATAAATTAATTAATAAAAATATATATTTAGTGTTTTTTTTTTTTGTAGATGAATACCCAAGTCATCCATTTAAATTTTTTAATAATAAAAAAAAATTAGTATTAGTTTATATTTTTGTACTCAGATACTATAGATTTATGATCAGTCCTTTAAAACACGTGTCTAATTAATAAAATTTGACTATTTGATATAAAATATATTGAATAATTCATTCCTGTTCAATAGCAAATAATACAATTCAAATTTTCATTAATTTTTATTTTTATAATTAGATAAATTA